CCATGCATTCGCCCAGCATGCCATGAACATATCCTGCTTTCAAACAGCACGCTATCAAGGTGGATGCATGGCTTTCAAGTTCCAGCTCGATGCTGGCACCATTCATGCGGCACTCCGGGTGCTGAAGCCGGCGGTGGAGACCATGGACTCGCTGGAGTGCATCTGATCTGCTTCTGCGTTAGGGAGATACCGTTGCCCGGTCGATAGTCTCATAACTTGAGCCTGCTGTCAGACGAGGAATATCGTTGTTAATTGATCCACTGCATTCATTGCGAATGGCCAAAAGGTTATGGACGTGGGTTGCGATGCGCTCTTAGGCCGCATTTCGTTAATGCTCGAGAAGGTCTTATCCGGTATTGGCAGGCAAATGTGGAGCAAACCAGCGGTACCTCTCGCACTATGAAGCTAGCAACCTAGTTGTTCACCAGGGCCCAGCTCTGGCGAATGACCGGGCCCCAGTGTGCATTGGCTTGACTGTCCCCGCTAGATGGAGCCGCTCGAATGTGCCTGGCCAGCTCCGGGTCGGGAGCCCCTGCCGAGGAGCTTGGGACGCCTTACAAGCTTCTTGCGCTGCTATACCCGACTGCTCCTCAAGCATATTTCAGCCAGGGAGGTGGGAGATACATCCGGTGCATCCGATGGGAGATACATACTCGCTCCGGTACACCATCATAAGCGACAACGATGCGACCATTTTGTTTTGTCGGGTGATCTGCCATAGCGAAGCCCAATCCAACTGCTAAATGGGGCTCAGAAGTTCCATGGATTCGCTTGGGGTAGGTACCCCGCAGGGCGGCAGCTGTGATGCACGAAACAAACTGATTGCCCGAGGGGGCAGTTTTGAGCCCACCTGGTGCCCCGGAAGTCATAGATAAGTCATTACGTAAAGCACTTCTTTGGCGTAAAACTCGGTGGATCATCCTCAAAAGCCTTCCTTCCTGCGTCCTACATTACCGCCTCGCTGCTTAAAATGCCTTAAAAATCAGGCATAACCGTTAAGTTAGTTTTCATTCACTGATATTTACTTTGACCTTGCCGATCATTCCGTCCACCAAACGTGTTGTAATATGTGCGGTCTCTCATGGTCGTTAGCACGCGGGGGCGTCTCAGCGTTAACAGAGTGCCGCCGGTGACGTCTAATAGGGATCTTAGCTGAGAAGTGCGCTGTCGGGTCAGTTTCACATGGTATATGCCGACTTGAGATAACCTTGCTTGCGTCTGCCTCAAAGCGTCAAGCCTTCGCCCATGGGAACCGATAGAATTGTCGGCAAAACTGCCTAAAATTGTTGCAATCCGCTACAGCGGTCCACATATTCACTGCAAAATTTAAATGGAAAGGCATTAGTCTCACAATAATAGAAAGCACTGAAGTTGATGGAAAAAGATTGCATATCCATAACACCACAGAGAGCCTGACGTTCATTGGAAGGAAAGTTTTAAAAGATCATGAAAGTGGACCCCCGGGGTCGTGAATGGGGTGGATCGTGCAAACACGTGTGGAGGCATTGGGATAACAGCAGCCTGGATTACGCCAAGATAATGGTCGCCAATGTTCTCAACTGATTATACGATGACGCCACGAAAACAAAAGTGATATTGCTTCAGGTGCTTGTAGAACCGTGTTATCGGCGAAGGGAGCGCTACAGTGATGCAGTTTTACAAAATGCGTAGGGGTGAGGGATGGAAGGGGAGGAGGGGGGGGGGTGCAGGAACAAATGTCTGTGTCTGCCTCTGAAATGCACTTAAAAAGTTTTCTTCCCATTCTTCCCAGATTTGACGCCGTTTTTGGCAGCTGGCAGCAGGGGTGTAGTTCCTCAAAATCAGTTTTGGGGGCTGAACCCCAAATCATAATAAATTAAAGATAACGGATAAAAATGATAACTAAAATAGGAAATTACATCACTAGCTAGGAGGCACAATCCCCCTTCTTCCTCCACCCAACTGAATAGGAGATACACGCCTTTAGGCTGTTTTGTTAAGTATACCTTTATCTGATGATTATGTTATGTTAGTCTCAACTCCAATTCAGTGTTTGATGTCCAGCAAATGAAATTTCAGCGCAAATAAACTCCCGAAACAAAAACGTTTGAATATTATACCTCATTGCATGTAATTTGACCTTGCCTCTGTGGTTTACTGCATTTAAAGATATATTGCACCGGTTTCTGAAGGATTTGACCCAGACGGCAATTCACACGGTTCCAAATTTCATCGATAATAGAAAAGGTACTTTTCACCCCTGTACAAACGTTCCATCACGTAATCAAACAATTATGTATTGAGAGACTTATTAAATAAATAGTGAGCCTGTGTGGTCGAGAGCAGCCTTTTCCTCTTAAAAATATACAAAATGTTACAGGTGAGTTTATTTCATCATAGCTGATGCTTTTCTCAATAACGGATATAGTAGATTTCTGGATTGCTTGGACAGTATCCCGGAAATGCCATCTGTAAAGGTTTCTAGACCACCCTATCTGCCATTGTCTTCCCGTCCACCGTTCTCAAGCCCACAGCATGTCTCTACTTCCGCAGAGACCCAGCGCGGCGGCCAGCACCAGCCGCGACTCTCAGGACGTGCCGAGCCGGCTCGGCGCCCAGCCGTGCTCGCCGGCCGGCCGCTCCCGGCCGCCGTCTGGACAATGTCAGCGGCAGCCCACAGCCGGAGCGGCTGCGCGGCCGCCGCCCGGCGCAGCGGCGACGCACACCGAGGCGGGCGACGTGACACCAGATCCGATCGAAGAATTAACGCGGACGCTCGGAAAACTAATTTTCCGGACGCGCCGGCCACAAAGGTGACGCCGGCGTCGGCGGGGGGTGCGCGGCGTGGCGCCGCCATCTCCGAGCGCCGCTGCCGGGTGGCGGCGGGTGTTGTGCGCGGACACGGCGCCGAGCAGGCGTGCGCCGCCGGGAAACTGGGCAGTGAGGCGGGACGGCCACTGAGGGGCGGACGGGGCTGGTCGACAGGCCGCCGCCGTGTTGTGCTGACGGTGACTGGGCGTCGGGCGTTGCAGGGATACGGACGTCCTCGCGGTTGCTGCAGCTGCACCCCAGGGTATGTGCGTGCAAACGCAGCAGTCGCGTGGTGTAACTACATCCGCTGTCGCAGTGGTCTGCCTGCTTTGGGACCGCGGTGAGCGTTCGAGACTGTCGTTTTAATTTTGTTCCCAGTATTGAACAAACTCGCTAAACCAAACTTTGATGTTTTTAAATTTTTGAACGATTTAACACGAATCTTTTGCATGAATGGATTTCTGTGATCATAGCTCATGCTAATCAGTGCTTGTTGCGCAGGCCCCGAATCGTACCATGCGATCGCGCAATTCTAGATCAGTGGCAGGCTTTGGTAGGGGAAGTTGAGCGCGCCGTGATGTTTGACACAATCCACGTGCCCTTTGAAATCAAGTGACGGAAAGGGCAGCTGCTGCCATTGGCCTCAGGTCGTACCTGGAAAGGCCAAACAGCGAGTGCCTACAGCGACTCGAACCCTCTTCGCCACGGGTGGGTGGATCGTTGAGGAGACGCTCCAGCCAACTGAGCTGTTGGGGCGGGCACGGAGGCGATGCTAAATAATGAGAAAGCCGTGCACAAATCCAAATAATGGCTAGTCCACATGGAATGTGGTGTTACCCTTCCCCACCGGTCATGGAGCGTTCGATCACTAGCCACGGTTGCGTGTCATGTATGATCGACGCTCACGTTGCGTGTCGTGGAAGTAGAGAATCAGACTATCGACGTTTGTCGCGACCCGTGCTTGGGAGTAGAACAAAACGCATCTTCGCCATGGACGTGATGTTTTGTATCTTAGAATGTCTCTAGTGTAATGTTCTTCAAAGACAGCGTTTCTTCGTTAAAAATGAAGTAAAGTGACGATAAAAGCAAGGTAAAAATTATGATCAGAATGCTACTAAGTTTAAACTGTTTGCTATAGTCCCATTTCTGATAGCTCTGAACGTTTGAAGACAGAGAGGCGCCGTCAAGCGATGTGCTTTGCTTGAAAGTGTGCTTTGAACATTTGACGACTGAGAGGCGCCGTCAAGCGATGTGCCTTGCTCGAAAGTGTGTGCGTCTGCTAAATGTGTGACCGGAATCTTGCTCATATTGTTTGAGACTCGACAAAAAGTTTTTGTCCGCAGTGCATTATACGCAATGCATATTGTTTTGCATTGACATTCTAGCGAATATAGCTTGGCAGAAACCCACGTTATTCTTGTCCATTGTTGACGGGTAAAGAAGCCAAGTGAACTGTTTGCGCCGAGCGAAGTAGTTCGCTGCTCTCCAACTCTGCTTCTCGGTCACAGTCGTACCCTGCTGGTCATGGCAGCATCTTTTCAAGCTGACATAAGGGGGAACTTATTTGGTAATAAACCTACAACGCACGAGAACTAGGATTAACAGGAATAGAACCGACCATTTGTCTCCAGATCATGACGACAGCCGGTAAATTTTATTGGGGAAGTGCTTTGTCTTGTTACTGTGCAACTAGTCAAACGTTTGGGACTCTGGTCCCAGAGAACCACACCAGAAAGTTTGGCAGACGTAAAACGACAGGAAGAACATGATGACAAGACAAACACGACTCCAGTTAAATGCTCTCGCTGTTTTCACAGACATGACGAAATCATTAGATGTTTTCTATAAATATGAATGATGCTTTAGTACTGACATGAAATATGTTTGTTAGTTCTACGCTCATAGAACTCCGCAGAAAGTTTGCACATGTCTCAATGAAAACAAAAATATTAGATTTTGCATCAATCCCCCCCCCCCCCCAATCATGCTGACCTGCTCAGTGCCTCAACAGTTGAGACCAAGTTCCAATGCAGCTAAATTGCGTCTCCTCCGGGGCTGAGGACCACTGTCTATCACACAATTTCATGCATACAAAGCCTCTGAACCAGCGCGGCAATCAGAGGTGATTTGAATAATGCGCCGGCAGTTGGCCCGAGTTCGCGTCGCCAGCGCCGCGCCGGGGCGGGACACCGGCCATGGCCGCACCGCCACCGTCGGCGTCACTGCTGCTGCTGCTGCTGCCGGCCCTGATGCTGGCCCCACCAGTCGGCGCTGCCAAAAACATCATCACCATAGGTAAGTGGCAGTGGCTTTTGTTGGTCACCCTCTGTTCTTTAAAGGGACTGAGCCTTCCAACATGATGGTGTGTATGGATACGTGGGCATGCATACTGTGTAAAAAATATAGGTATCCCATCAAACTGTTGGCCTGTCTTAGTTTCGTCTATGATTCGTTTGTTCTGTCTGGTATTGTTAGCAATTTTTTGTTTCAACATCATGTGAATTTGAATTAACACACCATGGTGGTGCTATGATGCTCAAATCCCAATACTGACTTCGTACATGAAAGTGGTCTTTAGAGTCCCCTATTCGTCCGCGTTGGGCCGAAATGTTGGAGCTACATATCAACGGGAAAGTTAAAGACCATAAATAACAAACACCATAGGAATCAAGATATTATCAAATTTTTATGCATTCGTATGTAACTTAAAGTGACATCTCGTTGCGTTCGTTTACATATACTTCATAAGTAGGCCCATGCCTACTGACCCACGGCACCAAACATTGTTTGGTGGGCTATCCTGCTGTCTCTTACCTCTCCTGTTATTCCTTACCATTATATCTCACATGTCACCAGCCATCACATGCCTTTCCTGCTGGCCTGCCGTTGGCCCCTAACCCAGCTGCTGTCCCTCCCCAGCGCTCGGCGTTTCCGAGCATTCTGCGCCACAATGGCGACCTATTTCCTTCGCTCTGCCACTGGCGACCGTCTTCCCCACACTGGCTGACCTCGCTCGCTCTGCCTAGGCCGGGTCTGGTCCGATAATCTGGCGTAAAGAAGTGACGTTGACGGTGGTTCGTTAGTGTCGCGCCCGGCCGCCGGCCGCGGACGAGACGCCGGTACAAAACCGACCAACCGACGAACGCCCAGCGGGGAACGGTGGGCAGAGGCGAAGGAGGACGGCGGAGGGAGGATGGGTGGGACAGTGAGAGAATGCAGGAGAGGGGAGGGGATTTAAAAAGTATGGGGATTTGTAGGGCAGAATATCTGGAAACTCGAAAATGGAAGAGTAAAATATTGAGTGTATAAGAGTGAGAATTGTGCAGAGCTGTATAGGAGGAGAGGTGAAAGAGGGAAAGATAGAGCAGGAGGAAGAGGTTTGGGAAAAGGGAACTGAGAGAAAAAAGAAAGACGAGGGAAAGCGTGCTGGCGAAAGGAAGAGAGAGAGAGAGAGAGAGAGAGAGAGAGAGAGAGAGAGAGAGAGAGAGAGAGAGAGAGAGAGAGAGAGAGCGGTGGCATTCTCTAAAGAAGTGTCCTGCATTCAGTAGGAGGAGAGGTGAAAGAGGGAAAGATAGAGAAGAGAGGAAGAGGGTTGTGGAAAAAGGGAACTGAGAGAAAAAAGAAAGACGAGGGAAAGCGTGCTGGCGAAAGGAGAGAGGGAGAGAGAGAGAGAGAGAGAGAGAGAGAGAGAGAGAGAGAGAGAGAGAGAGAGAGAGAAAGAGAGAGAGAGAGAGAGAGAGAGAGAGAGAGAGAGAGAGAGAGAGAGAGAGAGAGAGGAGAGAGAGATCTATAGGTATCACGAGTTTGTATAAAGGCGACGGTGGGATGCGGAACAGACACCGTCTATCTGCCCGGAGGCAACGCGTGTCTAGCTCATCGCTGACGATGATGATGATATCCGAACGCAGTGCGGCCATCACCAGAGCCGTCATTCGTCTTGGCCGTCAGCAGCAGCCACGGAAAAACATGGCATCCACACGGAGCATTGCTTTTTGCACCGTCCGCCACTGGCCTCGGTTCCCATAACAAGACGGCCGTCGGCGGGCGGGCGCTGGGACGCCGTGGCGTCCTGCCACCATTGGCCTGGTCGGCGTGCCGCGCGCCGTCGGACGACCCGACCGCGCTGACGCGCCGCCTCCGCCGCCCTGCTATTCTCGTTTGTCGACAGTCGACCAGCCGGAGCGGTTTTTGCCTGGCCCGTCGAAATCGATGGGCTTTTCATCAGCGCGTCCCGGAGGACGCGGTTCGGCGGCGGTCGCCGATTGGGCCGCTATCACTGCCCCAGCGGCCGAATTGTTTTCCATTTATCTGAGGACGGACGGCACGCCGCGCCGCGCCGGGCTGGGTTCAGCGAGAGGTGCGTTGCTATGGCGGCGGCGGCGTCAGAGCTGGGACGGCGTTACGCTGGCCCTAGGGACGGTGGGAGGAGGGGGGTTCGGCCCGGCCTGGGAGAGTAGGGCGCTGTGCGGGGTACTGCGGCATTCGGAGCACAGATGTATGGGCGGTAATTTAAAAAGCTTGTGAATTGCAGAGAGTGGCCTTCATGCCAGCTGGGGATGTCACTCACTGTACTAAATCTTGATACTGGGATCCTGGCATTGTAGAAACGTAGTCCTAGGATCTCGGCATTAAAACATGAGTAGGTACACCATACTTCCTGGAATATTTACAGATGCTTTAAGTTCTAGTTAATAATGTCTAGTCTAGTTAAGAAATCGGTGAATAAATTAGCGGAAATCAGCCCCAGAGTGGGTTGATTATTATCATACGGGAGAGTGAGAAGGTAAGGATCAGACCAGAAGTCCACCACAGTTTTCTCTCAGCTTGCTATATTTTAGTACTGTGCCCTGTGGTCCTGGTGAATGTAGGACATTCGTCTTGACGTAATTCACGTAATTTTGATATATTACGTCATGGCGTAATTTATGGTCTCGAGAGCAAAGATGACGCAGGTTGAAATCACTTACGTGCACTAGCACCTTAGCAGGTTCAGAACATCATGAACAGCAACGCACTGTCATGTGTTAATGCTTGAATATCATGTCGTGTAAACGATGGTGTATCGAGCGCTGGGTTGTTTTTTATAGGAGCTTCTCATCTACAGCCAGATGAAACTGCTGCACGCGGTTGTTTCTGTTCTTGTACTTTACAGTTGTTGACACAATGGTCAGCCAGCGACTGCAATGATCGCATGGTATGGAACTGTTGTGTTGTGTGATTTCAAACAGACACCTTTTTGTGATAATAATGATTTCTTGCACGAAATTATGACATTAGGAAACAAAATTGGGTTTAACTTAAGCCATTGTCTTATTTAGCCTGCCTATATTGGCATGCTGTTGGTGTACTTTTGTTTCGTCAAGCATCAAGTCCGCACATCCGTAGCTGTAACTCCGTCGAATCTACCAAGGGAAAAGAGTCTTCCTTTCATTCCGTCAAAAAGGATAGCCATGATTTCTATGGCGGTTTGACCTGAAATAGCCATCTTGAGAACATTTTGATGCAGTTCACGGATATGCTCTTTTTAAGACCCAAACCGCTCTGATTCCTGAGTTACACGCCCGTAAAGCACGAAAAGTCCTGTTTAGAGCCTATTTCAAAATCGCCTGATTAATGACGTCATAGAAACGTCATTAGATCCCCGTGATATTACAGGCTGTTTTTTGTTTATGGTCAAAACAGCATGGCCACTGCTACATTCACCAAGGCGATGATGCTGCACATGTGGTACAGTCCGCGGAAGATGATGAACTGTTAGTAGGATTTTGCTGCTGAATGCGTGTCGAGAGCACAAGTGTGAGCAATTTCGGGGTGTGCGACACTCGTGAACGGGACATTTTCCTTATTTCTAGGCCACAGGCCAATGTTATAAAAAGGAACGCCACTGTCTGCAAAAAAGTACGTCACCCAAAAATGGGCACTTTCCCGAAGTTATAAAAAAGAGTACGCGACGGCAATTTTTTTTTCTCTTGCTGGCGTTGTTTTTCTACTAACGTATCTCTTACAAACAGCTCGGTTGGCGCCTTGCGTACCGGAGCACAGAACCTTGCACGGGTTTATGGGTAAGCAAGGCATTATGAAACTAGGGAAACAGCACAGTAATTATATATATATATATATATATATATATATATATATATATGTATATACATATATATTTCTATAACTATTTCACACATATGGTACGACAAATTTAAGTCTTGAACACAAAATTGTGTTTTACAAGAACCTCTTGAGCCACATTACCATGAATCCCCGCTGGGACTTTGTTTCGAAGGGAGGTTACGGGAAGTTCGGTGTTGTGACTGAATATCTATGCGGAAATTGTGAGAAAGCCTGCGATTTGGTAGTCCCGCGAGCTGTGCCAATGTGAGATCACACTTATTTGACAAAAGAGTGTGAATCAGTGGCTCGAAATGCGCGTGATCACTGGTGGTGTGTGCCAGTGGCTCGTATTGGTGTTAATGTGAGGGGGAGTGTACGTGCGAGGTTTGTTCATCTGAGAGAGAACATTGTTTTGGTACCCCCCAGTCTACTGACTCCCAATAAAATGTGATATATTGATGCCTGATATATCGTTGCCTGATATATTGATGCCTATTGATATTGATGCTTGCCTCTACCTCTATGTTTATGTTTAAACATGACAAAGGAATGCTGGCAATCTGAGAGAAACACTAGCACTTAGGTTGCAGGGGTGTACAAAGGCAAGTACTAGTGGTGGTGCTTCATTATGATCTTGCCAACATTGTGAACCTTTTGAGGTATTACAGCGTATAATTAATCCATCGCATGTCATTATATCAGCAATTCATTTTGGCAGTAGGGGCTAGTGTGTGCAGCTCATTAATGGACTTTGGCAGTAGAGGCTTACATTATATGCCTTTGCAAGTGTCTTTCTCTAAAGAATTCCGAAAATATAGAGCGTTATTATGACTAATGCGCATTGTACTGTCTTCACAAATCTTGTATGCAGGCAAGCATTGCTCCTGAGCAATCAATGTCATAGTTACTGCAACTTGCGTGGGATGCTCGGTGCTGAGAAAGGTGCAAAAGTATTGCTGTTGGTGTCTTGGACAACACTTAATAATGTGTTTTTCATGAACCTTGTGTGCACTGGCAGCTTCATCACTTCCTTGCATTTTGCCCATCCAATCATGAATACGCGCACTTGTTATGTCTCCAGCCTTGCGCAAGGTCAGCATGTTTGCAGTGTCATTTCACCACATGTAAAATTTCCCGCTATTTTTTTAGTAAAGCAGCCTGATGGCTGCAGCATGTTGCATGACCATGGGAGTGAAAGATGTGTTAGCATCTTTCTCACTTGCGTTTTCTGGATTCCCGAAGCGAGCTGACCAAGTGATATTATTGGTTGTCTGCTTTGCTGAAAGTGATTTGTATATTGTATCGTGTGCTTTTGGTCAGTCAGATGTCAGATGGGAAGTCAATACAAGAGCGCATGCTTGTCCCATCTTTTCATGCTGGAATTTGTTTTGAAAGCAGCATGAATTGCGGTCGAAAAACCATATTGTTGCTAATTATGTCATGCCATAGTACGGCACCGAGATCCATTACACAATGTACCACCTTGGTTGAGAACTCTATGTCAAGCCTATGAGATAGCAGATGATAATTTATGAATGACTGGTAAAAATGTGTTTAACATTGCCAGAGGACTGTCTACGGCAAGAATGTTGTTGCACCACAATGGCTACATTAGAGTTAACTATTAATTACATGAATAATCCCGGGCAAAAATAAAAAAACATTCCTGGTAGCCCAGCCTTACCATCTTTGCCATAGCAATAGCAACGCTTGGACAATCATTGCATGGCAATGTAACGAATTTATTAACTTTCGTATGACACCACATTTCCTGTTACCAACAATAAAGACAACGTTACAAATTTATAAATTTTGGCAAGACACCCCATTTTCAGTTACAAACAATAAGGACAGTGACTAGTGTACACATCACATTATTTCGATATCGGGACTACAGCACTGCGCGCAATGATCGGTCGACAATAAAGTATTGATAAAAACATCAACAGCAAAGCAACGACAGCAGCAGCACAGCGTATCGTGCTTTGATCTTAAGAACTTGTCATAACAGCTGGCGATCGCTACGTTGCGCTTGTCAAACAGCCCACGAAAGCTTTTCTTACGGCCAGCACCAAGACAAAACATTCACAAATAATCCACCCACTAATCCGCCCCTCAACACAGCCCCCCTGGACGAGAATGGCCGGTTGGCGTCAGCTATCGCGCGTTTCGAGATATTCTTTAGGTCTGGCTGCCAGATGTTGCCAGGTTTAGCTGCCGTCAGAAATCAGTTTCATGGCGCCACCAAACAATGACGTAATGGGACCCATTTTTGTACACTGAAATTTTGCTACTTTTCGTCGTTTTCGAACCTTTAAAGCTTACCAATAGTTACAAGGAAGCATTTCCCATCACATCTGATGCTTAACTCAATACCTTCAAATGTAGAACATTCCCTGTAAGCCTTTACCCCTCGACGCAAGTCACATTTCTTAGCAGAATCCACTGCACACATACGCCGACAACCAAAAAGGCCTGCCTGCCATATCCTCAGCGGTGCAGCGTACACGTACTCCCAACAGTCAGCGACGTATGACCATGTCTTCAGCGATGCAGCGTTCACGTACTCTCAACAGTCAGCGACGCATGACCATGTCTTCAGCGATGCAGCGTTCACGTACTCTCAACAGTCAGCGACGCATGACCATGTCTTCAGCGATGCAGCGTTCACGTACTCTCAACAGTCAGCGACGCATGACCATGTCTTGTCCATGTCTTCAGCGATGCAGCGTACACGTACTCCCAACAGTCAGCGACGCATGACCAGATCTTCAGCGATGCAGCGTACACGTACTCCCAACAGTCAGCGACGCATGACCATGTCTTCAGCGATGCAGCGTTCACGTACTCTCAACAGTCAGCGACGCATGACCATGTCTTCAGCGATGCAGCGTTCACGTACTCTCAACAGTCAGCGACGCATGACCATGTCTTCAGCGATGCAGCGTTCACGTACTCTCAACAGTCAGAGACGCATGACCATGTCTTCAGCGATGCAGCGTTCACGTACTCTCAACAGTCAGCGACGCATGACCATGTCTTGTCCATGTCTTCAGCGATGCAGCGTACACGTACTCCCAACAGTCAGCGACGCATGACCAGATCTTCAGCGATGCAGCGTACACGTACTCCCAACAGTCAGCGACGCATGACCAGATCTCCAGTGATGCAACGTACACGTTGCATCACTTGACTTACATCACTTGCTGACTCCCAACGGTCAGCGACACATGACCATATCTCCATTGATGCAGTGTACACATACTCCGACAACCAGCGATGCGTGCCTGTCATATCCCCAGCGATGCAGCGTACACGTACTCCCAACAGTCAGCGACGCATGACCATATCCCCAGCGATACAGCGTACACGTACTCCCAACAGTCAGCGACGCATGACCATATCCTCAGCGGTACAGTGTACGCATACTCCGACAACCAGCGAGGCGTCCCCAGGGATGCAATGAACACATACACCGATAACCAGCGAAGCGTGCCAGCCACATGCCCTGCACATGCCATGAAGACGCTGACCCAATCAGTGTGCAAGCATGAAAAGCTGTTTGTCATGGGCTGGCATTTTGGACTCCCGTGTGATGACCGCGGCTCATGCCAAGTCATCATGTATGTGTCTGCGTTAGGATGCCTGACAACAAAGTCATACGTCGCCAAACCGTACGGGTGTATATTCAGCTGCGTTGTCACTGATAAGCGTTGACCGACCAGACCTCCGCTGCAGCCTGCGCGTGACGCCCAGCGGGCCTCTGTCCGCCAGGGGCGCTGTTTGACCAGCATGAGGCGGACCCCGCGCTGGAGATGGCCTTCCGGTACGGGGTGGAGCAGGCCAGCCAGACGCTGAACGTACCGGACGTAGCGCTCGTGCCGACTGTGGAGCGGGTGCAGACCGGCAACGGCTTCCACACGTCCAAACGAGGTCAGTCACGACAGCGGGCAGGGTCAACCTGGGTCAGTAACGGGAGCATGCAGGGTCAGCCTGGGTCAGTCACGCCACCGCGCCGGGTCAGTCTGGGTCAATCACGTCACCGGCCTGGGTCAGTCTAGATCATTTAGGGGACAAGGCAGGGTCATCCTGGTCTGGTGGGCTGAGTCAATCAGGACATCGTGCAGGGTCAGCCAGGATCAGTCACGGCATTGGGTGAGATCAGACGGGCTCGGTCGTGGCAAAGGGCCGGGTTCCGCTGGGTCAGTCACTGCAATGGTCACAAGGGCAGACAGCGTAAGTCACGGCACTACAATGGCTCACACGAGGCCAGTGGTGGCACCGGGCTGTTTCAGATGAGGTTGGTCATGCCTTCAGGCCAAGTCAGACTGTCTATCAATGTAATGGACAGGTTCAGGTGAGATTGGTTACGGCACGCGGCTGGGTCACACTCGGTCAGGTACGACCTTGGGTGAGGTCACATGTGTTCCGTCACCGTCCAGTCCCGAGCTGAGCCAGAGAAGGTCAGCCACGGCGCCGGGTCATGCCGAACAGGGTCATCCACTGTGACTGGTAAGGTCAGACATGGTACCGGTACCGGGCTGACGAACAGGGTCATCCACTGTGACTGGTAAGCTCAGACATGGTACCGGTACCGGGCTGACGAACAGGGTCATCCACTGTGACTGGTAAGGTCAGACATGGTACCGGTACCGGGCTGACGAACAGGGTCATCCACTGTGACTGGTAAGCTCAGACATGGTACCGGTACCGGGCTGACGAACAGGGTCATCCACTGTGACTGGTAAGGTCAGACATGGTACCGGTACCGGGCTGACGAACAGGGTCATCCACTGTGACTGGTAAGGTCAGACATGGTACCGGTACCGGGCTGACGAACAGGGTCATCCACTGTGACTGGTAAGGTCAGACATGGTACCGGTACCGGTGCCACGACACCGGGCTGGGCCGAACAAAGTCAGTCCTGACCGTTTCGCATCGAAACGGTCAGGACTGACTTGCGTACGACTTGCAAGACTGAGATGCATGCGAATGTTTCGAGTGGATCTTTCTCCCGAAGCCACGAATGCAAATATTGTAGGGCTCTCATCTGCTTGGCAAAATTGAGCTCAACATCAAAGATCCATTCTCCAGTGCGGTTGTTTCTCCAGCGACCGACTGTCCCGCGGGACGCAGCCCACCGGCAGACCTACCAGCCGCCCAGCTCTCTGCTCCGCCTCTGACAGCAGCACGCTCTCTCACCCTTCCGTCGCAGTGTGCCACCTGCTGAAGCTGGGCGTGGGCGCCATAGTGGGGCCCAGCGCCGAGCCAGCCGCGTCGCACGTGCGCAGTATGTGCGACACCAAGTCCGTGCCGCACATCGACACCACGTGGCGCTATCGGCGCGGCAGCGAGCACTTCTCCGTCAACCTCTACCCGCACGCGGCCACGCTAAGCAAGGTGATCTGCCGCCTCAGACATTGTGACAAGCATGCGACTTACACTGATAAGATGGTTGCGCAATGGAATGCATGTCGTACGGACGCAAATCATGCAGGGCAGGGGCCAGGGGTGTCAATTTTTGTCAATGGTTTGGGGGCCGAGCTGCGAGCCCAACGATCTAACCCCTTATATATTTTTCTTACCCAGTTTGTTTGGGCAAAAGGCAATTTTTATCGTCAATGGTTGTATCATTTCAAAACGGATCTAGGGGGATGGGACTGGAGACACGTGCCCCTTCTGACCTGAAAGTAAAGGAAAACATCTAAAGACGGCATGAGGGCGCCAATGACATACTTTTATGGTGATCATCGCGGCGGGACGTATTTTTGGTTTGGGGAGGGGACAGGACAGGGCTAGTCATAAAGGACTTGACCATTTCCGTTCTCCATAGCTTTTCAGTTCAACCTCTGAGGCATATGCGTGCTTTATGGCGCTAGCTGCATAAAGTTTATCGCATCGTTTATCCGCTCAGCCGTTGCGTAGTATATGGCAGAGGTAATGTGACTTTTTATTACCAACGTTGGGATGTTGAAGTGTTGGCATGTGCACTGCTCTTTACGACAAAAATATATACTTTATATCTATGGGGCGGTAAATATCCGGCTACATAACGGATTCAGTTACTGGATTTGAAAGCCAAACAATTCGCTCAAATGACACAATTTATTCCGATTTAATTTTTGGCCCTAGATTGAAGTCAAAACGCCTCCTGTGTCAATTGCTGCTGTACTTAAGTTACGATTTTTGCGGAAATGCGCAAGTGGCGCGTGCACATGTCACTTTGAATATGATGTACCAGATTTTCAACTCAATTATGTTACGTCATCAACAATTGCAACCAACGGCATAACCACGGTCAACAGTGCTCAACAAAACTTCGTCGTGTTGAACAACTTAAAATGAACAGTGCGCGTTGACCAGTAGTTGTGTGGAATTGAAGCTAAAAGTAAACTGCTTCAATTGAATGCGTACAAATGTGCTCTAAACACAGTGGTGAGAATGAATTTGTTGTATTAGTGGTGTAGAACATGCGTGTGCTATCAATGCGACCGCCGCATGCAGGCTTATTATGAAATTGTTGCGCTGCCCGAGGTGCGCGTAAATTTCCGTTCAGTTGGTGCATATCATATGTGTAAGTCATTTTGATTTGAAGTGATTTGGTTCTTCAACGGAGTGGCAACTTTATAAGTGGCCAGTGTACAAAATAAGTTTGATTGAAATGCGTGAGATTACGTATTATTCAATGGTGTCATTATTTGCTGCACACGGCGATGCGCCTGAAACCTGAAACCCTCGTCATCTGAAAGTCCAATCTAACAACGAATCGTTGATTTCCTTAAAATGGTGGATGAACGCAGCTACATACCTATTTTAAGACACATTGGTCGCACGATTCAAGATGAAGCTCAAAATTTTTCGTTATATTGTTCCGAAAAACGTAAGGCTGTCAAAAACAATATCTCTGTTCCAAAAAATAGCGTGATTTTTTCTCACAGCTTAACTAAGCGTGACTGTGTTTCATGTTGCATGTGATATCCTTTGATAAGCACAGTGAAGAGGCCGTTTAAAGACATCGCCTTTTTACGAGCGCGTTAGCGGCTATGCGTAAAATGCTCGCAAAAGGGATCGCCAACAAAGGCCATTTATCCGCTGGCTTGATGGTGCCAACCTGGTTACGGGGCAGTCGACGGTCGTGTAGTCGCATGGTCCAGTAAACGTCCCTCCATGGTATTTAGATAAGGGACTGAGGCAAAACAGATCTGTCGCAGATGTTTTGTGCTAGCAATTAACTGTGCCCAGCATGGAACCAGATTAAAAATCTGTCCCCGCAAACTTTTCGTTTTCTGTGTGGTTTCACATTTTGTAAGCGAACTGGACCCATAATCTGAACAATTGATGCCGCGACAGAATAACAAACCTGTTACCTAATCTTGTTGTGTTATGAGACCTTACAACATAGAACCAGTGACGTCAATGTCTTGGTCTGTTGCGGAAAAAAGTTTGAGCTTACATTCGACGGACAAAAAGTCAAATTATACCCTGAACTGAAGGCATAATATTGAGGTTGCGACCTCGAGTTACACAGCTGTGCCCTCCAGGGGGACGTCACTACGAGGAAGGATTAAAGAAGGTCGTCTCGTGGTAGTCAGCTCTTTCCTACATTTAGAAATATTCCAGTTCAAAATATTGGGAGGAGGACAGACACACATTGGGGGACAACTAAACATTGGGGATGGGGCAGTGCCATCACAAAGGAATACAAATCGACACCCGTAGCAGGGGCGAAGCCAGGGTTTTTTGAAGTGCAGAGGGGGCGACAGAGGTCACGAGGAAAGCATCACTCCATTTTTTGTCTTTCTGTCTGAAGTCATCCGTGGAAAAAATGAAAATGAGGTCCAAATGAGGATAAGGGGGGGGGGGTACACATACTCCCCCCCCCCGCCCTTCGGTGCACCCCTGACATAGGGTACGCGTCAGCCACTATTTGTGTGACGAGAGCAGGCTCCCGCAGACAGGGGGTTCCGTTTCGATTCACCACGACAGCGGAGTGTTGCGTACCCTACATATGCCCATATCTCGCTCGCATGATGTTACGTAGCCTGACTGGGGCTCATCTTGGCAATATCTGTTGAACGTATACACGGTATGTGTGCCTGATTAGCAATGGTCAGATTGAATTTGTTTACTTTAGAAATCACGACGCATATCTGATTTCATCAAACGTGATTACGCGTCATGTGGCAGGTACCATCATTCCGACTTTTTCTGAGGCTGGATGGCTGAGCTAATATCAGAATCAAATAATTCTGAGGCCTCCCTGTTTCGCAGTCCGTAATGAGAACCATGGTGAATGTGTTATTGCAGGCTTATGTCGACATTTTGAAGACTCTTGGCTGGACCAAGTTCCACGTCCTGTATGAGGACAATGACTCGCTGGTGCGCCTTCAGGAAGTTCTGCAGATGCCCGATAATAATAACAAAATTTCTGCGAGTGTTCGGCAGCTGCCAAAAAACAAAGATTACAGGCAAGTGCGCAGCTTGTGTCAGGAACAGATGCACCCACCGAGTTGATTTTCCATGAATGTAAGAAGGCAGCGTGACCGTGAAACATTCTTTTGAGCACAGCAAGCTTCGTTTATTGCCTGCAGACAGCATGATATTTGATCGCATCGAATTCGCCACGTCCGCCAAGAGCTCATGCGTCATATGTCTTAACCAGACCGCTGCTGAAGCAAGTTCAGAACTCTGGAGGCACGCACATCGTGATTGACTGCTCAACGGAAAACATATTCAACGTACTCAAGCAGGCGCAACAGATTGGGATGGTCACCAGATATTACCACTATTTCTTCACCAACCTGGTAAGCGAGGATAGTTACATAATGTTCTCTGGCATGCATGGACGTCATCACTATCGAGTGTATCTGTCTTGTCAAAATGATCGGTCTCCTGTAACTCTAAGCACGGAAGAATGATTAGTGAGATCATTTTCTGCTGCGTAACAACTTGCTCTCGACAAGCAGAGTGGTAAATGAGGCACTTGACCTGCACCTGCATGCAGACCTGCACTTGCATCCCAGGGGGAGGGGAGGGGGCTATAGTGCACATTATTGACTGACCTAGAATTGTTTAACTTGCTGTTTTTCTCAACTCGTTCCATCAATTGACTTCGCGGTTATTTAAGATGGCTGGAGTTTATTGAAGATATTCTACAAAGAGTTGAACAAATAGCGTTGTCATTTCCTTGACATCCATTCCCGCATTTCGTTGTCATTTCCTTGACATCCATACAATATGCCGAAATTTCGGCATATTGTACGCCCGAACGTAACCTTCTGCAGCGATGATGGCAAATGCAAGGTAACTGGGGTTAGTTTTAATAATAAGCGCAAATAACAAAAAGCGTTAAAAGCGTTTGTAGAAAAGCGTAACGTTGTGTAACATGTTTCTCGAAATACTTACCTGATATTTCGTAAAAGTCTTCCCCGTACGCGTAGCCAGACTCGTAGCTTTCCCCAAATCCGTACCAAACCCAGCCCGATACCGATTTTATGCTGATATTCGTGGGTTTACCCAATCCGTGCGGCTCTCTGCAAGTCCAGCCTCTCCGTCACAGGACCTGCACACAGTGGAGCTGCACGACTTCCAGTACGCGGGCACCAACATCACGGGTCTGCGACTGATCAACACGACGGACCTGCGCGTCGTGAAGAGGGTCGAGAGCTGGAAGGAGGCGGAGGCGGCGCGCGGCCGCCACGTCCCCATCACCGCATCACGGCTCAGTGTCAGTGGGCGGAGGAGGTGGGCCGCAGCGGAGGGCCCGCTCGGCACCACCCGCTATTTCCGGGTTAAAATAGGGGATTACTGGGTGAAACGGCGGATTACTGGTACTGGGTGGTGGAGTAGGTAGAATGTGAGCAGGGGAAGAAATTGTTGTCTCGGTGCGGAAGCATTCAGTTTAGTACTTGCATTGTCACATTTAACTGATCATACATTGCATTGTTCATACTTGAACTGTTTATACATGAACAGGTCATAATGGAACTAATCCTACTTTAACTGTTCATGCTTAAACTTTTCGTACTTACACTCTTCATTCTTAAACCTCTCATGCTTGAACTTTGTGTAATGAACATATATTAAACTGTTACACTGAACACTGCCAATCCATTGTGACAAATTGACGCCATTTTGTCTCCAACTGTCTTACGGTGCTGAACAACATGCCTGCTAAAAATTGCCGTCCAACAACCTTTTGAAATGTTTGAAAAAACATCGCGCGAGATCTCGTGTGCGGGCCCCTGGCAATTACTGCCGTCCTTTGTCTGCCGACGGCAGCGCCCGTTGAGGCGACCTGAATGGTCGTCCGTCCCGGTGCTCTATCGCCCACTTCTCTGCCGCTCTTTTTCGTTGGACCGACAAGCGACAGCCTCAGATTGGCCTTAAAAGGTCGGTCGATGCGCTGATGGTCGTCTGGACTGAATCCGAACAGGTTTGAGGCGGCAAGCAGCTGACGCCGACGCCCCATTTCGTGGAATATTGCATGTTAGATCATTAGCGTCTCACATGAGTGCCGTCGTTGTCACTGAGTTCGCACCGGTCGATTTCCATAGTAAGCGCGGCGAGGAGACGAAGTGGGCCAACGTTGCGGATGTACGATAATCTAATGCGCTCTTGGCTGCGGCGTGCAATGTGCCAGAGAAATTCAACACCGCAGCAGAACCACTCGTAATGCAATCACGAGAAATACCGCCAGCCTAGATGAGCACAGCTGGGCACAGCGGTACATGTAAACGATCCTACGCTGCTCTGGTCTGTCTTTTTCAGAGCCGTCACGCTGTCGGCGTATAGAGATTCCAAAAGCTTTTAACGATTTTGGTGCCCTTGTCGATTTTGGTGCTCTGCACGGCAACGAACAAAGAGCACACTGTGGATAACACATCGCAGAGATTGATTGTCGGCACTCTTGCGGGATGGTGCTGACCATGGGCTTGCTGACGGGATGGTGATGACCATGGGCTTGCTGACGGGATGGTGATGACCATAGGCTTGCTGACGGGATGGTGATGACCATGGGCTTGCTGACGGGATGGTGATGACCATGGGCTTGCTGACGGGATGGTGATGGCCATGGGCTTGCTGACGGGATGCCCACCGTAGCACTTCCGCACTGTGCGTGCAGCTGGCCTGTCCCGGTTTCTCGGGCCCAGTGGTCAGAGGACAGTTCAGGTAGCTCAGAAGGCAGCCGCAACCTCGGCTGGGCTACCGGACTGAAATATGTATTTCAATGCGGACCATGCCCGTGAACCCACCGCGGCGGGTGCTGGTTCATGTATTGCATTTCGGGGCGGACCATGAACCCCCCGCCGTTGGCATTGTGTTCGTACAGCCGCCAGACGATCACTACTCAGTTGCTGCAAGCTCCTGGATAGGAGCCGGTGGCGGAAAAGCCTGCAAAAGCCAGACTTGAACCTAGGACACTACTGGCATATTGGCACTTGCACTGACCAACTGCTCCCTCGAAGTGGTTAATTCAAAGGCTTGAGTGGCCCTGTCAAGTGCGGAAGTCGGTGCGCCCACACGACAGCCCGGATATGAAGTCAGTGTAACTTAGCTGTCTCTGAGCCCCGAAGCCAACGGTGGGGAGCACGCCGCGACCCCGGATGACCCCGCTGATCTCCAAGACCTCGGATGATCCGCTAACCTCGGAGATCGTAACCCTGGTGACCCCCGCGACCCCGCCGCAGACTGAGGCGGCACTGCTGTATGACGCGGCGCTGCTCTTCGCCAAGGCGGCCGCTGACCTGCACAGCTCGCGAGACATCAGTGTGACGTCACTCAACTGTGACCTGGATGACCTTTGGCCGCACGGCGAGAGTGTGCTCAACTACATGCAGCTGGTAAGACGCCCAGGATCTGCCTCTGCAGGTCGTGGCGGTCGGTTATAACTTTTTCCCCGCATACTGAGCTTTTTAACGACAGGCATTGTGTTACAGCACATTGTGTTCCGCACCTCTTTCATTCAGTGCAGAAGGCTGAAGGAGCATAGGAAATATAAAGCGCTTCTAGCACGCCTTCTCAAATAACGTTTCAGGTGTGGGGGGAGGGGTGCAAAGCATACCATCTCATGAATGCACCGGTCGTGCACTGACAGCCATCGTCACCTGGCTGTCTGAAGGTCTGTGCGACATTCATAATTGATAGTGAGATCGTTCTACTCCACAACACACGGAGTCTCATGAGGCCCTTACTACCCTCACGTGTTGGGCCGTCATGTCTAGAGGTCTTGCGTAGAAGCGGCCCTCGGGATAAGATGTGCTTCACCCAGTTCATCTGCAGTGTTGTACCTCATGCCCACCCGGCGCCCGGTACTCGTTACCAATCAGGTGTACCTACGTGGTACCCGTTCTTAGCTGGGTGCACCCGCCCGTTACCCGGCCGTTTTCATTTTGCAACGCCTAATTGCGAAGTTATTGAAGAGTTTCAGGAACTTTAGACCAAGGGAACTCTTCTGCGTAAATAACTAAAGAAGTAGTGTGGATAGAGCTACTTATTACTGAAGGAAGTGCAGAGACATTGGGTAGCATTTCTGTATTTACTCGGGAATTCGTAAATATTTTACCCATAGACGCACCCACGCCCGCAATTCTCCCAAAAGCCGTCTCCAATCCAGCTCGTTGCCCATTCGAAACAAGAAACCACGGGCTTGCCAATGCATAAAGTTCTTAGCTGAACAGTCCCAACCTGCCCTCACAGATGCAGTGAGGCCCTGATTTGTTCCCACCCGCCCCGGGCCAACCTTGTGTATCATTAGCAACGGCCTGCTGTCCCAGGCCTTGCCTGTGGGCCCTGAGCGGTGATCATCTGGCCGGCAGGTGGAGGTGGAGGGCCTGACTGGGCTCGTGCGATTCGACACGCTGGGCCAGCGCTCCAGCTTCAGCCTGGACGTGCTGTCGGTGCTGGAGGAGGGCCTCGCGCCGCTCGGGCGCTGGGGACCGGACGGCTTCAGCATAGTCGGCAGCGACAGCCGCACCCGGCAGACGCCAAGCATCCGCAACCAGAACCTGATCGTCACCACGCTCATAGTGAGTGCTCGGGGGGGGGGGGGGGGGGGGGGATGGGGCAGACGAGGCCTCGGCTGGTAGGAATCCGTTCAGGCGTCATATCGGCTGCGAGGGAGGCGCTCATGCCATTGGGATTGCGTTATGGCGGCGCTCCCAGTCTCCTCGCATGAGATGGTACGCGTGACGTGGGCTGAAATGAGTCGAAATCAGAAGCATGCATCGACTGTCGATCAGCGCAGAAGTACAATGATATTGACCAGGCAGAAATGTTGTTTATCTTACAAATGCTACGCACGATTAGTTTTTTTATTTTGTAGTTGCTTCACTGTTGTGGGTGCGCAAGTGATAATCACATCATGTCAGGGGTTACCAGCAACGTTTTCGTCTTTATGTTAGGGACTGTTCATGAATTATGTTATTGATTTTTTGTCATTTTAATATCCTCCAATGTTTACCCATTAAGAAGATATACTGGCTATGCTGTGAGCAACGTTCAAATAATGAAACCCTCCTTTACCCTCCAATTGAGCCAGGGCTACTGTGTAAAAAAGGACGTATTGCTTGTAAGATGAGACCAACAGTACAAGGCTGCAAGGTGTGTCACGTCTACATGTAACCTGCCCGGTCGAGTTAACGTGCACACATTTGGTCAGGTAAAAACCATGGCAAGTGGGAATGGCATGAATTTACGCCACCTGATGGTGATAAAACGAGTCCGAAGGGGTGGAAATTGCTCGCAATAGGCATTAATTTTTATTTGCACTCTCCAATGCCTTGAAGATGGGGCGACAACATGAAGGTCAACCGGTCATCTAGGTCAGCCACCTCTGTGAACCTCGTGGTCACGAACCTTGTTTAACACGCGCCCGGGTGGCCGGCTAGATACCCTTCGCTCGGGTGGGGGGGGGGGGTCAATTTGACCCCCTGAGATTTCAAGAACTAAGAGAGCTAAAGACACTAAATTTACAGGGTGTCTTGGCCTGTACGTGAACTCATTTAGGTCAAAGTCTGAGCGTTCTAGCTCATGACCTACAGGTCAAGTAAGGTCAGACAAAGTAAAATTCCAGGTTGGTCTCCAAAGTACCCTCAGAACCTAAGCAACTGTCTCTAAGCAAAATTTTAAAAGCCCATTCGAGGTCATTGACCTTGTTTGACCCTTTGAAGGTCATGGTGACCAAAATCGTACAAGACTGCTCTGAGTTTTGATTTGAACAAGCTAAAAAGATTACGCTAGGCAATATGTTTCTAAAACAAAATGTCAGCCTTGATCGCCTTAAAACAATGAGCTTTTCTGACCTCCAAGAAGTCAATGGAAGGTTTATAATGCTGTTCCTGTTGTCGATAAATTCGAAATGAGCACCACAAACTATCCCATACAGCATGCCTTAGAGTAATAAATCAGGTTGGTTGTGACCTTGGTCTGACATTCATACCTGGCCTTAGGTCAACGTAATTTGCTTTTTTAATAAATATGGTGCCTAAGAAAGGATCTCAGAGCCGTATGGCTTTGGCAAGCACTCCGTTATTGCATCAGATTGGACGACTCCCTAGAAACTGCCTTGGCTGAAACCATGGCCTGACTTTGAAATGCCGTAGGTCAGCCACCTGAAAAGGTACGTCCAAATTTGCTATGTCAAACGATCCGCTATTTAATGGTCTACAGCTGCGCACAATTTGGTGCGGCCACGCCGCACCGTTCGGAAACCATTCCGGAAAAACCTTCGGGGGTTCAATTTGATCCCCTCCGAACGCGTGTTGAAGCGCAGGTATGGTTTATTTACGCGTAATTCGGCCTCCAGTTACATCTGGAATAGTACTTGCTGTCGTAGGTTTCCGGATGATTGGCATTTCAAGCTTAAGACAAGCTTGCCAGCGTCCTGAACGTCGACCTTTGAGCTCGGGGCCTGACCATTTAGCGTTGTTGCCACCTTGACTTCCTAGACACGTAATCACTAACAGCGCGACGACGTTCGTTACGGTGGCCCAGTCGGTCAGAGCCTCTGCCTTCCGATTCACCCAGTGGTGGCGGGGTGAGTTCGAGTCGCTTTAAGCGCTCGCTATTTGGCGTTGCCAGGCATGGCCTGCGGCCGGTGGCGACGGCGGCGATAAAGGTCAGATGATGTCAGAGGGCAGGACGGACCGCGCCGATTGTTGTGGCAACGTTAAGTTTTCGCCACCAAATTTTATCCTTGAAATGGAATAGCGCGATCCGATGGAAGAGTTCAGGGCTCACACAACAAGCACTGCTTAGCGTAGGTTGTAATCCCAGAAATCCATCTTTTCAAAAGGTTCGGATAAAATCTGTTAAAAATTGACAATGAAGGCTTGACATACTCAAAAGACAACTCAGTGTTTTCCCATTCTGCGGTAAGCAAGTGTTCTGTTCCCAGAGCGATGGTTGTTTAAAAACTCGCAATGACCTGAAATTTGACGAAATTGAGAACTATTTCCTTCCGACGGCTAGAGGCCAAGCAGATGGGGAGGACGGGAGACTTGATTGGAATGGAAGGACTGCTTGAAGTCCTGCACGTCTAGTGAGGGTCACGAACATCACATTTTAATTTTCAGGCCAGTTCAGGCGAAAACAAAGTATAACAAGTTGTAATGACATAAATTAAACGCCATCTGACTGTTATGGAAGAGGCCTGGATTGATGGGCACTTTGCCATAAATGGGATGTAAAAGGTTACCCGATGAGAACGTATTATTTCGGTGACCTCAGTTGACCTTAACAGGGTCTGGAATATGGTGGAATGCGTAGGTGTGTTCCGTTAACATGCAGTTTGAGCTTCAGTTACACTATGAAGCACCTATATCTGAGTGTCATTTGCTGTCGTGCATATATGTTGTTTTTGGACAGTTCTGGCCAAATTGTCCACGCAGCGATTCAGAAATGATTTGAAAGTAACTGGCTTCAAACGACCTAGGCTTCATTTCAAAATGTGCAAGAACTTGACAAAATTCGACATTCAAACTATACTCGTGGTCTAGTGACCAAGAGGCTCGAAACTTAGAGGTTTGTCAATATAGACAACACCTCCTTGATAGCATCGTTTAAGCAGTACTTTCTAGTTGACTGGAGGTCGTTTGTTTTCCAAATGAGAACTTCCGAGGGAGCTCAAGGTGCTTCTTGCCCATATGAGCCACCTATGTCATTGGTGCCAGTTACCGGGTGTCCTCACGGTCTAATACGCCCGATTCATTTTGTAGAACCGCACAATCTTGACGATCCCAGTGTACCAACACCTCTAATCGTGCCACAGAAAAAGCCGTACACGATGATCAAGGAATCCACGGAGAAGCTGGTGGGCAACGACCGGTACGAGGGCATCTGCATCGACCTGATCCAAGAGCTGTCGCGCATGCTTGGCTTCAACTACACAATCGTGGTGAACGCCGACGGTGCGCCGGGCACCTACAACGAGACGACAGGCCGCTGGAACGGCATGATCGGCGAGCTGCTGGACGGCAAGGCGGACCTCGCCATCGCCGACCTCACCATCACGTCCGATCGCGAGGCTGTGGTCGACTTTACCATGCAGTTCATGAACCTCGGTGAGCGGATCGGCCGCGAGCGGTGCTCAGCGGCCCGCTGGCGGCCGTACACGGAGCGAGGCTTGGCAGCGGAGACGGCCGCTGCAGATACCAGGCTGAGCGAGTGCTTTCGTAAAGGTGTGAGATGGCAGGCGATATTTCCCCTAGTGTTCTCTCTCATTTTTCCCCATTTCTCTCCCATCGTTTCTCTGTGTTCTTTTCTTACCGCCATTTTAGGTTATCTTGCGAATGACACATAGATGTTCGATCGCTTGAGGTATCATTGGAGTTTACTTCAGCCTCAATTAAATCCTTTTCGTGGTTGCAGGGATCAGCATTCTGTACCGGAAGCCGACCAAGCAGCCGCCCTCTCTCTTCTCATTCCTCTCTCCGCTCTCTCTGAGGGTTTGGCTGTACATGGGAGCAGCTACCATGGGTGTTTCTCTGCTCATGTTTGTTCTAGCCAGGTGAGAAGGGCAGTGTGAAGGTGAAGGGGACTGTAAAGGTAAAGAGGAATTGCAAAGCTGAAGGGCGGCACAAGTAGTGCTACTTTAAGTTTAATGGTTTGACACGAACCTTGGACGGTCATATTCTCTCTTATGCACCTTTTCCAATACGCATATACACCAACCTCAGCCGGGCGAAAGTTATTTTCACCAGCAATGTTGGCGACGAGTTGGTAGGAAGTAAGCATCCCTGCCCATTTGATCCCATACTGAGCTACAGCCGCGCAATGAAGATCATGGAGTAGCCTGGTGTCTGAAAAACCCAGCGACGTCCGGCTCCAAGCCTGTGGGTGTAATGTGACGCTGCAGCTGATGTGCACTTCAACGCATGAGCACACAGTCCCAGAGGCTACCACTTCCTATCCTTGGAACGGCAGTTTCTTGTGCAAATGAACACAGCACCATGCCCTTAAACATATTCAGCGAAAAAGGCTACCAAGACAGATCAAATCTAAAACAAGGCATGGCATGCCATTGGCCTTGTTTAGCCGTGAAACAGTCACCGACTTATCAAAAGTGATGTGTGCACAGTGGTTGGAGACGGCCTCGCGGAAAGCTCCGGAACCGAGTTTCTGAGTTGTGATATAGGTCGTTTGGGGATATTCATGAAGCAAACTGATCGTGGTATCCCACATCAACTTGAAAAATGGGTTCAATTTGCGAAAACTGCAAATAACAGTCTGCAAATATTGACAGGCTTGCATGAGCTGACACCTTGATCGGAAAAATGCAAAAAGGGACTGCATGATGCGGCGGGTGTTAATCATAAGCTTGCTGGTTGTAAAGTAGACGTGTTTTGTGAGGTTCTGTAATGATTTACCACAAAGATCACAATCTTAGAACACTGCATGAATATCGCGAGCATTCAAGTCATTTAGGGTCTCACGTTTTGTTACTGAATGTGCGGTATTGTGATAAGAGCTGGCCGAAATACAAATGGCTGAACCGAGCGATTTTGATGACAGGTACCTAGCAAACCCATCGAAAGAAACTTACCAGTGAGTGTCAGTATTAACCACAGCGACTATTTAACTCGCTCTAAACCACTGTAAGTAAACGACGTTGCTAACAATCATATCAGGCTGCACAAAATTCAGACGTTAAGGCCTCAAAGTCTTAAAATAACGTGTATGTTCAACTGAGGGAAAAGCTTATGACTGTGCCACAGTTCTTTTATCCTCAGACCTGTGTGGTATTTTGCTGTAACTAAAACGTATACTTTTAAGCTGGTATTCGCTGCCCGTGCTTCATTGCTGCTTTTCAGTCTACCATGTACTCACCTAGTGGTGCATACATTCTGTAAAGACGCGTTTCCAAGATGTTCAATAATCCAGCCACGAACGCCACGGCTCGTTTTGCTTTATAACACACCGTTTGTTCAGGTCAGGTTACAAGTCATCGCTTATTTCACTGCTTTTAGTTTCGTACCGTGCCTGTTTGCGCGACAGATTCACTCCGTACGAGTGGGAGCCTCCGCACCCCTGCGCTCCAGACCAGGACCAGCTGGAGAACCAGTTCAACTTCCTGAACTGTATCTGGTTTTGCATCGGCTCCCTCATGCAGCAGGGATGCGACTTCTTACCCAAGTGAGTCTGTCTAATGTTCTCAACTTCCCGGCGATAGTTCAAACATCCTTGAATCATGGATGTTTGAACTCAGGCACGTTTCGATGGGGCAGTTTTAAATCAGATTTATGTCTGCCCCACCGAAACGTGCCAAAATACTGACAGAGAGCTAGTTGGGGTATGCCCATAGCGTACACATTACAATTTATTGTCAATGCTGCGGCGAAGCAGTGCTTTCCAGCCATTCATGTGCATTCGCGACCACTAACATTGCAGCCGTAAAAGCATTTTCAGTGAACAAACATGTGCTATAATTCTACAGTTGTTATCAAAAGACGGCTGTTCGTAAACATTTATCTTACGCAGTCCCTTGCCGCAATACCTCGATTGGTGAACCGTGTGTTGCGAGTCTCAAACTCTGTCATGTAAGACCATCCTGCCGTTGTTTTCAGGGCAGTCTCCACTCGCATGGTGGCTGGAATGTGGTGGTTTTTCACGCTGATCATGGTGAGAGGACAGTACCGCACCGCTGCCCGAAATCAGCGCAGGGCTGCCCGCGGGCCCGTCGGACTAAACATGCCCAGTAAAAGTCATTGGTTCGGCTGGAGATGCGCGGCTTGTGTTATAACTTCAAGATGTGCGTGAATAGCCCTGGTTAGCGCTTGCTGTGAGCCATCTAGTGGCCTGTATGGGGCATCCAAATACCCGTTTCCGAGAACAAATGACAGTCTTTCAGCTCCATGGCACTCAATACGAATATCCCGGTATCAACCGATGCGTCCGATAGAATCATACAACTAAAAAAGAAAATTGTTCCTACCACTTCTAACCCGGAACGAGCGATCCCGCTTGCCACTCGAACTCATCTGAACAGGTTCGTTAACGAGTGATTGATACTAGTCATTTCACGAAGCGTTGTCACGGTGACCGACAACAATCCAGATTCGACTGACGTCGTACAGTGAGCTCTCTCAGTGGGCACAGTGAGCTTTCTCAGTTAGCGCCTCCAGGATGCTCTGAGACGGGTCGCGCGAGCGTTCATCACCCCGTCCATGACCAGCTGCGCCGCCCGCAGATCTCATCGTACACGGCGAACCTGGCGGCCTTCCTGACCGTGGAGCGGATGAGCTCGCCGATCGAGTCGGCAGAGGATTTGGCCGCGCAGACCGACATCAAGTACGGCACGTACGCCGATGGATCGACCGCCACGTTCTTCAGGTACGCCGCCGCCAAAGCTGACCATGTCGCCTTGGGCGGATCACATGCGGCTGGAGCCCCAATTCACCTGAAAGGATGCGTGTAACCTGGAGATGGAAACTGCAAGTTATAGTCCGACACAGACACTGTCGCTGCTAGCAGTTCATTGCAATTGTCGGTATGCCTGTGCAGACTAGCATCCGTACCACGCTCCGCCAAGCCCCAGTCGGCACAATGCGTTAGCGTTTATGCCACGCTCCGCTAAGCTTCGATCGGTACATCCCGGTAGCGTATGTGCCACCTTCCGTTAGGCTTCAGTCGGTACATCCCGGTAGAGTATGTGTCACGTTCCGCTAAGCTTCAGTCGGTACATCCCAGTAGCGTTTGTGCCACGCTCCGCTAAGCTTCAGTCGGTACATCCCGGTAGCGTTTGTGCCACGCTCCGCTAAGCTACAGTTGGTACATCCCAGTAGCGTTTGTGTCACGCTCCGCTAGGCTTCAGTCGGTACATCCCAGTAGCGTTTATACCACGCTCCGCTAAGCTTCAGTCGGTACGTCCCAGTAGCGTTTGTGTCACGCTCCGCTAAGCTACAGTTGGTACATCCCGGTAGCGTTTGTGCCACGTTCCGCTAAACTTCAGTGGGTACAATCCGTTAGCATTTGTGCCTCGCTTCGCCAAGTCTCAGCCGGTGCAACCCGTACTAGGGGTTGAATGTAGCTGCAACCGACTCTAACATCTTTGTCTCAATGTCTGTGCCCCGGTAGGACGTCCAAGATCTCGCCGTACAACAAGATGTGGCAGGTGATGCAGAACGCACAGCCGAGCGTATTTTTCGACGCCGAAGCGGGCATCAAAAAGGTCAAGGACGATGCGGGGAAATACGCCTACTTTATGGAGTCATCCACCATCGAGTACGTGGTGGAGCGAGCGTGCGAGCTCTCGCAGGTCGGCGGCCTGCTCGACAACAAAGGATATGGAATCGCCCTGCCGCCGGGTAAGCACCGCCACAATCCATCGCGGAGAGCTCTTGGACCCGCTTCTCCAATACCGTGTGGGGAGACGCTCTGGAACATTGTGGAACACATGTGACGGGCGCTAGGGGGCAAGGCGGCTCACTGCTTTTCATCCCGTTTTGGTAATCGAACTGAGAGACCTTTGCTTTCCCCTGGAGGCTTTTCTTAATTATTTTTTGTGACTGTTCTTAACTAATCGTATTTGTGGCAGCGCAGTATTCTGGCCCTTCGCTAGCAGAAATGATCATTGGTAAGTCGGCTGGCCCTGTTCAGGTTCACCGATAAGAGATCGACTGAGTTCAGCCATCCTGATGATTCAAGAGAAAGGTATACTGCAAAAGATGTATACCCGTTGGTGGAAGGAACGGAGGTTAAGACGCAGCAAGTGTAAGGTACATGGCGTTCTTGTGGGCAGGCATGATACTTGTAGATGTGTTTACAGTTCTTATCCGTCGGAACTGTTTTTTTTTTGTCCGTTGCATTTTTCTGCAGCAGTTGTTGGTGTTGTAGAGTGTTGCGGATGGTTGATGTTTTAGCATGGGTAAACCTACTGGTGTGATCAGCGTTGGTGAGTAACCACGTAACCTACACGCTCATAACATTTGACTTCATTTGATTTGGGTTGCAGTGACTTGCTGCATGTTCTTTTCCATGCTCTTTTTTTGCATAATGGTGACCAAGTGACGAACATGAGGTTTTTCTCATGCCCATGTTATGCTTTGTGTTTTACCGACACTGGTCTTAACTGTACTCGGATAAATGTCAGAGTCGGATAAATGTCAGAGTGCCGCATGGCTTGTGAATCGCATTTGGCCAAACTATCACTTGTTTGAAGTCAAGGGCGAACTAAAAATGCTTCAATAGCAAGTATCAGTGCCCAAATAGTTGAAAACACCTCTGAAATAACTATTACACTTCCTGCTACCTTTGCTCCCAATAACGCTAGAATAACGACATTGTTAGAGAATAATCCCCAGAAGATGAAGCTTTGATTGGCAGGTAATGATAGCCTTAGATCAATCAATGTTTGGTGTAACGAGTGCAACAACTGCAACATGTCAGTTGGAAGCCATGACCGAAGGTGTTCAATTTCGAATCCATCAACACGTTTATGCGGCAGACGGTGGCCAGTTAGCAAGGAAATGCTGCAACAATGGCGTTTGTGCATACCATGGCGCATCTGCTGACAGTAAGACTCAAACGAGATCAGAGAAGGCTCTGGTCAGTGCATTATGGAGTGCGAAATGAACTGAAGAAATCGGTGGCACCAATTAGCGGCCAAAGTTCACTCTAAAAATATGTTACGACTGCAGCCAAAACATTATTTGTTGATGTTCTTTTCAGGTCTACTGTTTGTATAGGTGCTGGACGTTTTTGCAGTATTTCATCCCGACGCGTCCTGGGAATAATATTTCAACAAACCGCGAATGCGTTTCTTTGAAGTATGTCTTCAAGCAGCTTATTGTATGCATGATCATGGCCATAGGAATAGACTTATCGGATGCCTGTCTCTGTTAACTAGCCGCAGTTCCGATTAGAAAATATCCCAGGTGTAGCATTTTCCTGTTTCCTACATCGTTGTACGTGTTTTGCTTGCCTGTAGATTCTCCTTGGACCAGTCAGCTGAACCAGAAGCTGTTGCAAATGCAGGAAGAAGGCCAGCTGGCTGCCTTGAAGCGCATGTGGTGGGAGGAGCATGGCGGTGAAACGTGCAAAGTACGTATTGATGTTCACATGCACCTCTTCTCCCATCCGGCGGCAACGCCTTAAACGAACGCAAACAGCGCGGTTTCGAGCCTGTATGGAAATATGTGGGGCATTATATATATATATATATATATATATATATATATATATATATATATATATATATATATGTATATACATATATGTATATATGTTTGTATATATGGATATATACATATATATATACATATATGTATATATGTTTGTATATATGGATATATATATATATATATATATATATATATATATATATATATGTCCTCGTCCATTGTTTCTTGTTCATGTTTGCCTTCGTCAATGTAAAATGCCCGGGTCGTCCTACGGTCGAGCGGGATGCCTGAGGGATCTGACTTGAACGAAACGCATCTCCGAGCTGATGTAACCTATCGGGGCCTGACGCGTAGGAAGACAGCGGCGGTTCCATTGCGTCCGAACTGGATCTGGAGAACGTCGGCGGCGTGTTCGTCTGCTTGATGGGCGGCATGGTGGTGGCCACACTCATCGCCATCGTCGAGTTCGTCTTCCACCTACGCGCTCAGACCGCTGACAACAACGTGAGTCGATCACCGTCGGAGTGGCAGCGGAGGTACTCTGTTTGCATAGAGCACATGTTCAAGATGTTGCAAGAGCATATGTTCAAGCGTTGGTCGCGAAGACATGCCATCGTGTTTTGTTTTCATCCGCGATGCTTGGTTTATTTGTATCATTATATGGTTTAAAAAACTACATTCGTACCCGCCTACCATTCTTCTACCCAAGCGTCCCACTCTGCCTGTGGCAGAACGCCGTCACGTGCAGTTCGTCACACGCCGCCCCCTCCTCGGCCTGCCTGCGGGCGATGACGGGCGGCCCTGCTCCCCTGTCCGCAGACATCAATCCTGTCCGAGATGGGCCGCGAGCTTCACGTCATCCTGCGCTGCCGCGGCAGCACCAAGCCGGCCCGCGTCACGGCCGGCCGCCGCGGCTCGGCGGGCAGCGGCCTGGTGGCGTTCCCTAGCGGCGCTGCCGAGAAGCATGCCCCCGCCTTCGCCGGCTACGACGCGCCGGCCGTGTCCTGACTGGTCGGCTGGCGGCCGCCGCCGCTCCGGGCGCCCGCTGGCCGCCTGTGACGTCCCGAAGTCACGTGTGATGGCCCGGGATGACGTGTGACGATCTGGGGTGATCTGTAACGGCCCTGGTGACGTGTGACCATGTAGGGTGACGTGTGACCATGTGGGGTGACGTGTGATGGCCCGGGGTGACGTGTGACGGCTTGGGGTGACGTGTAGCGGGGGCAGTGATGTGCGGCGGCTCTGGGTGGGATGCGGCGGCCCCGGGGTGACGTGTGACGGCCCAGGGTGACGTATAGCGACCCGGGGTGACGTGTGTCGACCCGGGGTGACATGTGTCGACCCGGGATGATGCGTCACGGCCCAGGGTGACGTGTAGCGGCCCGGGGTGACGTGTGACGGCCCAGGGTGACGTGTATCGACCCGGGGTGACGTGTGTCGACCCGGTATGATGTATGACGGCCCAGGGTGACGTGTGGCGGCCCGGGATTACATGCGACGGTCTGGGGTCCTTGGGACAGCTGAGTCACGTTTGACGGCCCAGGCTCATATGTGGCACTCCGTGACCAGGCGTAACGGCCGTCATCACAGGACGCTGCTGCCTGACCTGCGTGCTACCCTGAGCAGTATACTAGTATCTATGGCAGTGTTGCACTTTAAAAAATCCTGACGCCAAAGGCTGGACGCTCGCAGGCATCGAACCTTCCTTTCGTCACAATGTGCACAGCCCTTCCCGTGCATCCCTGGTCCGAGGATAAACAATGCCGACTCGGTGACACGCGGCGACGGCAGGATCGGTCGGCGCCTGACTGGCAGGTTCAGGGTGACGTCATGGGTCCTTCGGAGGCCCGCACTGGTGCCGGGACCCCGTGCGGCAGCTAGCCGCGAGGATTTGGCTGGTCCATGGCGGTGCTGGGCTATCGTAGGTATGTACATCCATAGGTGTGTAGTACACTGTTCCGAACGTCATAGCTCGGTACATGCTGATGTTTGTCGTCGTGGTCAGGTATCTGAAGGCAAAATGAAAACGTCAATAAGTAATAGCGCATGCATTTTGCTAACTTGTACGATGGCATTAGGTTATGGATGGTGGCAAATCTTATAACGGAGCCCATTTGCAGTGTAGCTGATGGAATGGTGGAATGCCAATTTACGAAGAAATAAACCTACTCATGTGTGCCACACGTTATGTTGTGCGTTTAAATATGCAGAGATTTGATGGTTTGTAAAACATTGCCCAGAATAGTCCGAACATTTTTTTTCTGTAATGCATTTGGCCTGATTGAATGCAGAACTTGTGAAAAAACGATGAGGTTATGGGCGGTGATTGGGCTCGATATTTCTAGATGGTCTCCACAATATCACGGAAATGCAATCTGTAGACTTCTAGATCACCCTATCTGCCATTGTCTTCCTTTCCACCGTTCTCCAGCCCACAGCATGTCTCTACCTCCGCAGAGACCCAGCGCGACGGCCAGCACCAGCCGCGACTCTCAGGCCGTGCCGAGTCGGCCCGGCGCCCAGCCGTGCTCGCCGGCCGGCCGCTCCCGGCCGCCGTCTGGACAATGTCAGCGGCAGCCCACAGCCGGGCGGCTGCGCGGCCGCCGCCCGGCGCAGCGGCGACGCGCACCGAGCCGGGGGATGTGACACCAGATCCGATCGAAGAATTAACGCGGACGCTCGGAAAACTAATTTTCCGGACGCGCCGGCCACAAAGCTGACGGCATGGACGGGGGGGGGGGGGGGGGGCGCAGCGCGACGCCACCATCTCCGAGCGCCGCTGCCGGGTGGCGGCGGCAGGCGTGATGCACGGATACGGCACCGGGCGGGCGTGCGCCGCCGGGAACTGGGCAGTGAGGCGGGACGGCCACTGAGAGGCGGACCGGGCTGGCCGACAGGCCGCCGCCGTGTTGTGCTGACGGTGATTTAGCGTCGGACGTTGCATCCCAGGGTATGTGTGTGTGTATACAGCAGTGCGTAGTGTAACGACATCCAGTTGCACTGTCGTCTGCGTACTTTGCCGCCGTGGCGAGTGTTGGAGACTTTGTCGTTTTCTTTTTTGTTACCGGTGTTTAACAAACTGACTGAACAAAACTTGGAAGGATGTCAAGTACTAACAAGGCGTAAATCCATCCAAATAGCGTCTCGTTCGCTGCATGGTACGCTGTGTTTACCCTGGCCATGCTGCGTGATGGAAGAGCACCGACTCGGCAATGTTCACGTGGAACGGTTGGCGGCGATGGAATCGTCCGGGATCACCCTTCTGTGCTTCATGTTACCCTCGCTCTGTACAGTGGCAGGCCTTCGATCCTTGTACATTTACTGATAGTAGAGCAAAGGAAAGAAGCCAGGACTGAGGGTGAGAATCCGATCACTTGCACTGGTTGTGTGTTATGGATCACGGACGCGATTTCTGCGTGCCACGATAGTAGATAATCAGGACATTGATGCGTGTCGAACGGGACTCACTCTGTCGAGAGAGAATACCACACGACAGGGGTGTAGCCAGGATTTTCGTAAGCGAGGGACCTGGAGCTTGGTGTGTACGCCAAACGCTGATTTGTAGCTTTCTCTTGGGAACCCTCCATGGCAAAAACGCAAAATCCGTGCCTGAGGGGATGGATCCGGCCTTTTGGACCCCTCCTATGGCTGTGCGCCTGCATGGCGACAGCATTACCATGACGTGACGATTTGTATTATAAAATGTCTAGCAAACTGCATTTCAAGGAAAATGTAATTTAGTTCAGGAGTGAAGTTTGGTCAAGATGAAATCGAGTTGAAAACGATGTTCAGAATGTTGAAAATATAAAAGCTATGTTTGCTGGCTTCATTTTTAGGTGGTCTAAATGTTTAAAGACAAATAAGTGCTACAAAGCAAAGAACCTATTTGAAAATGCGCGTGTTTGCTAAATGTGAGATCGGTATCTTAGTCATATTAGTTGATGAGCTACAAAACAGTTTTTGATCGTTGTCCGTCATACCAAATACATATTATTTCGTGCTGGCATTCTGGTGGGCTTAGCTCGGCAGGAGTCCACGTTATTGCCGTCCGTCACTGATTGGTAAAGAAGTAAACTGCACTATTCATGCCGAGCGCAGGCTCCTCGGCACCAGCTCCACTTCTCGGTCACAGCCGAACCCTGCTGGTCATGGCAGCCTCTTTTAACGCTATAGTGTGCTATAGAACGATAGCCGAAGGTATCAAATTAGGCCCGGCTTATAATGTTATATTATTATCAGATGGACTTCATTTCATGCCGAGTCTGCACGGGAACTAGGAGAAACAACACTGGCACCTACCACCTTCCGTCAGATCTATCGAAATAGCCGACAAATATTGTTACGGGAGTGTGTTTGTCTTGTCACTATATAGCTGGTTTGCAAGTGCAAAATTCAGTCCAATGAACTACATCATAATATACGACAGATGAGAAACGAAAAGAAGTACATGATGACAACACAAACATGACTCCATGGTAAACTATTCTGGGTATTGATGATATGTATATATATATATATATATATATATATATATATATATATATATATACATATATTATATATATCTATATATAATAATATATATACTATACATATAAAGTATATATATATATATATGTATATATATATATATATATATATATATATATATATATATAATGGCTGCTATTAGTCTTCTTTGTCATAAATTTCAGACTTGAACCAACGTAAGTCCGTGCAGTGACGCTTGCGTTAAAAGGGCTACGGCGGCAACCCATGCCTTCGGTGTGTGTGTGTGGGGGGGGTAATATTTTCGTAATGACATGATTTATTTCAGTTAGTTTTACGTTTTCAAACTCCATATAAGGCTTAGATGGTTTTAAATATCTGAAAATATTCAGAGGGGTTGAGTTGTACATGATTTTGCACCAATCCCAGCCCCCCCCCCCCCCCCCCCCCCACAATAACACTGATATGCCCAACGCTCCAACAACTGAAGTTCGCGCCACCAACTCCGCGCCGGGGCGGGACACCGGCCATGGCTGCGCCGGCGCTGTCGCCGTCGCTGCTGCTGTTGCTGCTACCGACCCTGATGCTGGCCTTACCAGTCAGCGCTGCCAAAAACATCATCACCATAGGTAAGTGGCAGTGGCTTTTGTTGGTCATCCTCTGTTGTTGAAAGGGACTGGGCCTTCTGAAATGCTGTTGCTGATAGATATGCGTAGGTATATGTCATGCGTAGGTAAGTATGACATGGACACATCCCCTTCCAATTTGACGGCAGCATGTTTTGTCTCGCCAGATTTTGTTGTCTGTTTTTTCGTTTGGATTTGCAAATTTTGGTTTCAACAGCAGGTGCCTAGGGAGTAAAACACTGAAGTGGTACTATGGTGCAACTAATGAATTCCAATGCTTGTTTTGTTCAGGAAAATGGTACTAAGCCCCCTATTCGCCCGACCGAAATTTTGCACCCGAAAGACAAATGTCATAAAAATCGAGATGTGTCGAAAATTTCGGCGTATTCGTATGTAACCAAATTTGGCATTCAGTCTGCGTACGTTTATGTATGCGCCCTAGGCAAGCCCATTTATTCTGGCCTTCATACGTGCCAGGCATGATAATCCCGGTACTTACACTTAATGTCGGAATTCCGGCATTGTAAGAGCAATAGCTCGGGACCTCGGCATTATAACAGAACGAGGCACACCCGTCCCGGGATGTTCATAAATGTTTTCAGTTCTTTTCCGCAGTAACGAAGTTTACAAAACACACCGGCATTTAAAGCAACTAATCGTTCATAAGGGGTCGATTGTAATGCCACAGCGGGGAGTAAAGGGAAGGATCAGTGTGTAAATCTACTTTTATTGTCTCTTAGCTGGCTAGAATTTGGCACTGTTTTCGAGCGCCCCTGGCGGATGTAGGACATCCCACGCAGTTTATGGTTTTGTGAACATGAATGACGTTGATTGAAACTACGATAGCACAATGACAGATTCAGAGCATCAGCAACCGCACCGCACTGTCGCTGGATAATGCTGCAGCTCCATTTCCCATAAACGATCATGCACCAAGTGCTGGGTTGATTTTTAGGAGACCTGCTCACCCGCAGCCGGACGGAAGTGCTGTACGCGGCGGCTTTTGTTTGTGTACTGTAGAGCTGTTGATACGGTCGGTAGTTGTGTGTAATAAGAAACTGTTATGTCTGGGTAGTTTCAAATTGACAATGCGTTTTATGGTAGAAGTAAGAACTTAAGTTACTAAACGTCTGCTATTAGAAAAAGCTAGTCTTAAAACATGCAATTAACAAACTCGTATGGTCTATCTCTGCAGGGAAGCTGTTGATTTGTTTTTGCCCCGTAACTGTAAACCCGCCGAATCGATCAAGACAAAACCATTCTTCCTTCCATTCCACGAACGTGGGACATAAGCGAATTGAGCCACAACGCTCAGCGCAAATCACATATCTTAGCAGAAGGCAGTGAACAGATGCACCGAAAACCAGCGAGGCGTGCCTGTCATATCCCCAGCGATGCAGCGTACGCATACCCCGACAACTAGCGAGACACGCCTGTCATATCCCCAGCGATGCAGCGTACACATACCCCGACAACCAGCGAGGCGTGCCCCCCCAGGAGAGCGTACACACACCCGACAACCAGCGAGGCGTGAGGCGGTGCCGACACCAGCGAGGCGTGCTGCCATTCCGCTAAAGCCCGACACCAGCATGCCATTCCAGGATGCAGGTACCATACCCCGACAACCAGCGAGGCGTGCCTGCCATATGCCCTGCACATGCCATGAAGAGGCTGGCCCAATCAGTAGCGCAAGCATGAAAAGGCGTTTGTCATAGGCCGGCATTTTGGACTCCCGTGTAGTGACCGCGGCTCATGCCAAGTCACCATGTATGTGTCGGTGGTAGGATGCCTGACCGCAAGGCCATACGTCGTCATACCGTACGGTAGTATGTTCAGCTCCGTCGTCACTGACAAGCATCGACCGACCAGACCAGCATCTGCCGGTCAGTTTCCGAGAATCGAGACGGATGAGCCCACCCAACAGCTGCTTTTGCGCTGTAAAGTTATTGTAATTTCGCCGTCGGGAACCGGCGGCGGCGGAGCGGGAATGGCCCGCCCTGGTGCCGGAGTCCCGGCTTCTGACCCCGGATGAGTCCACGAACGGTCCGGGTGGCCGCACGAGCTGAACCAGCCGGTTTCAGTCGTGACACACACAAACGCTTTCTTCTGAACAGTGGCGCACGATAGGGGCGCCTTAGGAAGCGCGACAACGATCGCGCGCGCTACAGGCATTAGTCACCACCGGGGGGCTGGTTTGCGTAACCTCTCGGTGTACCTCATTTACCTTTATCCAGCGCGCGGTGACCAGCCCGACGCTGCGCTCCATGCGTTGTGCATTGACATGTTTATGTGGCGTCGTTTTCATAACATGAGGCTCCTTACATGTAAATCGGCTTTCTTAATGGGAACGCAGCGTAACGCCCACCCCCTTTTAACAGCTATGTTGTACCGTCTAAAAGTGAAAGGTTTGACAAGATATGGTTTCCCCCAACCCATCTAGCGACATATCTTTACATTATTGAGCCTCCACCCGTTAAATTTTCATGAAAGGAAAAGGATGGAAATCCCAAAGAATTCACAAAACCCATTATTGTCGATTGTGGATGTCAGGCTTCATTCGTTTCTTTTTTTTGAAGACGCCAACGCGATAACAACTGCCCCCTCATAATTGTTATCGTCTCCCTCGTCCCACGCCGCAATAGGCGTCTTACTGGTTACCATGAGTGTGAATCTATGCCATTTTGGACGAGCCACTGCCCCCCCCCCCCCCCGCCCCCGGCTAATGCCAATACTCCAAGATTCTGAAGCCGAAAGACAAGCAAGCATGCCATTGAAAATGGGGCCCTAAAAATTGTACAGTTTTTGTCAACATGTTTCTTCTGATCGTTTCGCAATCAAAGGAACGAGAAAAAACTGGGATGCAAACCACAAACTGGGATGACATGTCCAGTGGAATGCAGCTGATTGAGCTGGTCGCACTTTTGAAGCTGGACGCTTAAGTCGTGTTGACCTGTTGTTTTTTTTGTTTTTTGGCTTTTCCTGCATGCTACATGGTTTTAATTACACGGTTGGCAAGTCTTGTTGACTCCTCTAGTTTTGTGCTATTGTCTGAGCGTTTTTAAATTACTTGGCAATGTTGCACGTTCTGCAGACAGCAACAGGTTGCGTTATTTTCAACAAAGCAGTCAAATATTAGCGCGTGAAAACGTGATAAGCTAAGTAGTCGTCTATGTTAGGAAGAACCCTTCAAGTGTGCCTACGTTCACTTCGGTGTGGGGTTAGATGGAACAGTCACGAAAACCTGACGATTGGAACCAGTCGACTAAACCAAAAGTAATTTTCTGAAAATGACCGCCAAAACAACACCAGCGTGGTGTTAGATGGAACAGTCACGAAAACCTGACGATTGGAACCAGTCGACTAAACTAAAAGCAATTTTCTGAATATGACCGCCAAAACAACACCGGTCGTGTCGAATATGCCTAATGCGAGTGCTGTGCTTACGCCTGCAGCCCGCCTTGTGGATACCAGCCGGGGTCGCTGTGGCAGCCTTTGATAGTTATGCGCATCATCACCCATGCTGGTTGGGTGGGCGTCGATGTAATGATGATGACTCGCCTCTCCGTAATATATTAATGCACCTGCCCTTATACATTGTCTCCGTAGAAAACAACGATGACAATGTGACTGAGCAAACATTACACATGAATGCAATTCGAATGATCCAGGCACCAATGGTCGTGACACCTCGCCCACTCCGCCTGAAAAACAGCTTTTCGAGCGGCTGACATTTTTTGATCCATCACAATATTACAGTCCGATGAAAGAGAGAAAATATTTCGCATGCCAGATTAAGAATAGATATGCCCCGCTTGAATTCCCACCTATTCCTTTAAAAAAAAACAGTCTCACTGGCTTGCCAACGTAATTATCAAACCATCGAACACCAAACACCAACATCAAATTAAAAACGCTCGTCATTTCGCCCCCTCGTGCCAAAAGCATATAGAGCGAAACGATCTGTTTGATAGCACATCTCAAACGTTACATATGCATTTAAAACACAAGTTGGCTTCATATCAGCTATTAACTCTGAAGCGCGGCGTAGATTTCAGCGACGGTAGCGGTTCGGTGGTGGCTTACCATTTCCAAAATTACCTCCTCAAATCTGGACGATTCATCAAACTTAAGTGTTGCTAATTATTCACCTCATCTTACGGCATAGACGTGCTATCCTCGGCGAGGCGTGTAGTGGCTAACCATCCAGACCATTTACAAGCTCAGCGAGATGTGCCGTGGCGGCGGCCGAAGTTAAGCACTTCTTTTTGTATGTTTTAGGTACGGGGCTTCAATTTAAGCTCGTGCTTTTACACCTTTTTTACGCTCGCGCTCTATTGCATGTCTTGCTTGACAACCATGGTGATGATGATGATGATGACGCTTGGAAGACAGCCGTCGGCCATGTTTTCCCATCAGCTGCGGAACGGCGCGCGAGACCCCGTCCGCCCGGGCCGCGGTCGCCGTCGGTGCCGTCATCGGCGACTGAGCGTCCTCCGCTGCAGCCTGCGTGTGACGCCCAGCGGGCCTCTGTCCACCAGGGGCGCTGTTTGACCAGCATGAGGCGGACCCCGCGCTGGAGATGGCCTTCAGGTACGGGGTGGAGCAGGCCAGCCAGACGCTGAACGTACCGGACGTGGCGCTCGTGCCGACTGTGGAGCGGGTGCAGACCAGCAACGGCTTCCACACGTCCAAACGAGGTCAGTCACGACAACGGGCAGGGTCAACCTGGGTCAGTCACGTCACCGCGCCGGATCAGTCTGGGTCAATCACGTCACCGGGCTGGGTCAGTCTAGATCATTTAGGGGACCAGGCAGGGGCATCCTGGTCTGGTGGGCTGAGTCAATCAGGACATCGTGCAGGGTCAGCCAGGATCAGTCACGGCATTGGGTAAGGTCAGACGGACTTTGTCATGGCAGTGGGCCGAGTTCCGCTGGGTCAGTCACTGCAATGGTCACAAGGGCACGCAACGTGAGTCACGGTGCTACAATGGCTCACACGAGGCCAGTGGTGGCACCGGGCTGTTTCAGATGAGGTTGGTCATGCCCTCAGGCCAAGTTAGACGGTCTGACAATGTAATGGGCAGTTTCAGGTGAGATTGGTTACGGAACCCATCCGGGTTATACTAGGTCTACCCCGACCCTGGGTGAGGTCACACGAGTTCGTTCTCTCGCCTGAGCTGGGCCAGAGGGGGTCACGCACTGCACCGGACCGGGTCTGGTGAGGTCATCCATGGTGACAGGTCAGGTCAGACAAGGTCAGTCACGGTACCGGATCGACCCAAATGAAGTCAGTATTAACCGTTTCGCGTGTATCTCCCCCTGAAAACCGCGAATGCGAACATCCCAGGGATTTCACCGCTCGGAAAATAATCAGCGTGATAGGTCATCAGCTTGGTATTGAGCTCCGTTGTTTCTCCAGTGACCGACTGTCCTGCGAGACGCAGCCGATCGGCAGACCTACCAGCCGCCCAGCCCTCTGCTCCGCTTCTGACAGCAGCACGCTCTCTCACCCTTCCGTCGCAGTGTGTCACCTGCTGAAGCTGGGCGTGGGCGCCATAGTGGGGCCCAGCGCCGAGCCAGCCGCGTCGCACGTGCGCAGTATGTGCGACACCAAGTCCGTGCCGCACATCGACACCACGTGGCGCTATCGGCGAGGCAGCGAGCACTTCTCCGTCAACCTCTACCCGCACGCGGCCACGCTAAGCAAGGTGAGCTGCCGCCTCAGACATTGTAACAAGCATGCGACTTACACTGATAAGATGGTCGCACAATGGAATGCATGTCGCACTGACGCAAGGTATGCAGGGCAGCGACAAAGTCTGGATTTTTAGTAGGGCAGGTGGGGAGCAATGTATCATCTCGTTTTTTTATATTTCTGTCGGCAGCCATCTGTGATGAAAAATAAAAATACGATCCAAAGGGAAATGGAGGGGGTCCACTCCCCCTTTTGCTGCCCCCCTGGCATAGGGCATGCATCAGTTAGCCACCACTTATGTGACGAAAGCAGACTCCAGCGAACAGGGGCTTCAGTTTCGATTCACCACTACAGACGTGTGTTGCGTACTTTACATATGCCCACGTTTCGCTCCAAATGTAGTCTGACCGGGGCTCATATTGGTAATGTCTGTTGAACGTATACACGATATGTGTGCCTGATTAGCAATGGTCAGATTGAATCTGTTTGGTTTGGAAATCACGACACATATCTGATTGCATAAAACGTGATTACGCGTCATGTGGCAGGTATCATCATTTCGAGTTGTTCTGAGACCGGGTGGCTGAGCTAATATCAGAATCAAACAATTCTGAAGCCTCCCTGTTTCGCAGTCTGTAGTGAGGGTCATGGTGAATGTGTTATTGCAGGCTTATGTCGACATTTTGAAGACTCTTGGCTGGACCAAGTTCCACGTCCTGTATGAGGACAATGACTCGCTGGTGCGCCTTCAGGAAGTTCTGCAGATGCCCGATAATAATAACAAAATTTCTGCGAGTGTTCGGCAGCTGCCAAAAAACAAAGATTACAGGCAAGTGCGCTGCTTGTGTTAGGAACAGATGCACCCACCGAGTTGACTTTCCATGAACGTAAGAAGGCAGCGTGGCCGTAAATCATTCCTTTGAGCACAGCAAGCTTTGTCTATTGCCTGCAGACAGCATGACATTTGATCGCATCAAATTCGCCACGTCCGCCAAGAGCTCATGCGTCATATGTCTTAACCAGACCGCTGCTGAAGCAAGTTCAGAACTCTGGAGGCACGCACATCGTGATTGACTGCTCAACGGAAAACATATTCAACGTGCTCAAGCAGGCGCAGCAGATTGGGATGGTCACCAGATATTACCACTATTTCTTCACCAACCTGGTAAGCGAGGACAGTTACGTTGCATAATGCTCTCTGGCATGCATGCCGTTCTTCTTATCTCGTTCCATCAATTGGCTCCGTGACTAATTGAGCTAAATGCAATTCATTGAGGACTCCTATACAAACAGCTGACTGCGCGACGTTGTTTGTTAGTTAAGATGCATTTTTTTTCCACACGTTCAAAGGTGTTGGCTAGCGATCCAGTCCAGCAAACAACTTACACGTGTCGATCTCTGGAAATCAACTTATGATATTATCAATTTACCTGATACAGATATTTAGGCAACGCTGTCTTGGTGATTAAATGTTTTCCGTACTGTCGAAGTTACCATTACCCTGTTAAGTGCGATGAAGCTGAGAAGATTCGCCAGCGAGATTTGCGACATTTGCACGCGAGTGCAAATAACTCGCTTCCTTTACTGCAATATCGTACAGTCTCTTTATACCTTACCACGCTAACGTTTGGCGATAGGAAGCCATTGCCATATAGGCCCAGTTCCCCTCCCACACTCATACCGCCGGCTCAACAGTCCAACCGGGAGCGATCAGTTATCAGCAGCTCATGCCGCAAATTTTGACACTGGGGTAGGTTTAGTGAGATATTTATAAAGACTGAGATTCTAACAGAATGATTGATACAAATGGTACACGCCAACAGAGATATCCCCCAGAGATATCACGGGAAGAGATATCCTTTACCACCCGCTACTCATTGGCCAGCAACCATACCCACCCGGTAGGTACTCATTCCTAATCCGTATCCCCCCAATAACCACCCGTCTTCCTTTTTTACAACACTTTAGTTCCAACTTATGGGAAATTTCGCGAAGTTCTACACCCAAACGTGCCATTATGCATTGCAAACAACAAAATTACTGTAAATGGGGCAAGTAGTGATAAACGAAGGCGTAAGCAGTGATATTGTGTATCATTTCGAGCAGTATTTATCCGATTTATTTCATGACTTATAGATACCTACGTCCAGAAAGGTAATTTTCCCCAAATCCGTACCAAACCCAGCCCGACACCGATTTTATGCTGGTATCCGTGGGTTTACGCAACCCGTGCGGCCCTCTGCAAGTCTAGCCTCTCCATCACAGGACCTGCACACAGTGGAGCTGCACGACTTCCAGTACGCGGGCACCAACATCACGGGTCTGCGGCTGATCAACACGACGGACCTGCGCGTCGTGAAAAGCGTCGAGAGCTGGAAGGAGGCGGAGGCGGCGCGCGGCCGCCACGTCCCCATCACCGCATCACGGCTCAGTGTCAGTGGGCGGAGGAGGTGGGCCGCAGCGGAGGGCCCGCTCGGCACCACCCGCTATTTCCGGGTTAAAATAGGGGATTACTGGGTGAAAAGTGGCCGATGGTGGTGGAGCAGGCATAATGTGAACAGGGGAAGCACCGTCGTCCCAGTGCGAAAGGACCGAGTTTAGTACTTGCGTGGTCATAGTGAACTGCTCATACTTGAACTTTCATGCTTGGATTGTTCATACTTGCATTGCTTACGCTTGAACTGTTCATATTGAACACATATTGCACTGCTGTACTTAGCATTATCAATCAGCTGGAGAACAGCAAGCAATTTTGTCTCCTAGTGATACGCGCCACTGAACAGCATACATGCTAAAAACTGTCGTCTGACAACATTTTGAAATGTTTGAAAAAACATCGCGCAAGGTCTCGTGTGCGGGCCCCTGGCAATTACTGCCGTCCTTTGTCTGCCGATGGCAGCGCCCCTTGAGGCGATGTGGATGATCGTCCGTCCCGACGCCCTACCGCCCACCTCTCTGCCGCTCTTTTTCGTTGGACCGACAAGCGACAGCCTCAGATTGGCCTTAAAAGGTCGGTCGATGCGCTGATGGTCGTCTGGACTGAATCCGAACAGGTTTGAGGCGGCAAGCAGCTGATGCCGGGGCCACATTTGGCGGAACATTGCACGTTAAACGGCCACCGCTTCACACGGGTGCCGCCGTTGTCCCTGAGTTCGCACTGTGTTCACTATGAACATCGACTTATTCATAGTAAACACGGCGAACAGACGACGTACGTTACTGGTCTAGACCTACAATTTTCTACTGCGTTCTTAGCTGCGAAGTGTACCTGGCGAAAAAAAAATGTAGCCTCCTTGTGGAACGGCAAGTGACAGAATCACGTGAAATATCGCCAGCCTAGATGAGCACAGCTAGACGCAGCAGTACATGTAAGTGATCCTTAGCTGCTCTGGGCTGTCTTTCTCAAAGTTGTCACGCTCCCTGCCTAGATATATTCCGAAAGCATTTAAACAATTTTGGAGCCCATTCCGGGCATTTCTGAGTGAACTGCGCGGAAGAAACTGCACGCCATGCATAGCAGAGATTCGTTTTTGGCACCGTTGCGGGATGGTGATGACCATGGACCTGCTATCAGGATGCTCACCGTACTTATGCACTGTGCATGCAGCTGACCTACCCTGATTTCTCGGGCCCGGTGGTAAGAGGACAGCTCAGGTAGCTCAGAACGCAGCCGTGCCCTCGGGCTGCGCTGCCGGACCGAAGAATGCATTTCAAAGCGGACCATGCCCGTGAACCCACCGCCGCGGGCGCTGGTTCATGTATTGTTCTTGGACCAGGTGGGGACCACGCCGTGACCCCGGATCACCCCGCTGATCTCCAAGACCCCGGATAACCCGCTAACCTTGGAGACGGTGACCCTGGTGACCCCCGCGAACTCGTCGCAGACTGAGGCGGCACTGCTGTATGACGCGGCGCTGCTCTTCGCCAAGGCGGCCGCTGACTTGCACAGCTCGCGAGACATCAGTGTGACGTCACTCAACTGTGACCTGGATGACCTCTGGCCGCACGGCGAGAGTATGTTCAACTACATGCAGCTGGTAAGACGCCCAGGATCTGCCGCTGCAGGTCGTGGCGGTCGGTTATAACTCTTTCCCCGCATACTGATTTGTTTAACGACAGACGTACAGTACACTGTGTTCCGCGCCTCTTTCATTCAGTGCAGGAGGTTGAAGAGCAGAGGAAATATAAAGCGCTGCTAGCACGCCTTCTCAAACAACATTTTAGGTGGGCGTTGGGAGGTGCTAAGTATACCATCTCATGAATGAATCGGCCGTGCACTGACAGCCGTCGTCACCTGGCTGTCTGTCGGTCTGTACGACATTCATAATTGATAGTGAGATTGTTCTACTCCACAACACACGGAGTCTCATGAGGCCCTTACTACCCTCACGTGTTGGGCCGTCATGTCTAGAGGTCTTGCGTAGAAGCGGCCCTCGGGATAAGATGTGCTTCACCCAGTTCATCTGCAGTGTTGTACCTCATGCCCACCCGGCGCCCGGTACTCGTTACCAATCAGGTGTACCTACGTGGTACCCGTTCTTAGCTGGGTGCACCCGCCCGTTACCCAGCCGTTTTCATCTTGCATCGCCTACTTGCTAAGTTATTGAAGAGTTTCAGGAACTTGAGACCCAGGGGACTCTTCTGCGTAAATAACTAAAGAAGTAGTGTGGATAGAGCTACTTATTACTGAAGGAAGTGCAGAGACATTGGGTAGCATTTCTGTATTTACTCGGGAATTCGTAAATATTTTACCCATAGACGCACCCACGCCCGCAATTCTCCCAAAAGCCGTCTCCAATCCAGCTCGTTGCCCATTCGAAACAAGAAACCACGGGCTTGCCAATGCATAAAGTTCTTAGCTGAACAGTCCCAACCTGCCCTCACAGATGCATTGAGGCCGTTATCTGTTTCCACCCGCCCCGGGCCAACCTTGCGTATCATTAGCAACGGCCTCCTGTCCCAGGCCTTGCCTGTGGGCCCTGAGCGGTGATCATCTGGCCGGCAGGTGGAGGTGGAGGGCCTGACTGGGCTCGTGCGATTCGACACGCTGGGCCAGCGCTCCAGCTTCAGCCTGGACGTGCTGTCGGTGCTGGAGGAGGGCCTGACGCCGTTCGGGCGCTGGGGACCGGACGGCTTCAGCATAGTCGGCAGCGACAGCCGCACCCGGCAGACGCCAAGCATCCGCAACCAGAACCTGATCGTCACCACGCTCATAGTGAGTGCTCGGGGGGGGGGGGGGGGGGGCAGACGAGGCCTCGGCTCGTAGGAATCCGTTCAGGCGTCATGTCGGCCGCGAGAGAGGCGCCCATGCCATTGGGATTGCGTTATGGCGGCGCTCCCAGCCTTCTCGCATGAGAAAATGAGCCGAGATCGGAGGCATGCATCGATTATCGATAAACGCAGAAGTGCAGTTTATATATATATATATATATATATATATATATATATATATATATATATATATATATATATATATATATATATACACAAGCGCCGGGCGTTCGCATGCTTAGTTTTTATTCTGTAGTGGCTTCATGATTGATGTGGTTGCGCATCCGATGATCAAATCGCGTCAAAGATTAGCAGTGGCATTCTTCGTGGTCATGCCAGGGACCGTTCATAAATCACGTAACGGCTTTATAGCCATTTTAATCCTTCCCTTTCTCTACGCGCTGATCAGAGGACAGCCTCCCTCTGGTTACGCTGTAATGAACGCAAACTTCAAAAATAAAGCGCTAATTTTGCATCTAATTGAGCTAGAAAGGGCGTAAGGATTGTCGTGAGAGGAAGACAACAATATCTGGCTGTAAGGTTTTACGCCTACAAGCCACATGCCAACTATTTTCAATGGCCCGAAATTGGACGAAATCCCGAAACCTTTCGTTTAAAGGGCGACAGAGCAAACAGCTGGGCAGGTTGAGATACCGGACGGAAATCAAAGGGCTCTTCGGAGCGTTGCGCACCTAAGGCTGAGCTTGAATTTGATTTCCCCTCAATATACACATTTGGTGAGCTAAAAGCATGGCAATTTGGAATGGCATGAATTCACGTCATCTGACGGTGATAAAAGGTTGTAATGCACTATTAGTATACTTTTAAACAACTCTCCATACAACTGCACGAGACAACACAATTTCTCTATTTAGTAAGTTTGCTAGCTCGATGTCATTGTTTGATCACGCCATCGCACCTTGCACGATACTGATGGAGAGCAAAGTCACGGCCGCTATATCTGGAAATAGTGCTTACGAACGCCAGATATGAAAGACTTGACATGAATATTTGTATCGGCACTTGATAGCCGCATGACTTATGAAATGGCAGGATTTTGATGACGTTATTATGACGTCATGAATGCTAAGGAGACCTTGAAATGCTCTCCTCGAAATGGTGTTTCCATTTTCGCGGCCGTGTAGCACAGACACTAGAGGGGTTTTGGTCTCAAGAAGGGCAGGGCTGTGAGCTGCACCGAAAGGTCTTCAATATGGCTACTTCATTTCAAACCCCATAGAAATGTGGAACACTCCCTTAAACCGATGCTATCAAGGTCAGTCACCTTGGTCACCTAAAAATTGATCTATTAAATATGCTCCTCAGTACATGGTTGTTTAATTTCGTTATGCGACGTTTGCATGGGTTGAGGTACTGTTAAACCGTCCGTGCAGAATGGCCATCCTGGTACTCGCTTGAAGTGGCGGCAGTGGCGGCGCTGGAAGTGCTCGCTGAGCTAAACATCGTTATATGCTCGTGTTTTGGACCCTTTTTGAGATGTTCTTGCATATTTATCCGTGAGTTTAAAATGTTTATTTACATTCACATGCACGGATATGGTGCTATTCTTAAGTTATCCAATTGCAAGTTCAATATCCGTCATAATTGACAAACTTGTCCGACTTCTTATGTTATGTAGGACGCAACGGGATTCGTGATTGGATTTTGCACAGCTTGCTCGACATTTATTGGGAGCCAACTTACGTCCGCCATCTTCGGAAATCGTGCTCAAGGACGCCAGATTTGACCGGTTCGAAGATAATATTATTTTTGGCCTCGAACACGGCATGGCCAATGCGGTGGCAGGAATTGAACAACGCTGCTATAGTGTCATGCGTGTCTGAATGGCCTTGAAATAGTCTGCACAAGATAGTCTGCGCATCTCCACGAGCGTGTAGTTCAGAAACAAGAGAGTTTAAGGTCTTAAGAAAGGTAGGCTCGTGAACTCTACTAAATTATCTTCAACATTACTATTTTAGTTCAAAATTGTATGAAAATAGGGACCTTTCCATTCAAGCGTCATTTTTAGACGCGCAACAATTGTAGGCTCGGGTCTCTTAAGGTGCGGTGCCACCACGCTGCTTTTGTTATTTAAACATTTGTAACATAATCAGTGTGATTTTCATTTACAACTGAGCGCAATGTTCCGCACCCCAACGCGTTACTTTTTGGTTGCGCTCCGTCAAACCATGCCATGCCATGCCATGCGAAGAGGAAATGTGTAACATGCCATGTGTAACACCCTTCATGGACAGCATCTTACCATAGAAATTGTTACATTGCAATTGTTTAATGTGTACTACGTGAAGCAGCAATTTGTTTTCGTCGACCGCTCAGAGGCGATTATGAACGCGTTGTTTTTACATTGTTCGCTGATGGAGTGATCTGCCACTGTCAACAAACCATGCCCTTTGAGTTGGAAGTTTTTATCCTCACGATGATATACCTTATCTTTATAGACATGGTATAGACTTTTATGTACTAGAATGTACTGCCTGCCAGCTATATTGACAACACTTGATCCTTGCGCACAAGCACCCAAACGCGTGCCCACAGAAAGAGCCGTACACGATGATGAAGGAATCTACGGAGAAGCTGGTGGGCAACGACCGGTACGAGGGCATCTGCATCGACCTGATCCAAGAGCTGTCGCGCATGCTTGGCTTCAACTACACAATCGTGGTGAACGCCGACGGTGCGCCGGGCACCTACAACGAGACGACAGGCCGCTGGAACGGCATGATCGGCGAGCTGCTGGACGGCAAGGCGGACCTCGCCATCGCCGACCTCACCATCACGTCCGATCGCGAGGCTGTGGTCGACTTCACCATGCAGTTCATGAACCTCGGTGAGCGGATCGGCCGCGAGCGGCGCTCAGCGGTCCGCTGGCGGCCGTACACGGAGCGAGGCTTGGCAGCGGGGACGGCCGTTGCAGACACCAGGCTGAGCGAGTGCTTTCGCAAAGGTGTGAGATGGCAGGCGCCATTTCTCTTGTTGTTTTTTTTGTAACCGCCACTCTAGGTTATCCCGCAGATGTTTGTTGAATGTCATTGCAGTGAATAAACGACATGCAGCTGTTTAATCGTTTGAAACAACATTGGAGTTTACTTCACCCTCAATTAAATCTTTCTCATGGTTGCAGGGATCAGCATTCTGTACCGGAAGCCGACCAAACAGCCGCCCTCTCTCTTCTCGTTCCTCTCCCCACTCTCTCTGAGGGTTTGGGTGTACATGGCAGCAGCCACCATGGGTGTTTCTCTGCTCATGTTTGTTCTAGCCAGGTGAGAAGGGGAGCGTATAGCTGAAGGGGAGCTGAAGCAATGTCGTTTTGTATGCAATGAGTTCAGACAAACCTTCAACAGTCATATACTTTGATATGCATTTTCAATACTTTTTAGTATTAACTTCAGCTGGGCGTACGCATGCTAGCAACGCTGGCGATGGGCTGCTAGGAAATAGGCATCTCTGCTCATTTGATCCTTACATGAGCTAGAGTCTCACGACTAATAGCATTGGGCAGCCTGGTTTCTGGAAAACCCAACGATGTCCTGCTTAAACCCCGTGGGTATAAGGTGACCTTGCGGCTGAGGTGGATTTCAACCCGTAAGAACATTTTTACTGTGAACTCAGCCAATCATGCCCTGTCTTCCACAGTTAGACAAATGTCTGCATAACACCACAAGTTGTCAGGACGCCGGTCAAACTTAGGATTCACCGCTCGGTTTACCGTTTTGGTTTTCGTACTGTACCTGTTCGCGCGACAGGTTCACTCCGTACGAGTGGGAGCCTCCGCATCCCTGCGCTCCAGACCAGGACCAGCTGGAGAACCAGTTCAACTTCCTGAACTGTATCTGGTTTTGCATCGGCTCCCTCATGCAGCAGGGATGCGACTTTTTGCCCAAGTGAGTTTGTCTAATGTTCTCAACTTCCCGGCGATAGTTCAAACATCCCTGATTTGCGAGCGCCTCCTCAAAACGCGCTAAATCGCTGGCAGAGAGTGAGTTCGGGCGTGCCCATAGCTTACACATGGCGCTTTATTCTCAATCCTGCCGCAAAACAGTGCCGCCTGGCCGTTAGTATGCATTCGCGGCTGATAGCAGTGTAACCACAATAGCTTCATCAGCGAATGTGCATGTACCATAATTATATGCTTATGAACGAAAGGCATTTGCTTGTGAACATTTATCTTACGTGGTCTCTTCCTGCAGCACTTCTTTTTGTGAACCGTGTTGTGCGAATCTCAAGCTCTGCCATGTAAGACCATCCTGCCGTTGTTTTCAGGGCAGTCTCCACTCGCATGGTGGCTGGAATGTGGTGGTTTTTCACGCTGATCATGGTGAGAGGATGGTACCGCAACACTGCCCGGCAGCTTGGGTCATCATTTCAAGGTTTCTGTAAACAGTCCTGGCTAGTGCTTTCTAGGAACCATCAATCCCCTGTATGGAACATCCAAATCCCATTTCTGATAACAAATGACCGTGTTTCAGCTCCATGGCGCTCACTACAAGTATCCCTTTATCAGCCGGTGATACGGCCGATACGGCCATGCAACGAGAAAAGGGTGTCTACCACTTGCACTCCGAAGCGAGTAATCTCGTTTGTGACCCGAATCGTCTGAACACATGACGTGTTCCATTACCGCGTGATTGATGCCAAACGTTTCATTCAGCGTTGTCAAAGTGACCGCTGACCATTCAGACTCCACCGAGGCCACACAGCAATCTCTCAGCACCTCCAGGATGATCCGAGGCGGGCCGCGCGAGCGTTCCTCGTCCATGACCAGCTGCGTCGCCCGCAGATCTCATCGTACACGGCGAACCTGGCGGCCTTCCTGACCGTGGAGCGGATGAGCTCGCCGATCGAGTCGGCAGAGGATTTGGCCGCGCAGACCGACATCAAGTACGGCACGTACGCCGATGGATCGACCGCCACGTTCTTCAGGTACGCCGCCGCCAGAGCTGACCATGTCGCCTTGGGCGATCACTTGCGGTCTGGAGCCGGCTTGGCGGATGAAAAGGAGAGGCTCGCTCGCAACGTTTTGATAGAAAGGATGACCCAGCATAGGAAAACGAGTAGATGAGGAGAGATGCTTCTTCCGAATTCTTGAGTCCTCGCATTTTGGATCGGGGAGTGCCGGTGTTGCTCGGGTTATGTGATTGCATGTAGGTGGGATGGGGCTACGCAGGAGGAAAAAAAGCCTCCTTCCACTCTAGTTTTCCTTTTCATGAAATACCGAGAGAAGCGTTCTGCGCAACGTGGAGTGGGTAGCTGCAAATTATATTCAAGCTCAGACAACGTTTTTGCTAGCAGCTGGCTGCGATCACAGGTATGACTGTGTAGACGGGCATTTGTGCCACGCTCTGCCAAGCCTCAGTCGGTACAACCCGTTAGCATTTGTGCCACGCTCTGCCACGCCTCAGTCAATACAACCCATTAGCATTTATGCCACGCTCTGCCAAGCCTCAGTCGGTACAACCCGTTAGCATTTGTGCCACGTTCTGCCAAGCCTCAGTCGGTACAACCCGTTAGCATTTGTGCCACGCTCTGCCAAGCCTCAGTCGGTACAACCCGTTAGCATCTGTGCCACGCTCTGCCAAGCCTCAGTCGGTACAACCCGTTAGCATTTGTGCCACGCTCTGCCAAGCCTCAGTCGGTACAACCCATTAGCATTTGTGCCACGCTCTGCCACGCCTCAGTCAATACAACCCGTTAGCATTTGTGTCACGCTCTGCCAAGCCTTAGTCGGTACAACCCGTTAGCATCTGTGCCACGCTCTGCCAAGCCTCAGTCGGTACAACCCGTTAGCATTTGTGTCACGTTCTGCCAAGCCTCAGTCGGTACAACCCGTTAGCATTTGTGCCACGCTCTGCCAAGCCTCAGTCGGTACAACCCGGTAGCATTTGTGCCACGCACAGCCAAGCCTCAGTCGGTACAACCCGTTAGCATCTGTGCCACGCTCTGCCAAGCCTCATTCGGTACAACCCGTTAGCATTTGTGCCACGCTCTGCCAAGCCTCAGTCGGTACAACCCGTTAGCATTTGTGCCACACTCTGCCAAGCCTCAGTCGGTACAATCCGTTAGCATTTGTGCCACGCTCTGCCAAGCCTCAGTCGGTACAACCCGTTAGCATTTGTGCCACGTTCTGCCAAGCCTCAGTCGGTACAACCCGTTAGCATTTGTGCCACGTTCTGCCAAGCCTCAGTCGGTACAACCCGTTAGCATGTATGCCACGCTCTGCCAAGCCTCAGTCGGTACAACCCGTTAGCATAGTGCCACGCTCTGCCAAGCCTCAGTCGGTACAACCCGTTAGCATTTATGCCACGCTCTGCCAAGCCTCAGTCGGTACAACCCGTTAGCATTTGTGCCACGTTCTGCCAAGCCTCAGTCGGTACAACCCGTTAGCATGTATGCCACGATCTGCCAAGCCTCAGTCAGTACAATATGTTGGCATTTGTGCCACGCACAGCCAAGCCTCAGCCGGTTCAAACCGTACCGGGGCGTGAATGCAGTTGTCACCGGCTCGAAAGCCTTTAGCCCAATGTCTGTGTCCCAACAGAACGTCCAAGATCTGGCCGTACAACAAGATGTGGCAGGTGATGAAGAACGCGAACCCAAGTGTGTTTTTTGACACTAAAGCGGGCATCAAGAAGGTCGAGGACGATGAAGGGAAATACGCCTACTTCATGGAGTCATCCAGCATCGAGTACGTGGTGGAGCAAATGTGTGAGCTCTCGCAGGTTGGCGACCTGCTTGACAACAAAGGATACGGAATCGCCCTACCGCCAGGTGAGTACCGCTTCTAGGGGTGCTTTTTTTCTCAAATCGGTTGTCGGGGCTTAACCAAAAATGTTGACCTAACCTACTCCCAAAACCGGATCTCTCCGCACATCGGATGCTTGGATTCGCGTTGTCAGAACTTAAAAGAACTTGTTTAATTTTCCGTGGATTCAAAATTGTTTTCGCGCGGTGCAATGACTCCCCATTCGGAGGTAATGAGAGCTGCCTTTTTAAAAAACCTTTCCACAGGTGTAATTCACAGAGAAAAAAATTAGTGAATGATAATTGAGGATCACTGATGACTACGGCCGTCACTGATCGTGTTGTTTTACCATCACAGCCACGATTCTGCGACAAACACACTTGGCCATTTTGGGGGAGTACGTGAGTTGGCTTTTATCTGGGCTACCCTGTACTTTTCAAAGCCGCCGTGTACTGTAGTGAACTGTTTTTTTATCCTAATCCAGACATTATTATTAAAAACTTGTCACACATTTGCAGACTGGCTTAACAAATGGAGGAATTAACATGACGAAACATGGGGTACCTACAGGATTATATCTTGCCCAAAGTTATCATCGTGCTAGTAGGGATGTGTTCAGGTGCTCATGACCTGGTTATCAATAGTTAGGGTAAGTGTTCTGCGTTTATTTGGTCCGGTATTTCCTCTTCGCTGATATGCCTTGACGGAGCTCAGAGGAGCGTTGTGGGGCTCAGACCCTCCAAAAGGTTGTTTAGTGACGCCCCTGACCGCTCCAGTCCCTCACGGAGGTCCGCTCCAGTCCCTCAGTCCCTCGATCCCGCTCGCCGAATACCGTGTAGTGGAGACGCTCTGGAACGTTGTAAAACACATGTGACAGGCGCCAGGTGGTCAGGTGGCTGGCTGGTTCTCATTCCGCTCGGTTGGCAAACTAGGAGACCCTCGCTTTCCGCGGAATGTTTTGTTTGGTAGCGCGTCCATTGCTGCATAGCAGGGTCCTTCGCTAGAAGACATGATCATTGGTAAGCCGGCCCGTCCTGTTCAGGATTGGCTAATGAGAGATCGGCTAAGTTCGGCCGTCCTGCTGATTCATTAGAAAGGTGTGTTAAAAGCATTTGCGCTTCAATGCGTGGTAGTGCTGTTGTGTTGCAATATGCTATATATATATATATATATATATATATATATATATATATATATAATGTTAGTGTTGGCATGCAAGCTTTCGGCATGCCCGCGCAATGAAAAACTCAAACATGATTTCTGATAACTTGGGTGACATGGCAGGTTTGCGCATTATCAGGATCGTCCTTCTTGCGATAAGTTCGAGGTGGATGAGAGGTTAGGATAGGAAATGTGTGAGGAGATTCTGACTCAAGCGAAGTCAGAGGTGGAGGTCAATGTTGTTGTCATTGAATACTGGTGACATACAGACTCTAAACTGATTGTCTAATTTTTTCTCACAGTATACTGCAAAAGATGCATACCTGTTTGTGAAAGGAACGGAGGTCCGTCTCCAGTAGGGGCTTTACGACGCGCTCAGCTGCCGAGACTATATGGCGTCGGCTGAGGTGGCAAGTGTAAAGCAGAAGACGCACTTGTGGATACGCATGGTGGTTGCAAATGCGTTTACAATGCATATCCGTTAGACCTCATTTCCTTCTGTCCGTCGCTCCGTTTTTCCGTCAGTAGTTGGTATTGCTGAGGGTCGCAAAGGGTTGCAGAGGGTTGATGTTTTAGTATATGTAGACCTTCTTGTGTGATCTGTATTAGTGAGTATCCTCGTAATCTGCGTGCTCATAGCAGGTGACCTTTTTTAGCGTTGGATGAAGTGACCTCCTGCATGTTGTTTTCTGTGTTTTTTTTTCAATTTGCATGATGGAGGTTACATTACGAACAGCAGACCCGTCTTATGCGTGCGTCATGCTATGCATTTTAGCTGCAATGATCTTACCAGACCCGGATAAACGTCAGGAGGCCAATGCCATGTGATATATTGCACGGCTTTTGGACCATGTTTAGAAACCTGTCACTAATATGAAGTCTGAGAATGTGCTAAAAATACTCCAACACTCGATATAAGTACCCAAACTGGGACTGACACTTCTGAAACGACTATCACAGACCCTGCTTCCCTCGCTCATCAGCACTAGATCTGGACAGTGCTGCTAGAGCTAGAGCTACCCTAGAGCTACCCACGGCACTTTCAAAGAGTAATGCTGGGAATCACACTTTAAGCAACAGGAATGGTAGCCACAGATCAAACAGTTTGGTATCAACGAGGGCATCAGCTGTAAACAATGACATGTCAGTCGGAAGTCACTACTGGAGATGTTAAATTTCGAAGGCATCAACACGTTTATGCGGGCAAGCGATCAGCAGCTAGCAGTACAATGCAGGCCACAATGGCGTTTGCACTTATCCATGGCACATCTGCTGGCATTTGCCATTGAATGGGGGAAAATCGGTGGTGCTGGTTTTCAGGCAAGGCTCTTTCTGAAAGAAGCGAAATCTTTCGAGTGTCAACGCATAGTTTGTGTTTCAGCTGTTGCCGTCCATCTGTGTCCGGCCGCGGACGGCGGAGCCGGCTTTCATTGCTGGGCCATGACGTGGCGCGGTGGACGTCCGACATAAAGCTGCTCGATGACATCCCCTTCTCTGAGAATGATAACGAAAGTAAACATCGCTCCCAGAAGGGGCGTCTCCATTCTACGACACAGTTACTGCTCTTGCACGCCACGGGCGCACGTCTGTCGGCTTGATCAGTCGAAGGTCGCAGCAAACGCACATTATGATTTTGTCAGGCTGTTACCAAAAAAGTTGGGTTTGATTAAGGGTGTGCCGACAAATTTTAGCTTCCATGTTAATTAAGAACAGTAGGAAAGCGTTGCGGATCACCCCTAGTGACAAGTCTTACCTGCACCGAAGGATGAGTAGGTCAGGAGGCCTGGGCAGAATAAAAAACACGCAATGTTTAGTAAGCACCTGACAGACCTTTAGACCTTACCTGCGATGATCAGGGGCGCGCGTTCGCATTGAAAAGGTCCCAGACTGATCAAGGGCTGTCCGAGACACGAACGCATATGCATGTGTACCTGCAGATACATGCCGGGTGTGATGACCATGGGCAATGAAAGAACCCACACAGCGCGAGCCAAAAAGCCCAGCAAGACAGGCCATGTATACCGCTCGAAGTCCTCTGAAAAGGCTTGGAAACTTGTGCTCATGGTCATATAAGACGGCCAATACCCCTGCAAATATCCAGTTAATATGGTTCAAGACGCACTAAGGTTTGTTGGTACCCACTCAGGCGCAATTTTCCACAAACCGTGAATGCATCGCAATGAAGCATGTAATCAAGCAACTTACTGTACGCGTGATCATGACCACAGTCACAGACCGGGGTGTCCCTTTCTGAAATCGGTCGGTGGCTGAGCCGATTAACCTCATCTTATCTATCACAAGTCCTGATTTCTCCGCCGTTTTCAGCCCCTCGGATTTGCGTCCCTGACGAAAAAAGACAACCAAAAGTGTTTCTTCGGTTCCAGAATTGTATTCCTATTGAGAACTGACCTCCCATTTAAAGCCGATTTGGCAGCGATCATCATGATATATGGTGACGATTACACTGGTAGTGTAGTGATGCGCTCAGGCACCTAGTGTACTGCCAGTGCAGACACTGGCTGAATTTTATTGACGCGGTATTCCTATTTTTGCTTGCACGTATTAACCCGTGCCCGGCTGGTGAAGAAGAATTTCTCCTACGGTTTTTCGAGCACTGGTCATGATCATAAATTTGACATTCTTTGTGCAAACTTGAAGCTTTCATCTACCAATATAAATGGCTTGAGTCATATCAGAGGTCAACTTCTAAAAACTTTAACCACACAAGTTTTTGTGGGTAATGCGCCATTGTTCAACTCTGTTCATGTATGGTACCTACACTTTGCATATCCCAGATTTTTCAACAACAACAAAAAAACGAGAAGGGTGGTGACGTGAAGCCAGATCAGTTCTTGTTATTTTTCAGAAATAAAGCATATTTTTGCAAATCATAGTGTAGTTTTGGTGTTAACGTATGCAGCAGAGCGCTAACTCAGATGCAAAATTATTATGTGACCACAGAGCACATGGCCTTGTCCGAGGTCTTGACTTACTTCCATGGATACCTTCTGGAAAACACATGCTAAGCTCAAAATATGCGGTTTTACAAGGCAATTTTGCACAGAAAATTCGAATACTCCACTAAAAACATATTGTGATGCCATTGTGATGCATAGCGAGGTCACAATGGGTCGTGTGAGGACATTCAGGGTCAAATGAGGTCATCCAAGGTCAATGACCTATGTCGCCAAGAGCGGCGAGGCTAATGAACCAGTGCGACACGTGTAACCACCCCTTTATCGTGTTTGTAAAGCTGATGGCGTGTAATTTTGTGTGCCAACATGCCCGTTCTCTGTTTTCTACAGTTACATGCAAGCGTCGAACGGACTATGCATAATGTATACGACAGCTATTCGATCTTGCGTACCTGTACATGAACTATGTAATATTTCTGACCACAGAAAAGCAGCGCATTGGTCACATAGACCCAGCTAGCACTTAAAATTTGCCACTTGGATGGCTGATAAGTTTGACTTAAGTTCGCCTCAGATAACCTCTAAGTCAACCTACAATGGTATTTGTGTGTTTGGAATGATTTTCTCCCGCAGATGCCCTAATAAGATAAACTTAGAAGAACATCGTGAAAAAGCATCACTCTTATAGGCTACTGGTTAATCAATTTTGAGAACAGAAATGATAAGAATGGATCCCTCCCAGTCTGTTTACTTCCGTGTCCTCAATGTCCGTCTTGATGTGTCAATTCGTTTGATTAACGTGGTTTGACACGCGCTCGGGTGGGGGGGGGGGCAAATTGGCCCCACCCAAAGGTTTTTCCAAGATGGTTTCGAACAATACGGCGTAGCCGCGCCAAATTTTGCATAGCAGTAGACGATTGAATAGCGGATCATTTAACATACAAAATTTAGATGTACCTTGCAAGGTCACCGACCTATGACAAGTCAAAGTCAGTCCATGGTTTCAGCGAACGCAATTTTGAGAGAATCGTTCAACCTGATGCAACAACAGGGTGTTTGACGAAGCCATACATCTCTGGGATGCTTTCATAGGCAAAGCAAGTATTGAAGGAGCAAATTAGTTGACCTAAGGTCAGGTATGAAGGTCAGACCAAGGTCAAAACCAGCTTGTTTGATTGCTCTAGGCCTTGCTGTATGGTATAGTTTCTGGTGCTCATTTCGAATTTATTGATAGCAGGAACCGCATTATACATCTCTCATTTACTTGTAAGAGATCCGAATAGTTCACTGACCTGAGATGACCCTGGTCGACATTTTGTTTCATGAGCATGCTGCCTAGCGCAATCTTTGTCGCTTATGCAAAAGCAAAACTCAGAGCAGTCTTGTATGATGTTGTCACCATGACCTTCAAAAGGTCAAATAATGCCATCTACCTTGAATGAGTTCGTGACCTTTTGCTCAGAAACAATAATCTAGGCTCTGGGGGCACTTTGGAGACCGACCTAGAATTTGACCTTGCTTGACCTTATTTGACCTGAAGGCCATGACCTAGGATTCCTCAACTTTGACCTAAGTGAGTTTACGTACAGGTCAACGCACCCTACAAATTTGGTGTCTCTAGCTTTCTTAGTTCCCGAGATCTCGGGGGGTCAAATTGACCCCCACCCCCACCCGAGCGAAGAATATCTAGCCGGCCACCCGGACGCGTGTTAACTGCATCTATCGATACGACGGTTTTTTACGTTTTGTGACCACTGGAGACCTCACATTTGACCTGAGGCAAAAAATTGGGGTGCATTCTTCATGATTTGACGAAACCCCCACAACGCTGTTTTTTTCATACGGCGGCTGGAAGTTGGAGATTTCAGGACAAGTCAACTTCTCGCCGCCCGGGCGCGTTCGTCTTAGGCCCCTGGTCTGACGCAGGTTAAGAGGTTGAGGTAGGGGCTCAGAAGAGCACTGCGAGGCTCAAGCCAGCATTGGGCGGGTCTCAGCCTCCCCCCCCCCCCCCCTCCCGAAGGCATACTAAATGACACGTTTGGTCAAAGGCTCATTGGATGCTCGTTCACGGTTATCTAGCCGCAGATGCAACTACATAGCCTCCCACGTGAGACCTACTCTTTTCCCTGCTTCATATACTGTTGTACGTATTTTGTTTGTCTGTAGGTTCTCCATGGATCAATCAGCTGAACCAGCAGATGTTGCGCATGCAGGAAGAAGGCAAGCTGGCTGCCTTGAAGCGCATGTGGTGGGAGCGTGACCGTAAAGTATGCGAAGTACGTACCGACTTTCACTGATGACTAATGCCTCTTTTCTACCTTCGGGTGGTAACGCGCTAAACGGATCCAGACAATGTGGTTTCGCGCCTGTATGGGAATCGGTGACCTCGTCGCTAGTTTCCTGCTTCGTCAATGTAAAATGCCCGGGTCGTACTACGGTCAAGCGGGATACCTGGGTGGCCTGACTAGAACGAAACGCATCTGTGACCCGATGTAACCTGTCGGGACCTGACGCGTAGGAAGACGGCGGCGGTTCCATTGCGTCCGAACTGGATCTGGAGAACGTCGGCGGCGTGTTCGTCTGCTTGATGGGCGGCATGGTGGTGGCCACACTCATCGCCATCGTCGAGTTCGTCTTCCACCTACGCGCTCAGACCGCTGACAACAACGTGAGTCGATCACCGTCGGAGCAGCAGCGGATGCACCCTGTTTGCTGATGGTAAACTGCGCTCGCCGCAAAAGAAAATACATCAAAGCAGGACGTGAAAGCGCGTCACCATGCATTGCTTTAATCCGCGATGCGTTTTTTGTTCGTTGTATAAGCATGCTACATTTGTATCCGCACAGGGGCGGCACGGCAGGGGGACGGAGTGAGCAGTCGCCCCTTCCGCCGGGGGGGGGGGGGGGACAAGAGTACGTTTTGGTTTCCCTCAAAAACAAAATTGGAGCCCTTTCCCAAACTAAAGACGCTGAAACTACATGTACGTAAATAACAAAATTTCTGATCAAGGAAACCCCATAACTGAGCTAGACGCCTTTAATGTAATTGGAGCTGGATAACTAAAAACCCTCGTTCTTTTTATTTTTGATTCCCGACACTGTTTACTAGGATATGATGCATGCAACGGATTCATAAAGCAGCACATGTTCTCGGTGTCCCTGTCTTTGAACACGAAACTGACCCGTAGCCCCCATTTTGTCCAGACGGCCCCTCGAAAATCCTGCCCCCAACTCAAAATCTGTGACGTCGCCCGCCCGTGTACCCGCCTACCATTCGTCTCCCCAAGCGTCCCACTCTGCCTGTGGCAGAACGCCGTCACGTGCAGTTCGTCACACGCCGCCCCCTCCTCGGCCCGCTCGCCGGCGATGACGGGCGGCCCTGCTCCCCTGTCCGCAGACATCAGTCCTGTCCGAGATGGGCCGCGAGCTTCACGTCATCCTGCGCTGCCGCGGCAGCACCAAGCCGGCCCGCATCACGGCCGACCGCCGCAGCTCGGGGGGCAGCGGCCTGGTGGCGTTCCCTAGCGGCGCTGCCGAGAAACATGCCCCCGCCTTCGCCGGCTACGACACGCCGGCCGTGTCCTGACCGGTCGGCTGGCGGCGGACCGGGGTGACATACGGCGGTCTGCGGTCGTGTGATGGTCTGGGGTGACGTGTGGTGACCTGGGATGACGTGTGACGGCCTGGGCTGATGTGGCGGTCCGGGGTGACGTGTGGCGGTCCAGGGTCGTGGTGGTTTTGCCTGTCCAGGTTGGCGTGTGATGGCGGCGGATGACGTGTGATGTCCTGGGTGATGCGTGACGGCATGGACTGACGCGTGACGGCCTGGGGTAGCGGGCGACATGACCGTTTGGAGCGACGTGTAGCGAGTTGGGGCGACGTGTGAGGCTTTGAGTGACGTGTGATGACTTTGAGTGACGTGTGACGGCTTGGGGAGATGTGTGATGACTTGGAGTTACGTGTGACGGCTTGGAGTGACGTTTGACGACCTGTGGTGGCATGTGAGGGCCTGTGGCGCCATGTAGCGGCCTTGGGTCGTATCACGGCCTGGGTGACTGGTGATGGCTTGGGGGGGGTGCATGTGGCCGTTCGGGATTAGCGGCTATCGACACGCGCTCGCAGCCATCGCACCCACTTTTTCCCACGTTAGGGCGTGCACGGCTCCCTCCGTGCATCCCTGGTCTGAGGGCACGGTCACATGCGGCGACAGTAGGCTCGGCCGGCGCCAGATCGGCAGGTGCGGGGTTGACGTCATAGATCCCTCGGAGGCCACAATGGTGCGGCCTCCGACCCCCGTGCGGCAGCCAGCCGCGAGGACCCGATCATGGCAGTACTGGGCTGACCAATCAATATACATACATAGAGGTACACTGTGCCGTAGATCGTCGATGGGTGCATGCTGATGCTTTCCCGTCGTGGTCTCGTGCCTGGACACCAAACAGCAACAGCGTGGGCTTAGGGCCTGTTTTTCACTGAGAGGCCTAAGAGGAGCAGTAATTTGCGAGCATTTTCGTTTGATAATGACTGAGTGGCATGTGACTTGACAATCGGGCTCATTAACTCACAAAATACATGAACATTGACTGATCACCATTACTGTGAGCTGCAACCAGTTCTGTCATTTACTAGCACCTAAGAGCTCACTTACACGACAGTTGCGCCACTATGAAACCTCACCCCGAGTCGAGCCACAGCTTGGTTTTGTTATGGCCGAAGGCAGCAAACGCTTGCTGCTCGGACTGTGCGTCGATGTTTGGTTTTCGGGCCAACTGCTGTCCGAAAGTCTCTACCCAGTGACACTCTTCCGCGGCGTGCCAGCACGTGTCTAGTGGCGGAATGCGTCTCTCTGAGCCAGCTATGAAACTACGCTCAATTGATCGGTCTCGCTTGTCCAACTTAAGGCGACTTCTTCATCTGATCTTTTGAAGATTTCAACCTGATCCGAACTACTCCATCCACCAGTCGTCGCTTTTGAGTGTACAACAGCGCGGGACGCACCATCAGTGGGCACTCGCAAGTACATGGACACGTCTATATATGGCACGTGTCAATGTTTCGGCTTAGTGCATGTGATAAGCGCGCGGTTGCATCGACTCCTTGATGTTCTGATATTGAAACTCCACGCAGCCCACGTGCCCTACTGAAACATGCAGGCAGCTGGAAGTGCCCGTCGCTGGAGCCAGCGACGAAGCAGTTTCCGCGCGGTGGGTGACACGGCCGCCCGACCCGTGTGCAGTTCTGCCGAGCTGACCGTCTGCTCTGCCAGTAGAGTTGCCAACAGCGCTACGCTCACCAGTCACCGCATGTCATTTACTATTTGCTTCATCTTAACTCCCTCTGGGCCTACCAGTGCCCATGTCATCGTTATGACTAGGGTGTTCAGGCAAAAGATGCCTTTTCGCGAGGAAACGGCCGCAAGGGAGTCATGCAAGGCTAATCGCCAACGAAGAAACGCTTGTACTGCAGCGACTGAACTACGTTTATTGTTAGAATGCGCCGTGCGCAGTGTGCGAATTGTCCCACACAGCTAAAACGACAGGCTTTGGATTGTTGACATAGCTTGGTGCGACGGGTAGCAACTGTGCACCAGGCCCCTGAACACTAATAGCTTCACGACCCACCAAACCACAATGGAAACGAATGCTTCCCTACCGACCTTTGAAGCGCAGATAGTCGAAACCCGCGTCTTGGCTACGGCGCACGGGCGGCAGAACGACAGTTCACACAAAGGGGCGAGAGCATGCGCAAGATGGGGCGTGGTTTGAGCCCAGATGGTCTCCACACGTACAACAGACAGCACTGCAGCCGCGTCCACTCCAGGCTGACTAGCGCAGAACGGCGCAGCTTGGCAAGGCTGCAGCGCCAGAGCAGCACGTCTCGACGTGGAGCCGCACCGGGTGTTGAGTACTGTCCAGGGCGGGGTGGGACGCGCCGCTGCGGGCGGCGCTCAGCTGAGCTGGAGCGGGCCGCGGGCAGACTTGACGGACGAGCTGGCGGCCATCGGGGAGCCCATGGTCCGATTGGCCGAGTTCTCCTTCAACGGGGTCACCGCCAGAAGCGACAGGCCGTCCTGGAATAGACATCACGACCTGAACGGCACGAACGAGTGCAACCAGCGACGCGGCGGAAAGGACGCCGCGGTGTTCCGGACCAACAGAACAAGCGAAACGCACAGCGCTGCATAAGACACATGGCGCAACTGCGGACGTTGCGGCGATCCAGGTGAGCTGAGCCAGACACCGAGACCTGCTATTCGTTACTTATTGGTGCTTTCGGAGGCTGCGACTACGAGGTCATATGTCACCCAGGTGCCTGCTATTCCGAAGCGAAGCGTCCTGCACCGCGCAGCTCGGAGTCCGCCCTGGTATTCCCTACCGATGACCGCAACACCCAACAGCATCTTACCCGCATTTGATGTGGGTCGGCCACCGTTTTGGAGAGGTCATAACTACCCCGCATCTTGGACTTGGAGCTGGCGGTGGCGTTGAGCAGGGTGGAGTTCTGGTCGCCGCGCAGCCGCTCTTCAAGCTGGCGAACCACCACGCGCTGCCGCTTCAGCTTCTTCTCGGCGTCTGCCAGGTTCTGTGGAGAGTAGAGCAAACGTCTCAGGTCGGGTCAGCCTGTCGGGAACATGTGCCAATCCTCCTGCCGGTCTGCGATACATCCCAGGGAGACAGCGGCCACAGAAGCTGACGAATGGCCTCGACACGTGACCTGTCCCAGGCGCAAAACCCTGTCCGGCGTCCCAGTCGATTGCGTGCTATAACCTATAAATACGTCATAAAGTCATGCGTGCCAATAACTTTGAGCGTCCTCAGTTAGCCCGCCTCGACACAGCTGCTAACCCACTCACGCTCTTGAGGGTCAGGTTCTCCTCCTTCAGCCGCATGATGTGCCGGATCTTCTGGCGCTTGTTCTGGTGTCCGAGCAGCTGGGAGTACTGCCCGGCCAGCCGCTCCAGCTCGGCGCGCGTGCCCTCTGACTGCTCCAGCAGACAGCGCCGCTCGGCCCGGTACAACTCCAGCTGCGCCTGCCGATCGGCGACGGCGGGGTCAGCGCGCTATGCGTGGCGCCAGGCAAGCCGGGCGAGGGGGGGGGGGGGGGCACACTGCAGACGGTACTCGGCGGCCGCTGGCCACCAGCACAAACGGCGAGGCAGACGCAACGCTGCGGAAGCCATCGGCGGTTTTCACTCAAACCCGTTTCAGGTGCTATTTCGTGTAACAGCCCTAACTAATGGGCCGAGCAGTAGACGATAATACCGCAGTTCGCTGGAGGATAGACACGAAAAGAAAACCTGACTAAATTATGATCATATAGTTGTCTGCCTGCCAGTGTGCTCTCAACGTTTAGCCAGGCACTAAGCACAAGGACTGCATGAGCTGCGACCAAATATGCAAAAGACAGGCTCAACTTTTGGGGCGATGTGCCACGTAAATTTACGCACGTCCAATACCGGCGCCAAAGCGCGTGAGAGGAGTGAACATGTGAAATTTCTCCGACATTCGCATAGGCAAAGGAAACAAGCCGAGCAAAAACCACGCCGTCGAGAACAGACCATAAATCTCGGCAGCTGATGAGATTGTCATGACCATTAGCAGAAGACTGCCAATCAATGGAGAGAGTGTGAGTCACCCGCGCCTCCGCACGCCAGAGAAAATGTTGAACGTAAATATCTTAGTGATCCATTGGTGCTAACAGCTCAAACATACTAACTGATGCACATGATAAAAACAGAGTAACAAATGTTGAAGGTGGAACTATCAATATCACACGAACCACTGCTATGCGACCAGAAGCGGCACCGAAGATGCCAATAACGTTGCTGCCCTACGCGGCGAAGCAAGCGAGGACCGTTTGTTCACAGCTAAACAGGTATATTTGCATCAGTGAACACTAATTAAGCAAGCTACTCAATGCATGACAAACAATCCCTGGCAGCAAAGAACAGAAAGAGTGGAAGAAAACACAGCGAATTTGGTTACTAACTTAAATACATACAGCGTAAAAGCAGCAGAAGACGGCTTTGGCTCCGTCAAGAGCCACAGCTGATAACACCAACCTGAAACGGTTCAACGAGGGCGAACAGCTTCTCGTACTTGTCCTTCCATTCGTTGTGCTCCTCGAACGTCTGCAGGCGCGACTCGGCTTGGTTGAGCGCCTCGGCCCTCTCCCGGGCCTCCTGCTCCGCCTGCAGCAGCGCCTGGCGCAGGCGCGGCGTCTCCTCCGCCGCCTCGCGCAGCACCGCCTCCTTGTGGTACGCCTGCTGCAGCTTCTGGCGGATGTCCGAGAAGCTCTCGTACAGCTGCTCGAGGTCGCGCTCGTGGCTGGCCTCCAACTCTGCGGCGCGCTGCTGAAGCTGCTCCCGGACGGTCGCATCTGCGCGCCGCTCCTCCACCAGCTTGTCGTGCTCGGCGCGCGCCGCCGCCAGCTGGCCGTCCAGCCGGGTGCGCTCCGACTCGGCGCAGTCGGCGCGCGCGCGCCAGTCGTCACATTCGCCTTGTACACGAGCGCCGTGGCGCTGCTCCTCGGCCACTAGGAGGCGGGTCACGCGAACCTCTTCGCGCAGCGCAGTCGCCTGCCGGTCCGCCTCGTCAGCGCGGCTGCGGTGCGAGGCGGCTGCAGCCTCGGCAGCCGACAGCTGGTCACGGTGCGCGCGCGAGGCGGCCTCGATGGCGGCCGCCGCCTGCTGCCGCTGGGCCTCCAGGTACTCGATGGACGTGTTCGTCAGCTTGATCTCATTCCGCAGGACGGTGCATTCCTTCGTCGGTCTCCTTCCGAGCATTCTCGGCCTTCTCCAGCTTGGCGGCCAGTTCCTCACGCTGGGTTCGGGCCAGCTCAGCCTGCCCGAGCTTCTCCTGAACGACGGCGTCCACCTGTTCCTTAAGGTCGGCGATGTTTGAGTCCTTCTCGTCGATGATCTCCTCGTACAGCGACTTCATCTCCTCCATGCTCCTCTTGACGTTGTCCACCACCGCCTGGGCCTCCTTATGCGACGCGACGGCATCGGCATTCACCCTCTTCAGCCGGTCCACCTCCTGCCGTTGGTCGGCCAGCTCCGCCTCCCTGGCCTTCAACTTGTCTTCTGCCTGCAAGAGTTCAGTCTGCTTCAACGTCAGCTCACCCTCCTTCGCCCGCAAATGGTCATCAGCCGCCCGCAGCTCCGTCTGTTTCAGCGCTAATTCCTGGTGGCTTTCGTCGCGGATGCGCTCCAGTTCGCAGTTTTGCTCGCGAAGCTCGGCCAGCTCACTATCCTTGGTTTTCAGCTCGGCCTCTGTCTGCAGCAGCTCGGCGTTTTTTAGTATCAACTGGGCTCTTTCAGCCTCCAAATGGTCTTCTGCCTGCCTTAGCTCAGTTTGTCTGACAGCCATCTCCTTTCGAACATCTCCACAGGCGCGCGCCAGGTCCCCGTTCTCCTTGTTGAGATCAGCAAGCTCTGTCTCTTTGGCTTTAAGTCTGTCCTCCGCCTGCCGCACTTCGGTCTCCCTGTCGATCACCTGCTGCCGGAAGTCATTACACTGGCGCGACAGGTCAACACTCTGCTCTTTTAGTTCGTTCAGTTCACGCTCCTTCGTTGCCAATTTGTCGCCTGCTTCTTTCAGCTCTTTCTCCTTTAGCACCAGCTCCTGGCGGGAGCCGTCGCAGTCGCGCTCCAGGTCGTTATTCTGCTGACGGAGGTCAGACAGTTCACACTCCTTGAGCTTCAGTCTCTCTTCTGCCTCTTCCAACACGACGTGCTTGAGTTTCAACTCCTTCTCCTTCTCTTCCAGCCTGCTTTCTGCATCCTGCAGCTCATGCTGGGTGGTCGCCAGTTCAGCCTCCATGTTGTTCAGCTTGTCCGCCGCCTCCGTCAGCTCGCGCTGCTTCAGGGCCATCTCCTGCCGGGACTCGTCGCAGGTGCGGGTGAGATCGTCGGTCTGCCGGCGAAGGCCCGCCAGCTGGGCCTCCCCGTCCGCCAGCCGGTCCTCAGCCAGCTGCAGCGAGCTCGCTCTCAGCGCCAGCTCCTGGCGTTGCTCGTCACAAACGTGCGCCAGGTCGCCGTTCTGTTCACGCACGTCGATCAGGTGGCGGCGCACCGCGACCAGCTCGTCCTCGCGTTCGGCCATCGTCGCCTGCAGCGCCACCAGCTCCAGCCGCGTCGCCTCGCCGGTCAGCTCCAGTTCCTGGCAACGTCGGCGCAGTTCGGCGCCGTCGCCGCGCGCCAGCTCTAACGCTGCCTCGCCGTCGACCAGCGCCGACCGCTGCTTGTTCAGCCGCAGGCCAAGCTCGTTCAGCGCCGCCTCCTGCAGGTCGCGCGCCGAGCACAGACTAATCAAGCTGTCCGTCTTCTCGGCGAGCGCTGCCGCGGTCAGCGACAGCTGCTCGGTCCGCTCCGCCGCCTCGCGCTCCAGGGTTGCCACGCGGTCCGTCAGCGTCCCGCCGCGCTCCTCCAGCTTGCGCAGCTCCTCCTTCTGGCGCCGCCCTTCGGCGTCCAGGCTCTCCAGCCTACACTCCAGCACGGTGATGGCATCCTCCTTTTCGCAGATGTCCGTCTGCAGAGCACTGATCTCGGCGGACTTGCCCACCAACACTTCCTGCGTGTCCTTCAGCGTCGCGGTTAGCGCCTCCACCTCGCTCGCCCTAAGCTCGACCTCGGCGTTGCTCTCGCGCAATTCACCTCTGACCGACTCCAGCTCCACCTGAGCGCGGTCACAGCGTGCCTCCACCTGCTCCAGCTCGGACTGCAGACACGCCGTTTGCTCGTCCGCCGCCCGCGCCGCACGGACCAGATCGGAGCGCACCGCGTCCAGCTCGCAGCGCGCCTCGTCCAACTCGTCCTGGCGCTCGGCCACGGCCAGCGCCAGCGCCGCCTTCTCCTGTTGGAGCAGTGCCAGCATCTCTTGGCGGCCGCGCTCGAGCTGCGCCAGCTCCTCGGCGCGCATGCGCTCTGCCCGCACGTCATCTCTCGCTTGCTCCAGTTCGTTCGACGCGCTGTGGATGGCGGCCTGCATCCCATCGACGCGCTGCGCCAGCTCCTCGAGGCGCACCTGCTTGCTGCGCCACACCTCTTTCATGCTGCGGATGGCGCGCTCCTTCTCCTCCAGCGCGCGCGCCAGGTCGGCGGCGTCCTGCTCCGTCAGGCGCCGCTGCAGGCCAGCGTACCAGAGCTCGGAGCTGAGTTGCCGACGGCGCTCCGCCTCGCCGCTCAACTCGACCGAGACGCGGCCCACCTCCTCGCGCGCCTCCGCCAGCTGCCGCTCCACGGCGTCGCGCACGCGGAGCAACTCTGCCGTTGCGCGCGCCGACTGCTCGGTCTCGGCACCCAACTCCTCTAGCCGCTCGTTCAACTCGGTCTTGTGGCGCAGCAGCTCGTCGAGCGCCGCCTGGGCGCGGCGCTGCTCGATGCCACGCTCGTCCAGCTGCCGCTGCAGGTCGGCGCGGGAGGCGGCCAGCTCGTCGCGCTCCTGGCCGAGTGACGCCAGGCTGCCGTCGAGCGCGGCCAGCCGTAGCTCGGCCTCGCCGCGCTCCGCCTGGCACGACTCGACCTCGGTCTGCGCCGCCGCCAGCCGCGCCGCCAGTCGCTCGTCCTCGGCCGACAGCTGCCGGTTCAGCTGGCGCGCCTCGTCCAGGCCGTCGCGCAGCACGGCCGCCTCCTGTTCGCGCTCGGCAATCTGCTGCGACGTGCGCCGCAGGTCGGCGTCCAGGGCGTCGCAACGGTGCCGCAGCAGCGCCTGCTCACGCTCGCCGTGCTCGCGCTGCGCGCGGCCTTCGTTCAATTGATCTACCGTGTCGACCAGCTGGCGGAGCAGGTCGTCCCGCATCTCCTCCAGTGTCTGGCGCTGGGACTCACTGCTGGCCAGCTCCCCCTCCAGTGACGATAGCCGATCCGCCAGCTGGCACGTGTTCTCGTGGGCGTCCAGCTCGCTCTCGCGCGCCACCTAGCGGACCGGGGAACCGTCACCGATCGAGCAACGGACAGATGGATGTGGCGCGCACGAGACGAGCAGAGTGACAGCTTGGGGAACACTTCGGATCAGCGAAATACTGAGCTCCCCTGTGCACTTAAGAATCTGCATGTCTAACACACAAGTCATTTCGAGAAAAGGAGAGAACCATAACCGAGCCTCAAACCGAACATCACACTAGACTGCAGCACCACTACCCTCGCGCCGGAACTGACCTGCACCAATAGCTCCAGCTCCTTGATTCTCAGCGCCTGCCCCTCGGCGGTACGGCGCAGCAAGAGCGCCTGCTGCTCTAGCTGCTGGCGACGGTCCGCCTCTGCCGCCGCCTGGCGCTGACTCTGCTCCAACCCCTCGGCGCGGGCGTCCAGCCGCTCCAGGCCGTCGCACATCTGCAGCAACTGGCCGCACAGCTGTCGCTCTTCGGCCCGCAGCGCGTCCATCCGGTCCTCAACCTCAGCGCAGCGGCAGCCGGCCGCCACCGCCGACGCCGGCTCGGCCGTCGCTGGCGGGTTGCCGGCGGCCGCAGCGCCGGCACCGCCACTCTGGCTGCCGATGGCCGACAGGATGACGCCGTCCGAGCCCACCGGCTGCGTGACGACGCTGGCCGACGCCGTCAGCTGGCTGACCGTGTCTAGCAGCGCCGCGTTCCGGGCGCGCAGCTCCGAGATCTGCCGACATCAGGGGGTGGTGTAGTGTCGTGGCAGTACTGCATGCTTTCCCAACGGGCCGGCGGATGCAGAGGGGCGGAGAGACTCGGATCGGTGGCCAACGCAGCCGAAACATTGCAGGGCTCTACACATACACACAGCAGTTCCGGCAGCCGATGCCCCCCCCCCCCCCCCCCCCCCGGGTGGCACGGCGCAAATGGCTCCCACCTCCTGCTCTAGCTGCTGGACGGCCGGGCCGCAGCCGCTGTCGGAGCGCTGCGACGAGTCGAGGCTGGGCTGCGACAGCTGGCTGTGCCGGTGGCAGCGGATCGAGCCCTGTCGACACATGGCCGCCGGCTCCGCTCAGTGCATCTTACCGAGTGCGCCGAGCATCGCGGCTCGTCGGGACGCGGGCACACGGCGTGCGTTCACAGCATGACGACGCGGTCCCACGCGCACCGGCCACGTCCAGTTACGACTGCATGCTCGCCTTTGGACCCGCACTACACTGAAACCTTATTCATATAATGCTTCCAAAACTTTACTTTAACAAACATCGACAATGGGCCGGCAACTGACAACAGCAAAGCACAAGCACGAGATCTCCACAGCGGCGTCAGCCGCGCCCAGCATGGCAGACCTTGCGTTTTAATGCGGAGGGTGGCGCCCGTTTGCTTGGTGTGGGCGGCAGACGCGGGTCTTGGTATTGGTTCGGCGCCGGCGGCACGAATTTGGGCTCCACGAACCGGTTGGACTTCGGCATGGAGAAGGCCGCGGCCGAGCCGGTCTCCTTCGGCTGGTACTGGGTGGGTGCCGGAGCACAGCCTGGCCATGAGGACATATAACTTCGGATTGATAAGGGGCGATGCATGACGGCTGGGTAGTGTAAAACATAACCTTTGGCTTCAGTGGCTGATAGTTGCTACTGTCTGGTAACTAGTAATCGGCATTAATGTCCATTCATGGTTTGGGCATATTCTTAAAAAGGAATCAATCAACCACTTAATACAACAATATCTGACACCTCATGCACAGCACTTTAAAGAATGCTTAGCTGTGGTGAGAGAAACATAATCCATTAATTCACTTTTGGTTCCATGAAATATATCTATCTTTAACAGCCAAATTTAAAGGAAAATTACTTACAACTTGAAAAGGAAATTGCATACCTGAACCAAACATTTTCATTGAGACAACCATGTGGGCAGCTGGGAATTCAATTTCAACAGGAAATGAAAAAATGCATGAACTTACCGACTTCATCATTGAAGCGCTTGACTTGTGCCTTTGAAAATGACATAGGAAGTTGCTGCTACTTTGCTGAATGTCTGAAAATATTCTGTATGCTTTTAAAGTTTGGCCAATCAACATTTTCCCTTATCATTGTAGAAAAATTGTGTTTCATATTTCAGTCACAACCTTTTGCTGCTAATAAGTGCTAAACAAACTGGAATTTTGACACCTTTGTGCTGGGCTTATCAGTAATGGTATGGGCTCAATCTCTGCCATTATGAAAGCACTGCTGGCAACCACTGGTCTTCCAATAAACCAAAGTTAAGTTTTGAAGTATGACAGCATAAACAAGAAATGTTTGGTGTAGATGCCACTTCATTTGTCTGGGGCAGGAGTCCCCAAAGTTCAACAAGTGCATTCAGTCTGAAGAGGAACACAACTTGTTTTGTGTTTTTCAGGATCAGACTCTGTCATTCTGCCCCCATGCAGCCCCCTAAGCTGTTTAGAAAAACCAAAAGCCTGCTTCCAGCAAAAAAGAGACAAGCAGGTAATTGATGTATGGGCAGGGTTATACTTTCCTATTTATGCACATTAGCCACATCATCTCCAACTTCAAAAACAGCACCAAATCTAGGAACAAGCTTGTTTAAAATTATGTAAGTTGTTCAGTGCTTTAGCGAGGAACATTATTCACATAGATAAGACAGCAGTATTAGCCTCATTCCTGGGATAAAGACCAGGGGAATGGAGATATACTTTGACTGATATTTTGGCAGCATGCCTTAATCAAAACAACAGCAGAAACTGTTGTTTCATAATGGCAGATCATTGGCAGATAAACACACTTTTGAAACATAAATGCTGAATATTCTGCTATTGCTCCCATAAAGAGATGTTGCAAAAATATCAACCCAACTATATTTCCATTCTCCTGGTATATCTCTTATCTCCAACTATATCTCCATCCAAGGAATGAGGCTAATACTACTGTCTTATCTAAGTTTGTTTGTGAGTAGATTTCAGGGGGGACAGGTTGAGTCATTGAACAGTGCTCAGCTACCGCTCCCCAGTCATTTTGCGAAACTATGCCTCTGGGAATGAACCAATCATCCTAAAATATATCAAACTCCTCATTGGTTTCATGAACAATGTCCCTGTCATGCAAATAAATATAATATGTACCTGTAAAATAACTGGCCACACAAAATGACAATTTAGATGCTCATCACCTAATGCTTGTGCAGGAACACTGAAGAGGAATGTAGTTCTTTCTTGAGTGGGTGGTGGTGGGGGGGGGGGGGGAAGGGCTGAAGCCCCCCCCCCCATCAACTTTTGAGAAGCATGCAAAATTTTGGGAGAAGGGAGAACCCTGCTTATCTGCCAATTTGGGAGGGGGCAAGCTTCGTATTAGTGAAAATATACCATTCATGATATACTACTGTCAAGCATACATGAATAAAACCTTTCATGACAATAGAAATATACCTCAAAATTCACATAGGTGCCTGCCTACCTGTGGCATGCCTATGCGAATAAGACAGAGGAAAAATGACAGATGAGCCAACCATCCAAAGGTTGTAACAAAGCACTTCAGATGCACATCAGCCTCCTCAGTTAGTCCTCAACATTTTCCATTCAATTTTGAAACACAGATACGCCGATTGGGGTGAATCGATTGGAGCCAACTACGATTTCTGGTGGTTGTTCCCAATGGCCCTAGACAGCTATCCGGGTGCGAAAGACAGAGCCCGCTGTGGCCACCTCGACCTCGGCCTACCCGCCACCGAAATTGGAGGATTGACATTCGGTCCAGTGCAGTCCGATTTACGTATTCATGCGATGTATGAGGGCACAAACCGACGGGGAGTTCAGTAAATAAATGGCGTTTGAGGAAGCAAACGGAAAAACGAAGTCATACACGTCAGACATGAACTAACACCAAAAGCAGCCCCACGCGCTACGTCAAGTGTGCCACTACTTGAAAACAAGAGTTTCGAATCGGCCGGGCCCAACCGTTGGTTGTCAAGGCTTAAAACTAATATTAAATTATGTCTTTAATAAACATTAAGGGGACTAAATTACGTTTTATATTGGTCCTAAACAATTTTTGATTTTTCAAACTCAAAAATTTGTTTTTGCAACGTCAACATGTGAAATAAATTATACCTACAAGATATGTTTAAAAATATGGTTTATATACAACTAGGACGCTTATGATACATTAAAGGCACGTCTTGTCCAATGCTGTGTAAAGTTGCTGGTTGTTGACTCGCCTTGTATATTTGCGCGGTCATTCTTCCAGCCATGGAAGCATTAAGCGTGGAATGCTCGGTTTGTGCAGGCAAAAATTCTTTTTACAAATGCCCCATTTGCAGGGTTCCATAGTGAGTATCATCTTCTTAACGTTTTTGGCATTGGGCACAACAAAGTCTAGTTGGTTCATGTTACCTTACAAAAGGCTTGCCGCCTAATTGGAAGGAACATCTTCATATGCCCATTTCATCCACTTGTGTGCATGCTGATGTTGAGATGAGAATGTTGCAAGTGCATATTGACCAGACTGCACAAAATATGTGGTGAGATGCAGATGTACAGTGTAGCAGCAACAACACAGCAACAGTTTCAGCAGGGCACAATCAGTGTGGTCGTAAATCTGAGAGCTCAGATTTAAGCACAGTCTGTGACAATTTGAGCACAGAGAAAGTTTATTTTAAAGGAATGATGATGTTTCAAAGGTAATTTGAGGCAAAAATATTCAGATGATGTTTCTTTACCAGAAAGTGGTTTGGAATTTCATCTCAAGTTGGTGTGCCCCAAGTTTGGTACACATGAGCAAAACATTCAGAGTAGCAATGTTCCATGGACATCCAGTGCATGGCCAGCTGGCAAAAAATGCACCCACTGTTCTGGACTGCTGATGCCCACACAACATTGATGTGCTGAACCCTGTGCTCACATGTGGTGAATAAGGTCAGGACACATTGTGTCGACCAGTGCAAAAGGTGTTGTCAGGTAATTTTGTGTAGAATTTCCTTATCAGTGGCTTAGTGCCTTGGCATATTGGATTCCTTTGCTCTGAAAGTGGTGGCAGCTGTGTCAAACTGTGGGCTGCAATTTACAGCATATGTGGGTGGGCAATGATGTGTAGGTGTCTGCATGAAATGTCATCTCTCCAGTCTTCTCATTCCTTCAAATGGGAAATATACCAGCTCAGAAGTGTGACTGTGCCTCCAGTGTATCACAGCTCTGGATCCAGGCATGATAACATTCTGAATACCTAGGCCAACATCAGGAATGTCAGACCTGAATGCCTACCTGTTCAAAATTCAAAATCCAACTACACCTAGTCTCTCTTGCTTGTGTGGCTTTCCATATGAAGGCCCTTAATACTTTGTACTGAACTGTCCTCACTGTCCCGAAATCTGAATTTCAATGCTACATAAAACAGATCACATCATTCCAAACTTTTCTGAGCTCACTCACAACAAGCAACTAGGTATCTTTCTCAGAGGTAATGGTTTACAGGATTGCAATGGGCAGCATATAGCAAAAAAATTTTGAACATTTCTTTTTCAGACCAAATGATTTGCCAAAAACTACCAGATCTGCCACCGGCCCAAGACAGCTATATGTGTAGACTGGAGTGGCGGGGATGCCTGGCCCCTGTCAGCATACAGATTGGGTGGTGGGTTGTGGGTTCCCTGGCGGTGATGACCATATCTTATTGTAAGGAGAGGCGATCAGATTTAAGCGTTCCACTTATGCGCCAATCCACTCATATTATGTACTGCTTAATGTCCATTATTGAAAATAGACATCAAATAAAATCAATGTGCAATCCCACACTGAAGGATTTATTTTTGTACACTAGCATGTGGAGACTAAAACCTTGCAACAGACATGTTGCATAACAGAGAACACTGCTGGGTAAGGTAAATGTCATGTGAATCAGGGCATGTCCTAATTTTTATGCATGTTGCTAGATGACATGCATTAGTGGGTGTACCAAATCACAAACTGGTGATTTGATGAGCTATCATATTTATGCCCTCCAAATTTGATGTATTTGGATATTTGACACTAATTTGGGTTGAAAATTGCTAGTTCAGGAAGTACATCAACCATTTTTGAGGAAAATATTACTGTACTAAAATCCACCTAGCGCTAATTCATTTAAAATGTGTAAATAACAACATTGTTCCTTTCAGCTGCAGTGCAAAATGCTGCCAGACACACAAGGAGTCATGCATGGTGCCAGAAGCGAATGAAGTTACAACAGCTGACAAAACTGATCAGAGGGTGAAATGGGATGAGTCAACTGATCATATGGTGACAAGAGAAGCATTGGGTTGGTTAGGTAAGCATTGCTCGACCATGCAAATGAAAGCTAGTGCAAGCATGTCTTGCTACCTGGAAGTTTGTATTTGATGGCAAATTAAAAGTCCATGTGTGTATTATGTGACCTTGTCACCATATTTTTCACCTCTTCACCGCCTGCCGTAGATGATGACTGGTGGTCATACTGAGATTCTGATAAACATGGTCCTCTCAGAGGGGTCTCGCCTGATGTGACAATGCGGCGCATGCCTGCTATTCCCATGATGAGATTGCAGCCCAACTCCCCCTACTGGCTCGTGACGTCACTGCCGACAGGTGAGTCGAGGTCACTACGCCGCCTGCTGGCCAACGAGCACCTGCGCCAGTTGGTGCGGCTGGCGGACACCACGGACGAGCCGGACCGTGTGATGCGCGAGCTCATGCTCGAGCCGCTCTTCGTCGAGTTCACCGACGAGTGTCTGCGCGTCGTGGAAGGCGGTCCGGTCTCGTCCGACGAAGACTCGGACTGACCGGGAGCCGGGAGGATGACCTCGGCACGAACTGGGTCGGCGCGGTGGCGCTGCCGGGTTATACCGAGAGGCTCGGGACCCGGAAGGGGGAAAGCAGGTCAGGGAACCGCTGGGAATGGAAACTGTATGAAGTGATCGAATGCAGCACATGTGTCTGCTGTACCCAGACATGGGACAAACTTTGAAGAACCTGGTTTCTACATCCCTGCTTTTGTCTGTTTCATACAGGGTGTCTACATCATGTGCTATGGACATAGACATCTTGAGTTGTCTCATGCAGTGTAACAATGCTGTAACCTATGCATCTGTCGCGAGGGCACAGGCTCACAAACGCTGGGAAATGTGAAAACGAATGTCTGTATTGCAGATTCAAAACAATAACAAAACTGCCAATATCATTAGACATCAAGCTGGCAATGTGCAACACATTACCACCATGCATATCACAAGCTTATCGACTCATAGCACGTTTGTACTCGAATAAAGCACGCGTGGTTCTCTGAAAGCTCAGGTAGGTGGTGGGGACTTCCCAGGGATGTCAGCTGACCAAATGCTGGAGTCCTTGCAACGAGTGGAGAAAATCCACCATCTGGTCTAGACCCTTGCCCAGGAGCACCCTGAAAATAAGCAACATGCAAATTAAGTGTTCTTAAAACGCCGTTTACACAATACTAACCAACTGTCGTCTGTCAGCCGACACCCTGACGTGGCATAAAGAACGGCATTCTGTCACAGGCTCGCTATGCTGCTCACTGTTAGCCCAGCACTCTGACCACACAGACATACTGGCACGCTGTTACCTGTTGGCTGGCCCTTTGATGAAGTGGAGCAGCTGGCGGGGTAGCAGGCCTGTCTCCTGTCCCGCCAGTATCATCAGCGTCCGCAGACAATGCCACACGGCCAGCAGGTCGGCGTTGTCCGCCTTCAGCGACACCACGGACAGCTTCATCAGCCTGAGGGGGAGAAGCAGAGCGCTGAGAACCGGTGCCGTGCGGCGCCGGTCGACGGCCGCACAGACTGATCTGAGCACGCCCAGTCGGCGGACCCGCCCCGGACAAGACGCGGCCACGACACCCAGCTTAGCGCATACCACGGATCGTGTCAAGGTCAGCGAGACCAACTGGGACGTCACCCGACGCCGAGGAGATCAACCGTAACGTCAGCTGACGCCCAGGAGATCAACTGTAACGCCAGCTGACGCCGGAGAGATCAACTGTAACGTCAGCTGACGCCGAAGAGATCAACTGTAACGTCAGCTGACGCAGAGGAGATCAACTGCGACGTCAGCTGACGCCGAAGAGATCAACTGCGACGTCAGCTGACGCCGAAGAGACCAACTGTAACGTCAGCTGACGCCGAGATCAACTGTAACGTCAGCTGACGCCGAGGAGATCAACTGTAACGTCAGCTGACGCCGGAGAGATCAACTAACGTCAGCTGACGCCGAGGAGATCTACTGTAAGGTCAGCTGACGCCGAAGAGATCAGCTGTAACGTCAGATCAGTGTGGACAACCTACGATATGGTCAAAGCATATCCGCGGCGCCACCAAAAGACACCAGCGCTCTCAGGACTGAGGTCTTGCCGTTTTCCACGCTCGACGACACGGATGCTGCTACCGGACCACAGCAGCTCAGCGAGGGCAAGTGCCGGAGCTAGCACACCCAGCTGCGGGGACCGCTGACCGTCACTGACCGCTGCAGGGCAAGCGTCAGCGTCTGCACGTTGGCGCCCAGCTCTGGCAGGAAAGCGGCGCACTGCTCGGGCGAGGGCGGCACGGCCGGTCGCTCGTACTGGTAGCTGTGCTTCATGCCCGCCGCGTCCAGCAGCAGCCCACTGGCGGACACGGTACACGAATCGCAGCGCGGACACTCAGACATGAGACACTCAGCTGAATGCAAGCTTGAAGTAAATGTATTTTAATCAAGCACGTGGAATAACGATAGACGTGTTTGGGTCGCCACGATCGGGGTAAAAGGATATAATAAAACTCCAGTTTGCCAAATCCGACAGTACAACATTCGCAAGCTATGGTGTAATTCAGCTGCAGCAGCTCTAGCGCTACTTTTCGCCACGTGATGCCGCGTGCACCGATTTCCAAACAGCCCTGTCCCTCACCAGCACGAGTTAACGTAGCTCCAGACGCTCTGGAATAGCTCCAACATGTCCGACGGATCGGGCGGCAGGGGCGGCAGGGGCGCGTCATCGGCGCCCATGACGGCGTCCTCGTCGCCGTCCGGCGGCGGTGGCGGGCGCACCGCTCGGCCGGCGCTTGGCGGCGACGCTGCCGCGGCGCGCCTGGCCGGCCGTTGCTCGCCGGGCGGGCTCGCCGACGGCGGCGGGCGCCCGTCCTGGACCGGCGCGGCGGCGCAGCCAGCCGGGCCGGTCCAGGACCAAGGTCCGAGCGCGGCCAGCGGGCCGGCTGGCGGCGGCGCGCCCTCCAGCAGGGCGGCGGCCAGTGGCCGAAGCAGCGGGCCGTAGTGGTCGGCCGGCTGCAGCTGCGGCAGCAGTGTCGCCACGCCGGCGCACAGCGCACGCTCCTCGTCCTGGGAGAGCACGGCCCGCGCTGGCGGCGGCGGGCGGCTAGTCAACACAAGCCGTTTACGCAGCGTGGCCTCGAACAGCACCGCTCGAGAGGTGCAGCGGCGGAAAACACCGCTCACAGAGCGCGGGGAGGGGAGCGCCAATCACAGCGCCGGTATGAGGAAACCACTCATCACGTGCATTCGTCGCCAGAAAAAAACGGCCAACGCTTGCATGAGGAAGGAAGGCTGACTCGTGTGTCGGCGCTATTCACATTCCCTATCGCATAGGACTTGCATTCGGAAGCGTTTGCTAGCCATGCCTGACACCTCAACATACGGGTTGGCTAAATACCCGCGATTTCATCAGAAGTATGGAGCTGCGCAGCTTAAAAAAACAACAACGATATGTATGGTGTACAAACTGCATCTGTACAGCAAAAGTATCGCATCAAAGCCGATGCCTTTCTGCTCTAAGCCCTTGATCACAAACAGCATCGCCGCAAGAACAGAGTCGCTTCTAGAACGTTGTGGGACCAATTGTCCACACTTTCCAAGTCATTTTATAAAATGGGGGCACCGCGATCGTAGCATATCGTCAACGGCGCACTTATTTTTTCAGCCGCAACGGGGGAGGGGGCTTTAGGGCGCACTCAGCTGCTGAGGCTATATGGCTTCAGCCGCATGGCTGGTTGGAGGCAAAGAGGGCGAAACGTGCAGCGGCGACTCACGTACTGGCCAGCCGGAGCATCTGCTGCCACTGTGTCCAGCGCTCGGCGAACACGGGCCGGAACACGGCCTTCAGGTAGGTGCAGAGGCAGGCGAGCAAGTCCCGCAGAGACCACCAGGGACGGCGCGCGCCCTCCATCGTGGACCAAGCGGGGCCGTACACCACCGCCATCTCCCGGCGGATCACCTGATGGGGGGGGGGGGGGTCAGCCGAGGTCGGCATGGCTCGGGGGAGGGGGTGTGCAAACCCCTGCAGCATTTGACAATCACCATGGCTCTGATCCTTTGACGGAAGACCGCCGCTGCATGGCAGGTCTGGAAACGTGACAGCAAGAGAACAGTGATGCTCTAGACTTCAGCTTCCCACTTCGGTGGAGAAGTTCCCTTCACATAACGCCTTCCTTACGACCCAATCTTGCGCAGGGAGTGCGTAAAGCTGAACTGATTAGTAAATGAATGACCCTACCAGGCGTCTATACATACACATATATATATATATATATATATATATATATATATATATATATATATATATATATATATATATATATACGCATGCATCACATATCCAAATTACGAAAGGTGGCCCTGACTTACATACGACAGCGCTTTCCGGAGCACGATCTTTGAGATGCACAACATATTATCCTTCGTTACGGGAGTGTTTTCAGCCGTGCCTGAAACAAGCCAGGGTCCGCCATATCAACTGCAGGCACTCGCAAAAAATCAACAAAAAAAGATCCATATCAACACCGTGCCAAGCGAACAGGAGCGGGTGCAAAGAACGTCAACGGAACACGGACGCCGCATGGCAGCCTGGGAGAGAGTCTGGTGTTTCTAGAGAAAGCACATAGAACGTACTTAAGACCGGCAATACGAGGGGAACTAGCCAGCGGGACTCGACTCAGGTTCTGCCCACGGCGCCGGGGTGCTGACGTCACTGACCGCTGCGGTCGGCGCTCTGCATCAGCTGCTGCCGGCTGGCGCCGCGCAGCCCATGTAGCAGCACCTTGGTCAGCAGGTTCTTGTCGTCCGAGAGCAGCATCACATCGCCGCCGGTGGCCAGGCAGCACTCCAAGATGGCGTCGTCGGCCAGGTGCGACTTCAGCTGGCCGCGCGCGGCCGCCGCCTCCGCCATCGTCTGGCCTGAGCGGGCGCAAACGCAGCCACGCCTTTGTTAGGACCGAGTCGAGTGGAACTGCCAGCACTGCCACGTGGTGTTAGCAGCCAGCGTCTAACGCGCAGCGACACAGAAGCATTCAAACAAATCTCGGCGGTACGCCAAACGTACAAACAAACGTGGAGTGGCGCACGTTTCAGTTGGCGGGTGCAAGTTGTGGACTAACCACCTGACTGGAACCACACCTTTGACGAACGGGTGGTGGGCCTGGAAACATTCGAGCAGGAAGTTGATGGCGGCGCGCGCCTTCTGCGCCACGTCTGCCTCGTGGCCGGCGCGGTGCCGATTGTCCTGCTTCAGCTTGTCCAGCTCCTGCACCACCACCCACGGGATCAGCAGCAGCGGCCGCGCGCCTGGTGGCCGAAGGCAACGTCAGCGAACAGCTCGGCAGACTCCAGTCCAAGGCCCGCCGTCCCGCATGGCCCCTGTTGCAGAGGGGTGCCAGCCGCGCACTGAACCTCGCCACGGCCCTCACCCCAGAAACAGCGTCGCGCTCACCGTCCAACAGCGAGTCTCGCACGTCCAGCACGAAACCGACGCCGTGGATCAGCACGTTCGTGTCGACGACGACTGTCAGCCGGTGGGCGGGCTCCTGGCCCGGCGACCCGGTGACGGTGCTCCTGTCCCGGCCGGGCACAGCCGTGTCCGCACCCCATCTGGGGGTGGGGCCAGTTGCGTCCGCGCCCAAGCTGGTGGCGAGGCTGGCCGTGTCCGTGCCCCAGTTCAGGTCCGAGATCTCACCCCGACCCCGGAGAAAGGCGATCTGCCGGAGCGCAAGGCACAGCGCAGGCCGTTATGACTGTAGCGTGCTCTTTTAGTCAACATGTCGAACGGATGTGAGACAGCTGTAAATTGAGGTACGGGCATTCGCATATCAGTGAAGCACATATACGTTAGGAACGTTCAGGGTACTTATGACGGCCATCATATGCCTAAGATCATTTCGGATCATGTTGTACTACCGTATCCGTAAGTTCCCGTACAAAATGCCCCCCACCCCCACCCGCACAAGCTGATATCAGTTACCTGTGAGAGGACCTCCTCCTCGTTGAGCTCTGGTCCATCGCAGTCCATCAGCTCCACTTGATCGTCTTCGGCGGGCAGCGACGACGCCGTGCCATCGTCATCGAGCGCCCTGGTCACGGTCGGCTGCCCGGGGGCGAGCACGGCGCCTCCTAGCCGCGATGTCTCGTCCCCGAACTGGGGCAGCGCGTCTGCGGACGGCAGCGCACCCGCAGCCGAGCGGTTGGCCGCAGGAGACGGACCGGCCCACGGTGGCTTCGACTCCAGCCCGGTTCGCGGCAGCTTGGGTATGACGTACCGCGGAGGCTTGGCGGCAGCCGCAGCCTGCGAGCCCCATGGCGCGACCATATCGCCGTGCTGTACATCTGTCTGAGTCTGGCTGCCGCTGGACCCGCTCGGGCGGCCCTGGATGGGACCTTCGGACTGAATCTTCAGCGCTGGATCGGCGCTGGCGGCTTTGGAGGGGACCGCAGCCGGGGTGACGACCTGGGCGAGAGAGTCCGTCGGCCGCTGCTTCCGCCGCGCTTTCTTGGGCTTGGGCTTAGAAGAGCTCATGGTGAGTGATGTTTCCGTAGATATGGATCCTCGTGATGCAGTGGTCGGGGTTTTCCCGGAAGGATGTTCTTTAACTTCGGCGGAAGACTTGGCCGAAGGTTTTGCATCGACGGGCGTCACTTTGTGGGGATTGACTATCAACGGATATCTAGAAAACGACTGCATTCGAGCCTCAATTTTGGCCTTTATGACATCCAGTTTCTTTTTTAGATTCTGTTCTGGCAGATCAGATGCACTCTTCACTGACTTTTGTGCCTTTTTTAATTGCAGCGCGACATTCTTTGGGTCCGGCTCACCACAAGGCTTCGCATTCCGGGTATCACTTTGCTTGTCATTGGGGGTGGCAATGTTAGAGACCGAGTTTTTGTCGTTGCTATCTTGAGCCGTTTGAGATGAATGCATACACTTCCTCTTTGCAGCCAGCACGTCGCTACCATCCGATGCATCCTCCGACGTACCGGAGTTCCGCTTGGACCGTTTGCTGGCCCGCGTCAGCAGAAAAGCTTGTCTCGGATGCGGGGGAGCGCTTCTCACCCGGCCGTCTTGCACCTGGAACCGTGCCGACTACCTGACCAATGCCCGTCTTAGTGGCAACAGCTCGAAACGAACAGAAGGATGCTGCCTGCGAAATACAGTCGTCCAAGGACGGGTTTGTTTGGGGCAGCTTCTTTGAGGTCCTTGAACACCATTCTGAATGCTTTGTCCTGTGGCTGCAAGCAGGTTTTGTTTTCAGAGGCTGTCATTGGATTTGCTTTTGCACAATCTTTGCCATCCAAGATTGTTTCCTTTAGTTGGGCAGTACTTGGTGCCAATTGGCTTGAATTTTCCAGATGTTCCAGGCTGCAAGGAGTAGGTAATGCTCAGACAACAAAGAAATGAGAAAAAAATGTACATAACACCCATATCTGTCATTCAGTTTGCCAACTTTTGAAAGCCTTCCATTTCCACAAATTTGCCCATTACATTTGGGCTAAAATGCTTGACCTGACTTACAGGGAGAATTCCACATTTCTTTGGGGGTTTTGAATTGAGACAGACATTTTGAGCATCATTCAGTGCAGTTCATAACTGTATGCTTTTTACCTAAAAACCCTGTTGTTTTAACCATACAACCTGCAGAGCTGTGCAGCTTTTTCATGTAGACTATTTCAAGTTCCCCTAAAGCAATCACACCGTGCAAAGTTTGTGCAAATACTGCCACAGCGTACCTAATACAGAAATAATAAAGCTCTGCCTGACAGCCAGTCAGGAATTTGGACAGTAGTACAAGTCATAACAGAGGTAAGACTGGAAATCAAATCACCTTACCTAATAGCACCCATGACAAAGATGTGTATGCCAGTAAACAACACAAAATCACAGGCAAAGTATACAAGAACACCACAAGAAAGGGTCAAAACATGCACATGTGAGAATATTACAGGTACACAAACACATACCAAAACATGCATACAGCCTCTCAAATGTCCTCCAATTGCATCAGCCCATTCCTACAGTGGCAACTTTGACATGGTCATCTGGCAGCAGCCTTGACATCATTCATGCATTTCAAGGCACAATCAAACAATGACATGAGTCAATTATTTGCTAAAAAGTGAAACTTTGTAACCCTGATATCATCCTAACCATCACAGCATAACCCAAGCATCATATCTGATGCTTGCCCCAATATCTTCACAAGTGGAGCACTCCCCTTAGCCTTACCTTTTCCATTTGTCTCATGCCCTTTTCAAAGGCCATGACCTCAGAGATACTCCAAAGAGATATATTCCTGCTTGGATTGCAGTAGTATGTTTTGCCATGTGACCTGGACTCCTTAGCAATCCAACCTTTTGGCAGGTATTGTTTGTTTGATGTTTTATCCATTCTTCCAGCAAAGAAATTCTCCTGAAATTCAGATTAAATTTGATTTAGCTGAAATTAGCTGAGCTTAAAAAGACTGCATCAAACAAAATGAAAAACATAGATAAGACAGTAGTAACAGCCTTATCCCTCAGAACAACCAGGGGAATAGAGGTTAAGTGAAAAAGTCTCTGGCAAAATCTTCCATCTTGAAGCCCATGTGCTTGGGTGGCACTAGATGTCATCTATGCAGCTCTGGGTTTCAACAGGTTTGCAAACAAAAGAACATGGGTTACAAAATCAAGTGCAGACTGCAGAAAACAAAGGAGGGACATAGTCTTTGTCAGGGAGTCCATGCACCCTATTCATTTGAGATATAATGAACACCTGCGAAATGCTAAAAACAAGACAGGGAATACCCTTTTCAGTGACCATTTCCTGGCAGAACATGCTCAGGCTGAAATCGAGGGAGGTATGGACCTTATGCTCCTTTTGGGGCTCAAGATCATCCGCAGAGCACAGAACCACCATGGACAGGAAAATAAGCAAACCTATTTTTGAGAAACTTGGTGACCAATTCTTAACATGCACGGCTCATCGTGGCTGATTATGCGAGCGGGATACACGCCTTTGTGTGCGATGAGTGCTAGCTTAAGATCATTTGCATGTGTAAGTGATGCCTGAAGCATGATGTGTGATGCCTGTTCAATTTCAATCATTAGCAGGCAATTTTGAACTCACTTCCACTTTTGTTTCATCAAATGCATGTTGCAGAAATATCAACCCACTATATCTCCATTCTCCTGGTTTTTCCCTGATGAATAAGGCCATTACTACTGTCTTATCTATTTGAATAATAATCCTTGCTCAGGCACTGCACAACTTATAAAAATGAAAAACAAATGCAGATATTTTCCAACAAAAATGACCATAGTGTACCCAATGAATGTTAAGTTATTGAGGAATGTGACACCTCAACCTAATTCTTAATTATATTTTATGACAAATCATCTTGCATTCAACATCATTTATTGTCATTCCATGCTACACATGTACATCATGTAGCTGTAAGGGCAGCTTCAGAAGCCTGGACGCATTGCCAGGTATCCATTTCATTGGCTAACAGTGGGATTATCCACGGGGCTATTGAATCTCACAATGTTCATTGGCATGCTGCCATGTTGGAAATGAAAAAGTGCATGTGCATAAAACACCATAAAAATCATAAAACAGGAATATTTCATCAACATCTTATCATCTTACTATCAAAATGTAATAATTGTGACAACAGCAGCGGTTTGTCAAACATCACTATGTAACACTGATGATACAGGTGCTAATAGGACATGGTCTGTAGGGGGTTGAGTGGGGAGGTTTTCAGGTAACAATGGTATGGTTAGGTTAGGTTAGGTAAGGTTAGGTTATCAAGTTAGGTCAGTTTAGGTTAGGTTAGGTTAGGTTAGATTGGGTCAGGTTAGGTAAGATTAGGTTAGATTAGGTTAGGTTAGGGAAGATTATTAGGACAGGTTAGGTAGGCTAGATTGGGTCAGGCTAGATTAGATTCTGGTCTTCTTTAATACCATCTTTAAAGACCATATTCTCAAAGGAATCACATGCTGGACATGCTGCAGCAATAGTGCCTCTTATTGCTACCCAATAAAGCATGAGCGTTGCATCCCTGGAGCACTCAGACTTTTGTTACTGATATGAAAATTTGAAGGTAAGAATGTAGATGTACCTGCTTTGATGTTTAAAACATTTGCTACCTTACAGAGGACGATTCGGGCAGAATGCTCTTAAGTAACATAAGGTACCAATGTCAACCTGCACCAGGTAACCTCATCAGGTAGGGTCATGGAACAGGTAAAAACAGTGATACCTCATGCACAGAAGTGTTCACGTATGCAACTCCTGACGATCATTAGGGACTCACTTCCAACTATAACCTTTCCACACATTTATCATTCATTAGCACCCAATGCGCACTTTATGTAGCATAGTCGTAGTTTATGTCGACAAGCAAGGGAACAATACCAAAATGCATGCTTTGAAATAAACTTAGGCTTAATAGCAATAAATGTATCTAAATTTTGAATTTTATATTCACTTAATAAGCTAAAATACTACCTTATATTTCGGAAACACGGCATATAACAAAGCTTCCTATTGAATAAAGAATAGCTGCAAGAAGTGCACTATTTGTTTGTTAATATGGCGCAGAAAAACATTGTCTGCGCAGCAGAACCACATTGACGCGGCTTGGGATGGAACTGCACTGGGCGTCACCAGAGCGATTGCTTCGCCGGTGATGTTTGCGCTGGGATTGTTTTGCCCTGGATTGCAAAATTGTGAATCCTAGCGGAAAGAGATAAGGACGACTTTGAAATAGAGCGTTATCCATACTTTTGGTTAAAGCCCTTGAGTGATAACTACTTGGCATACCTAACTGAATCATTCCATGTGTGACTCACTGTCGACAGGTGAGGCGCCACGCATGTACCGGTATTACCGGCGTAGTTTTCGCATCGCGTAAAAATGGCTTGGTCGACCCTGTCAGGTATGTCAACTTTACAATGTTTTAGTCATTGGGTTCACAGATTCTGGTGCATTGCTTCACACAAGCTGAGGGGCGACAGAAGTCCTCTGATTTCCTAGGCCAGGAAGGGGATAGCCACTTGCGTTATTGTTTCTAACCAACAACCGCAGGATCAATATCTATTTTTCAGAAAGTTGGGAGCTCACCCCATTTCCTCTCCTCGTCTCCTCGCCCTGCACAAGGCTTGAATGCCCTTCCTTTTTTGACGCAGGTGGGGGTGGGCCCTGCTGTCGGTGTTTCGCACCGCTTTCAGTGCCTCCTCCCTTGCCAGAAACCGGTCAAATGTCTCCAACGCCTCCTCCAGCTCACCGAGGGTAGTAAAGGGCTGCTGGATCCGCCTCAGCTTGGCTGGGGCCACACTCCGAAATCGATAGCCGAATAGGGACAGGTATTGGCCGGCCATGGGTGTACCGTGAGATGGCTAATCAGTCAGTCCCTAAACTTCTCCCTCAGCGGGGCGAATGGGTCGATTGGAATTCTCCTGGGACCCCGGTGGCGCCCCGTTAGACTCTGTTGGTCCTCGAAGGGCCTAAAACCGGCCGAACGAATGCAGCTCCTTAGCGTGTCGCGCCAAAAATCGGATGACTTTGGGCCTCTTGTCAACAAGGAAGGGACAGGATGCCGGGGTGAAGGGTCCACGAGCAGACAACAAGAGCTCTTGGGTTATTAAGATGTCCGTGGTTGGACAAGTTTTAGAAGCCATCGCGCTGTTCAGGAGCCTTACACTGTTGGAGGGGACACGTTGACTTGCTGGGCACTTGGTCGTCCGCAGGTCTTCCAGATTGGTCTTGGGCTGCTCCTATTTGCTCGGAGAGCCCTGCGCTGTTGGGAACCCTAAATGTGAGTCTGCTGGAGAACTTGATCGCTCAGGAACATTCCACTGGATCTTGCCAGTGACTCCTCCGAGGGCTATGCGGTGCTGCCTGGGGCACCACCGCATCTGCCGTGGCACTTGCGATCGATCTGGGGCTCTTCAAAGTGGTCTTGGCTGCTTCTCATTTGCTCAGAGACACTGCGCTGTGTCCTATGAGTTGGCTTGCCAAGACACCTGATGCCAGGGGATATATCTGCATTTGTATAAAGTTCTTCTCATTCGTTTCCATTTGCAGAGGACCCTGCCTTCTTAACAGTGGCACTTTCCGCCAACCATCCGGGATACGCTCGATCGTTCGCCACCTGGGTAGTCTTGGGTACTTAACATTTGCTCGTAGTACCCTTCACTGCTGCCAGGAGCGTTTCAACACGCCGCGGCACTCCGATCGCTCAGGGGCGCTTGACATTGGTCTCGGGTCCTTCTCATTTGTTCGAAGGCCGCTACACTGATGTTTGGCCCTATAACCTAACCGACAACACACTACCGACGCTCAGCGGCGCTGAGCGTGGGTACCAAAGCAGAGGCGCCGCTTGGTCAGCGGCCATTCTGTTACTGGCATAGCGGTTTTCCCATATATCTCCCTTTGCGGAGGCCCCTACGTAAGTTCCTGTCGGAGGCACTCTCTTAACCTGTCCTGAACCTGTATCTTAACCCGTCGATTGCGCAGGGGCCGGTTGGCTAAAGGGCCGTTGAGTGACTCAGTACCTTATTGTTGGTGGCCCTACGTGCTCACCTTCATGCAGGGGCGTATTTCGCAAAGTGGGACCCTCAGAATACGCCTACAAACTAGTTTCGCCATAGATTTGGTCCACGTTCTTCTCAAACTTGGGGAGGCTGGAGCCCAAGCTTGGGAAGGGGAAATCTCCACGTCTTAACGTGCCCCGGCATTCTTGATCTCTCAGGGGCCGTCTACATTGCTCTTGGTCTTTCCCTTTTTCTCGGAGAGCGTGGTCTTCTGACCGCGATGCTGTTGCTGTTCACCATGTGCAATGTGAATTGCTCAGAGCACATAAACTATTCCAGGATTTAGATTGATCCTCGGAACGGATTAAACAGCCACAAACATCAGCATGACTAATCGAGATTTCACATGACGTCAGTGCTGACGACAGTTTACCGTGCTGACATGCAAATACGAAGATGGATTTTCCTTCTTAAGTAACGCTTTTCGGGTCGACCTGATGCGTCTCCCACGAGTTTTGAAGAGCCAAAATGTCAGGTCATACCATTACATTCACGACGTTAAACCACCTGGCATGACTGGAAGCTACACACGAAAACATCCACGCGCCGTACACTATCCGGCACTACAGCATTCAGGGCTTGGATTCCGTTTGATGTTGCCACCTCCCACTGCGACAGACTCAGACTTCACATACCGGACGTTTAGAGTGAGGGCATTTTTCCAACTGGAGCGCGCTAAAATAGCCGGCCAATGTGTGGTCTGCCACTACCAGTGTGCCGGTTCAGGCGCGGTGAATCTGCCGATCAGGAAGAAGACACAAATGTTGCAAAGCGTCGTTCCGAAAGCAGCACAGTGCACGTTACAGTCATCCTGCAATACTGGGTGTTGACTTCAGCTCCCGGGCCAGTCACCGTGACTGTTAAGATCATCCTGCGCATTCCCGAACTCGCTGGAAATAGGTGAAGTAATGTGATGATGCAATACCGTCCACGCTGTTGGTTTCCATGTTAGTCGTCAGTGAGTCAGCGCCCAGGGGAATGTTGTCTGCTGGTGGTGCTATAATTGCGTAATTCGTTCGGAGCATGCATGGGAACGTAGCCGGCTTCGGCTTCGCAAAGCCGCAGTTTTTCTTCGATTACTTCGGATTCGACTTTGGCTTTGAGCGGTTTTTTCACGAATGGCTTCGGCTTCGACTTTGACTTCGGCTTCGTGCCATTTTGAACGGTTTGTTTCGGGTGCGGTTCAAATTATGGCTTTGGCTTTGATTCCACGCGAGCTTAAATTGGTTCAGCTTTGTCACGTTCATCTCTGTCTGTGGCTGTGGGCTTGCCGTTCTGCTTCGCAAAAACAGCCTTATACCGTTAACCAAACATGCCACACAACCGTCCAAGACTACGACTTGCTCATGGCTGAAAGGTAAAACCAGCTGGTCATTCTGCTGACCAGTATACGCCTGACGGCCGCCAGAGAACTAACTGGCCGAAGTGTTGTGAAAAGGCTTACACATAAGACAAGCACGATAGTCCGAAACATTTAGCATGTCTAGTGCTAAGACTTGGTTAAACCAGCTATCACATTTTCATCGCTAGTGCTAATCATTCCGCGGAACCCTCGTGATGTTCTAATCACATGCATTTTTGGCACGTAAAATTGATCTCGGCTGCGTAAAACAACGCTTTACGGTAGGCTCGGCTTTGGCTTCGGCGTTGTAGTTTTGAAGGGATGGGTTTGACTTTTGCTTCGTGTTTCTTAAATTCCAAGCCGTTGACTTCGGTTTCGGCTTGGCGTGTAATAATTTCGAAACCACTGGATTCGTACTTTTCGGCTTCGGGATTTAGAATACACGAAGCCTCTGGTTTCGGCTTTGGTTTTGCAATCCCGAGCTTGAAAACCAATAGCATCGACTTCGTTTTCGGCTTTACGCCGTTGTTTTGACTTTGTATCTGGCTTAAAAGACAGATTTCTGGCTGCGCCCTCCCCCACCCCCCCCCCCCCACCCCCCTCACCCCATGCTTGCTACTTAGGTTCTCATCATGTGAAATGTACAGATAAGACAAGCAATACAGGATACACCAAGGCAGCAAAGATTGAGTGCAGTGGAAAATAAGGAGATTACAGAATCGGGACGGCTGCACAAGTTTAAAGGAAAGTGCTCAACATACTTTAACTTAAAGGCTTATTTGCTGTATTACTTACGAACATAAAGAAGTGCATGTTTGTTGCATTTTGCCGAGTGCCCATCGTGGCGAAACACATCTGCTGAAAATGTGATTTGATTTAATTCGTTGCTGGCCGATTCCGTGTGCATTGTAGGAAATTCGGTTGTGTTTCTTAACTCGATATCGCCGATTTCCCTTGGTTTATCTCACAATCGTTTAAGAAACAAAAAGGCGTGACGCGTCGCCTTGTCGTGGCAGAACGTTGAAGCCTCACGTCCCGTAGGCCAACGGTCCGCAGGCCGCTGGCACCACGTCAAGTGTAAAGTTGCCCACGCTCACCAGGTTTCATTGTGGACTGCTGAAGTTTCCGGGAGGCAGAACAACGCCATCAAAAACCAAGGGTATCTGCACCCATACCGGCGAGAGTAAAGCAGCCTTATGTTTCATTGGATTTAACGGCCGTAAGGCGACCGGGCTCGGCGCTGTGCTAAGTCCAATACCATTTGGGGTGTGTGCTGTATCAGTCCCCGACCTTCCGTGAGGCGGCGCATGACGTGGCGCCTGCCGTGCCGGCCTCGTGGCGGCGGCGGCGGCGGCTCGAGCCAATTGCCGGCATTCGGGCCGCCCGGGGGCGGCCGCGGCCGGCGGCGGACGCCGCGCCGCGCCCAGCCGTCGATCAGTAGTGCGCGTCAGCGGGAGCGGTGAGGGTCCTGGCAAGGCGGTATCGGACTGCAGGTGGGTGGGCTGGGTGACTGGCGCGTGTGCCACGGCTGACGGCGCGTTTGGACGCGGGTGAAGAGTTTGCCGGCATGCGGGCTGTTGCGTGACGGTCGTTTTGGGGTGCAGGACTCCGCAATCACTGTGTGTGACTTTCCGGTTGATTTCATGGCGTGTCCCTTCTGGCCATGATGGCGTCGCATGGCTGACGAGTTGAACGCTGCCAGGCGGTTCGAACGTTATCTAGAGCAGAATCGCCGCAGTTTGAAAATGGCCGAACACCTTGACGTGCGTGGGCCTGATGCTATATCGGTATGGATCGCGTGTTGAACACATAGGTATCGCCGCGCGGGGAGGGCATCAGACTCACTTGCCCCGATGCCACAAAATGAAACCCTATCATATACGAAATTTGGAATGTTCAGATTTTCGAGGCAAACGAGAGAGCATGTATCTTTTCGGCTCCCCACTCCATTTGTCCTCTCTCCACACAAGCATTTTTTTCCTTCCCCAGCTAAAAAAACTCTGGTGCCTCAATGAGTAGGACGTTCCGCGAGATATAGCGTTGTAGCAGAGAATCGGAGCCGCAGGTGTGGGTCGAAAGCCGGTAGAGGGAGTCTTAATAAGGCTTATTTCCATAGTACTTCACCACAGTAGTGACGAATCGCTCCTGAAGCTTCATGGACCTGATGCAACACACCGAGGTCCTGCACGGAAGCTCGTGCAACCGAGCGTGAGAAGCGGCTGCAATCGAGCCGCAGTCTATGGGGGCCGAGCTGCATACTCTGGCATGCTTCACTCATGTTCCCATGCACCCATGACAAAATTCCAAATGGCTTGGCTGCAGTGAAATTCCGGTCCGCGCGATAGGTCACGCGTGCGTAATGCAAGTAGGTTGTGTAGGAACGTGATGTTTATCGCGCTTTACGCAGCCTTAATCATATCTTATGGGTAATGGAACCACCCGGCCAGGACCACGATTATTGATCACAGCGGTGATGGCACGCTGCTGGGTGTCGATACCGTTCCCATCTGCAGCTGTGGGGCTCGAGTGACGGCAGAACACGTGCACATCACCGAGGTTTGGTACTCGCACCTTCGCTCGCACTCGCACTCGCACCTCGCACCCTGGTCTGAATTCCGATCCAGATTAGGGGGGCAGAGGCCGTCTGTTTTATTTCGTTTCACATCCTAATGACCGTCTTCCTGAGCCCTCAACCGTATCCACATGGATCACAACTCTACCTCACTCACCGCGTACCTCCCGCTAGTTTGCACATGCCTCCCGTTGCTTTTGTGACGTTAGCTCGTTCCATACATTCACGGCCCACCAGCCAGCCTTGCTCATCATCTGGTTTCCATTCGGAACACCTGCTTTACACCTGAGATGACGGGAACTCTTGGTATTGTGGTTCAGAGGGCGATGTACCCGTTTCGGTCGAAGAGACCCTCGGGTCGCACGAGCCACGAGACCCGATGCCACGCAAAACCAGTCCGGGCGCTCCACGTGGGCGCAGGCTCCATCGATGGCGGGGCTGAAGTGGGCCGCGTGCGGCTCAGCCGACCAGATTGGTGAAGAAAGAAATCCGTTTTGAGACAACTGGGCAGACATACACTCGTAGTTGCGTTCGTTGCAGCCTATCCCGGGCGCCGTGAGCCTGTAGATGCGGTGATCCGGCCGGCAGTGCGGCCGAAGGCTGGTGCGGGCGGCGCGTGGTCAGACCCGAGCGGGCCGCGGCCGCCCCACCTCCGCCTGCACCAGCCCCGGCGCCATGTGATGCGCCGCCGCTCTGGCGCCGCTGGCTGCGTCCCTGAGCCCGGCCGGGCAGGACGCACCGGTCAGGGCTCGCCATCTCGAGCGAGCCGGGTCTCTCCGCCCGGCCGCCCGACGCGCTAATGAGCGGGGCGTCCTATCGGCGGCGTCCATTGGAGGTCCGATCTGGGATAAGGGGCGGGCGGGTCCGCGGACAGCCGGAGTCGGTGGGAGAGAGGCGCTGAGCGGCGGGCGCCGACCTCTCGCTGATGAGTCACGCCCAACGGGGTGGCGTCGCTGGCGGGTGTCAGCGGCCGGCCATTCAGCGCAGGCAGTCCCGGCTGCCGACGACGTGCCCCAACGATGAAAGGAGGTCTCGGGCCGGGCTGGGAAGGATTAGAGCGAGCGATGTGGCAGTGGCGTAGCCAGGTTTTCGCTCAGGAGGGAGTGAAATCGGGTTGGTCCTGTTAGCGTGGGGACCACATTTCGTCGCTACAGGGATGCTGCTTTTTATTTACTTGGTGGTCACTAGGCTCGCTATCCCTTATTGATGTATTAAGTGCCCGTTTGTGGTGTTAGAATCTCTGCGATGTACTGCGATGGCTAAAAGCTCAACAGATGTATTCGACTGTCAAAGATTACTTCTTGATCTTGGCGCTCACTACCCAGAGAGGGGGGGGGGGGGGCCTTAAATCCTAACCGTTGGCTAAGTCACCGCGATGTGGATTCGGCGTGACTGCAAACCTGTGTGGGGGGGGGGGGGGGCACCGGGCATGATGACTTCCGCTGGTCCGTCATGAACAAATGGCATATGCTCATTATGGAAGTCACGAGGGAATTTGGCCTATCAAAGGTATGTTTGTATCCTCTCTGTGACGAACAGGAAATTGCTGTTCCAACATGCATGTATTGAATCCAACAAAGCCGGAACACCTTGAATACGGTCAATTTTAAGCTTTGTCTTTGGGCGCAACACAATTGAACTGCCGCCATCGCGAACAAGTGAACTGCTGCCGGTTAGCGTTCACTGTCCATATGGCTCCTGTGAAGGCCAAAATATTGCAGGGGTCATACAGCAGAAGGAGAAGTCACTGGTGAAAAGAAAGTTGTCCAATAACTCAGCAGAGTATATATACCGCGGCTGTACTCGTTTCACCCTAAAATGATGGCCTTGTGGGCCCAATACATTCAACGTAACTTGTCATCTGCTGGCCGAATCCGGCGCACGTGAGCAGGCGTTGCACCAAAACTGTACTTAGGTGTAAACGTGTACTCAGAGGACAATGATTGCTGGAGCATGAAGTCACAGTCTGAAGAGCCTCGCATTAGTAGAAATATAGGATTATCCTATGCTGCTTCACGAAAGGAAGCAGCCTGAACTCGCCGCCCATTTGGGGACGGGGTCACGCTCGTCGGTGACTGCAGGAGGTCGGGTGTCGCCCGCCGAGAGAAACCAACCTGATGTGGGCCTGAGCCCACGCTGGACTCGGGTCTCGGCGCTGTTTACGTATTGGATATCCGTTCAGGTCGCGTTCGCTGCCGCACGGACTGAGCTGTGGCATCCGGTGTTGTGACTATTGGGAATGCAGTGATACTGTTTCCGTCCCATGCGCCTCCGCAAATGCTGTGTAGGTGTGCCAGTGTCACTGAGGTCAATCGATTGGAGTTCGAGATATCGTTAAACATAACGCAGTTGCCTGACAAGGTAAACAACTCTGTGCTGAATGACCTTGGACCTCGTTCGGCCGAATTCTACTTTTCACGATGTATATAGCAGACCTCACGTACTCTATTTCGATTTTGCATCTTAAACTGTTGCAAACTGCAATCACTCGACATCATGAACAGCTGCCCTCCGACGCTTGGTATAAGTGCCTTGCATCCTTTTTCACATCGTGCTGCCATGGATCGTGTATTTGGTCGCACAGTCCGTGTATTTTGTCGCGCTGTCCGTGGATTTTGTCGCCCAGTCCGTGGATTTTGTCGTCCAGTCCGTGGATGTTGTCGTCCAGTCCGGGGATTTTGTCGTCCAGTCCGTGGATGTTGTCCAGTCCGGAGGTTTTGTCGCCCAGTCTGTGGATGTTGTCGCACAGTCCGTGTATTTTGTCGCCCAGTCCGTTGATGTTGTCGTCCAGTCCGGGGGTTTTGTCCCCCAGTCCGTGGATGTTGTCCGGTCCGTGGATGTTGTCGTCCAGTCTGGGAGTTTTGTCGCCCAGTCCGTGGATGTTGTCCAGTCCGGGGGTTTTGTCGCCCAGTCCGGGGGTTTTGTCGCCCAGTCCGTGGATGTTGTCCAGTCCGTGTATTTTGTCACCCAATCCGTGGATGTTGTCGTCCAGTCCGTGGATTTTGTCGCCCAGTCCGTGGATGTTGTCGTCCAGTCCGCGGCCGGCGCTTGTTATACAGCAGTCCCATCTGGATCCGGCTCATCACATGACATGTTTATGCGGCTGGGTTTGTCCAAGGCGCGCCACGAACCAGACGTCCTGCCTGCTGAATGCCGACCATTAATAGCTGGTCCTGACCCGGCCGACTGACGCTTCTGTGCTTGGTCATCGGCACAAAAACTCGGCGCTCGTGCTCTTTGAAGGCCGCTGTCCGGACTCGTTACGTAACGGTCGCGAGGCGCCTTGCCTCCTCGCAGGGAGCATGATGCTCCCGTGAGGAGCAGCATGTTTTGTTTCCGTGTGCCAGCCTTTGAATCGTGGCCAGGTCGCGCGATGTTTCGTCTGACGTATGTCTCGCTCGTCCTTGTGCTGAAGCGGGCCGGTGATGTAGCGCGTCACACACACCGATCAGCCCCGGTCAGGCCTGTGCTTTGTCCCGGCCTGTGCGCCGCCGCCGGCCGCAGACTGTTCCGCCTGACCTCTGACCGGCGCCCCCTGCCGCAGGCGCCATGGTGCTGCTGGGCGACGTGTTCCCGAACTTCGAGGCCGATTCCACGGAGGGGCCCGTCAAGTTCCACGACTGGCTGGGCGATTCGTAAGTGGCCGGCCTCCGCACAGCCGTGCAGCGGTCGCCCTCCTCCCTCTCCCGACGACGGCAGGGTGGCGAAGCCGGCGAGCAGATCCGAGCCGGCGTCGGTCGGGGCTTTAGTCGAACGTTGCCAGGGATACGCCGCATTGGAGTGTGTCAGTAGCCTGGCATGCTATGTATCGATTTGGGCCCACTGTGAGGTCATAGTCGTGGTGATCCACTTCGTTTCAGCGCTACTATGATGCTCCATCATTAAAGCAGACGCTTTCATCCCTTTTTGTTTGCGCGTCTTAGACGCTTGGGAATGCAACCAAGCTTTCGACGCTAAGGCGTATTCCCGAGGCGCCTTTTGGTTATTCACTTGCAAGATCAAAGCTGCTATTCGTCGAATGTGCGATGTTTCGCCGACTTTCTGTTGCACGTGCGCCTAAGCTACGCCGCTGACTTGCGCCAGCCGATCGGTGAGTTGGCTCTCCTCGCATGCTGTGCCGCTCCCATGGGCGCACAATGGTACATCCGAGCACCGCGCTCGAGCCGAACCCGCCGTCGTCCACGTCGCTGGTCCAACCCCGGCCGATCCGCTCCGCAGGTGGGGGATCCTGTTCTCGCACCCGGCCGACTTCACGCCCGTCTGCACCACCGAGCTGGGCGCCGCCGCTCAGCTTGCGCCCGAGTTCGCCAAGCGCGGCGTACGCATGATGGCCGTCTCCTGCGATGGCGTCAACTCGCACAAGTGAGGCGGCCTCCGGGCCGGCACGCGGCGGCGCGCGGGTCTGTGTGACGCCCGGGGTGCCGTGTGTGGACTTTGTGGCGTGGGTGGTCCGTGTGGTGCCCGGGTGCCTTGTGTGGACTGTGTGGCGTGGGTGGTCCGTGGTGCCCGGGGTGCCGTGTGTGGACTGTGTGGCGTGGGTGGTCTGTGTGGTGCCCGGGTGCCTTGTGTGGACTGTGTGGCGTGGGTGGTCTGTGTGGTGCCCGGGGTGCCGTGTGTGGACTGTGTGGCGTGGGTGGTCTGTCTGTGTGGTGCCCGGGTGCCTTGTGTGGACTGTGTGGCGTGGGTGGTCCGTGGTGCCCGGGCTGCCGTGCGTGGACTGTGTGGCGTAGGTGGTCTGTGTGGTGCCCGGGGTGCCGCGCGTGGACTGTGTGCGCTGGGCGCTGGAGCGGGCCTGTGTGTTTTAGCTCCCCTGTTGTATGTCGATGCTGAGCGGTCAGTAAACTGGGCGCACATGACCGAAGTTTCCAGTCACGAGAAAACACGTGCTCTGTGGGTGACTATCATTCGAGTTGACGCCAGTCTGATGTAACAGCGCTGCCCCCCAACCCAGCTGTTTCCTGACAGGGTGGGATCGTTGCAGGCCTTAGTACCTGATAACATACTCGTTTGCGTCATGTGGCGTCTCAGTTGCGGTTGAAATGCGGTGGATCACTTCTTGCGCAGTGCAACAACGCCCGTATCTCCGGAATGCTGGAGGTGCAAGCTGCATGGTCTATCGTTTCCATTACTCATGGCAGTGGCAGCTGATGCAAGCGTAGAGCAGACCAGATGATGCAGACCGCGCGTGACTAGTTGGTCTGCCATTTTCGAACTCAACTGTTTAGCTGGTGGACTAAAATCACCACATTCCTCCCTTTACCCTGACGTCATTCGCAGAGGCAATGGGCACCAACGAAAGCTTTTAGACCACACGTTTCTCGGAAGCTTCGCATTTAACTGTGCCTGGGTATTTCACGTCATACCGTCCGCTGCCTGCTGCCCAGCGTACGCCAGGCTCTGGCCATGACAGCGGCACAGCCGCACATGACCTTAAAACATCGTGTTAAGGTTATTTATGTGTGGCGGCATGGTCGAAAGACCTACGTCTGCCGCCGGCCGCCGTCACCGACCGTCGCCCGGCGCCCTCGGCTGACAGGGACTGGATCAAGGACATCGAGGCGTACAACAGCCTGGGCGCCGGCCGCTTCCCCTACCCGATCATCGCCGACGAGGAACGCCATCTGGCCGTCCAGCTCGGCATGCTGGACCCGAACGAGCGCACCGCCGACGGCCTGTGCCTCACGGCGCGCGCCGTCTTCGTGGTGGGGCCCGACAAGAAGCTGAAGCTGTCCATCCTGTACCCTGCCACCACCGGGCGCAACTTCCAGTGAGTGGTGGTACGCCTGTGGCCGGGTGTACGACGGACATTCTGGGGCATAATCGGTCACGGGCAGACGCGAGCAAAACGCCCGGCCAAAACAGCCCGCAACCTCCAACGAGTGTTCACGCTCGTCTAAAGCTGTCCGCCCTGGACCCGGTCGTCATCGGGGTTGACTTCCAGCGAGTGTTGCCGTGCGACTCCGGACGTTGATGATACGGGCCGGCACCGGCGGCGGTAGCGTGGCGCGGCTGCACCACTGCGCTGACCGGCGCCCGCCCGGCCGCTCGTCTGCCATGTCTGTACGTCTGTTGGGTCTACGCGCTCGCCAGAGGGCGCGGTCGACTGGGAGTGGATCGCGAGTCGTGCAGAGCCAGGTAAAGACGGGAACTCGCTGTAAACAGTAGCGGAACCTACCTCCTGGGCTGCGCGGATCAGCGGGTCATCGCGCATTGCCCCAACTGTTCAGACCGGCAAGATCTCCCTCCATGTGGGCTGGCCGACCCTCGTTCATGTGAGCTGACCTACATTCGTCCACGTGAGCTTACCGACCCTCGTCCATGTGGCGGGGGGCTCACATACCACTCCGCCAGGCCGCCCCGTCAGAGTTGCCGCGACAACTGTCATTTGACTAGAAACGTAACATACTCACGCTCACGGATAAAGACAACTCGGCGCTGTCCACCAGACGCGGCTGCACCCATGTTTATTAGATGTGTTCTGGGGGCGATAAGACGTCCAGGGCTCAGCGCCTGTATGCACCATGCAAACCATTCGTGCCGCGCCATTCAAACCAGTGCAGTGCTGCTGACCGCACGCTACCCGCGGCGGACGTGTGACTGCGCAGCATGTGATGCGGCCCGGCCGACAGGGCGTTCCAGCACGGCGGTCACGTCGAGTGACGCCACGCAAAACCCTCGTGTCGTCACCCGTGACGTGACGTGGCACATTTCAGCGGGCATTGCAGCTGGCCTGGGCGCCGTTCTGATTGCCGGTCGATGACAGTGTTCCGCTTAGTGAAATATGACACCTGGCCGGGTTCATCGGTCACGTTGCGTAGTTGGTGTAAGTGGGATTATGCATTATGTCGGGATCATCATCCGGAGGTGGCCTCATTAGTCTCGGGTGATATATTTAATGTTTTCGTCAGTTGTCACGTGCCTGTTGGTTTCAGTGAGATCCTACGTGTGATCGATTCGCTGCAGCTGACTGCCCAGAAGAAGGTGGCCACGCCCGTCAACTGGAAGGTGAGATCTCTGGACGTCTGCCGCTGTTCTAGCGAAACAACGGCTAGAACTCGGCTACAGCGTGGCGGAAAGGAATGCGAACGGGAGCTTGCGTCGAGAGCGCCCGCTTTCAATGCTACCGTGACATTTAAGAAAGATATCGTGCGCTGTGTCTGCTATGCCTGTGTCAGCGTAGAAGACGACTAAGGTAGGCGGTGCGGCACAGGGGCGGGGCGCAAAAGCTTGTGCAATTGTAAATCTTCCGACAACGGCAATATCAAAACCCAACAAGCGAAAGTACACGCTCTCAGAGATGGTAGTTTCCACAGCATGTCACGCCAGAGCATCATGCGGCACGTATTGAATTCACTTGAACTCGTGTGGCGCCTTGTCTACCACGGGCTTCAAAGGTAGCATACCCAACTTTTAAGCTGAAGTAAAGAAACACCACAGCAATGCCTCTCAGAGGTATCCAATAGCCACGCGCATTGGCTGCATGCTGTCCCAAACCCGCAAGCACACCGCTCATTGCATTGCCCTTCCCATATCTATGAGCTGCTCAAAGTCGTACACTTTGATGCACTTAAAGACGCGCCTAATTAAAAGCACCGCCTCAAGTTACGTGGTCATGTTTACGCGTCTGGCCGCAGCCAGTCAGAGGCGCGTCACAGGCTTGTGGCGTCACTGGGGCCTCGGCCTGCTGCATCAGCGCGGCTGATGTTTGTTGAATCCGTACGGCTGCGCGTATCTCTTGCAATAGTGGAGCTGACCTTGCAGCATGACGTACCGCGCGGAATGCCATCCACGCTTTGAGTTATGGCTGGCCTTGGCCGCCGCCCTGAAAATAGGCGAGTCACGACTGTGATCTGCTCCGTCGGCAGGCGGGCGACAAGTGCATGGTGCTGCCATCTATCAGCGAGGATGACGCCAAGAAGCTGTTCCCCGCCGGCGTGGAAGTGATCCCAGTGCCCTCCGGAAAGAAGTATCTGCGCACCACTCCGCAGCCGCAGTGAAGCCTGACGCAGTCTTCCGGCTATCACCTGTCGACAGCGGCCTGGCGGGCTTGGCTTATTTGTCCCATTGAAGGGACGGTGGATTCCACTGTTTCCCAGTGGTATTTTCATACACGTTTGTTTGCACGCCTCTGATCGCACCGTATGGGCGGCGTTCGTCGCTCGTATATCTCGCACAGCTGGCTGATGATGTGGTAATAAAAATGCGCCGTGAACGAATTTGCGCCAGGGAAGCGCAAGCGTGTTCCTTGAACGATTTTAAGTGGCGGTACAGCTTCCCGCCAGTCCTCTTCTTTTTCAAGCTTTTGTCGTTTGCTTTACATGTGACACATAATGCACACATCTGACACACGAAAATACATATACTTTGGGCACACCAATAAGCGCGTTCAAGGGGAATCGGCTGCAAGTCTTTAACCCGTTCATTTTACGTAGCTTTACGAACATGCTATAAAAAAGCATCGACGGCCATCTCGGACATCACGTCCCCGTCTGGGGTTTGTGCATTTGCTCTCATACTGGGTCAGGTTTCATTAAGTGTCGGGGTCTGCCCTTCCATCTTGTCTGTCCTTTTCAAGCAGAGATAACGCGATTGGGGTGCGAGCCTAACCTCCCTCTGATTATGCTTTTGGTACAGACAGCCACATGATTCGACAGCTGGTGTTAAACTGTTTCCAGTACCGCTTGGCTCGTTGAATTCAGTTGTACCCCTGATAACATTGCTTTCTGATAACCGCATTCTTATGCCTTGCCAACATCGAATTGTCGGGCATTCCCAAAATTTATGCTGAATGGTCTCCCCAACGTTATTGCAATACACGCAATCACTGTTTTCTGCAACATCCATGTGACACGGAGGCCTGTTCGTGGCATGGGTCCCTGTTATAACGTAGCGCCCTGCACGATGAACGTTATGGAACTTTGATATTCCGGTGAGAATCGTGGCAGCAACTATCATTGCCATATTGAGTTTTACATTTGTCTTACTAGCCCCTGAAATTTGTCATCAACAAGCGTGATGTGCGTATTTTGCTCCCTTAGGACATAAAAAGGAACGAGATCACTGGATGCATAATGGGTGCTGGCAGCTGCTCCTTCCCAACTCAAGCCCATGCACCAATCAGTCCTTTGTCCTATCGCCCAGGCTGATGCCCCTGCCCGGGACACAAAATCTGAACAATTCTACCATGTGGGAACGACTGACAGACGGGGTTGTTCTCGCTCGGCTGGGCAACGCCAGATGTAATTTCTTCCGATTCATCCTCTAGGTCGTGAGACGTGTTTCCCACGTTCTTACCACTGAAAGACGAACTCGTCTCCTGTGTTTTCGCCGTACTTGGCAATACGAAAACTTGCGTCTCCGGCGTTCCGCTGCACGCCTGGATCATGAGGTTCAAGGTGGTGAATCTCAGGTGGTCGGTTTAGGCACCAGATCCGACTGGTGACCTAGTCTTGGCCGTCTCTTCGAGTCTACGTGTCGTGAATACGCAAAATCGGGACTGTCGAGCTCCGGACGTGCACGTCATATCTGGTGATGTCACTTGTAGCAAATGGCAAGTGACAATATGACCAAACGGAACCAAACCAAACGGACATGGGAACCTAACGAAGCCTGTTATAACTCAAATCCTTAACGTAACCGAAATATTGAACTCGACTATGCCTGGCACAACTCAACGCTACCTGGCACCTCATGGCGAACGAAGCTAGTTATTCATCCTACCTAAACTCAGTTAAAGAAATCCGTCAAAACCCAGCACGCTAACTTGCGCTAACCCGCAAGTCTTCACAGCACAAGTTTTGTTCACATCATTGGATGCTCAGTGCAGCACACATTTCTTCCATACGATAAGTTGCCAAACCGAAACGTTTTCCACACTAGATTCCTCAAGCATGTGTAATTTTACTTTCCTACTTTCTACCCATCCCTGTCGGTTTAAGGGCATTGTAGTTCTGCATACGGTGAGCTTAGGACACTGCAGGGTGGGGGCATCGCTGAGCGAAGTGAGGGGGTGGGGGTGAGCAATGTAACACACGTTTTCGCGTGGCTTTGGCCCATTTTCTTCTCAAAGCTGGGTAGGTCTAGAGTTTAATTTTAGGGGTGGCTGGGCTGGAACCCCTATCGCACCCTCCCTCCCCCCCCCCCACGGGATCGTTAACTACACCCCCTCTGCAGTACATCTACAGAAGGAAGGGTTGAATGAAAACGACTAGAAATAAGAGGCGTATGACGTCACATAATACCATCAGCGAACACTCTTTTGTGGGTCGATGCAAGGCTTCTTTTTCCCCCTCGACGTCCGTAAAGCCATTTCTGGGGGGTGGGAGGCAATTACTTCCAGCTTAAGGCCAGGGAACGATTACGTTAAACCGGTTTATGTTGTCCCGGGCAAAGCAAGGGAGAGGGCATTGTTGAAGTTACGTTGAGTTAATCTGGCTCATTTTTATACGGAAAGGTCAAAGCAAGTAAAGCTAAGCCGCAGTAATAGATACATTTATTTCACCATCACACAACACGCATTCAGTACGCTTGAACCACAAGTGAGCCTCCCACCGGTTCTGCCAGACTCCGCGGATGCAGCGAAACTTAAGTATGGTGTCCGTGACAGCGATGGCCTTGGTTCAGCTGACTTGTCGGCAGCCTGTGTGATGGATGAATGCCGCGCCATCGCAGCAACGGGCTCCGCTGCCCGGCAGGACCTTGTGGTGCTGCGTGCTCGGTCCTGGAGAGTCCTTAAGAAAAATCAGGACCCATAGTCAGTGGGAAAAACTGCAATCTTTGCCAACTTAGGCAGAAAAGGCCCTTATTAAATAAATTTAGCAGTCATGGTTTACATCGGTACCTGCCATTGTAGTATTAAATTGCTCACCAATTGATGTTTTGCGACATAAGACACCATGAGTACTCATAAAACAGGAGCATTTCGAAGACAACTTATCACCTTACCCTCAAAGTATAATAATTACAACGGCAGAGGTCAGTCAGACGTCGGTATGTCGCACTGTTGGCATTGATCCTGTTAGGACATGGGTTGCGGGGGAATGAGTGGGGAGGTTTGCCGGGTGACAATGATATGATTAGGTCGGGTAGGGTTAGGCTATTAGATTAGGTTATGTTAGGTTAGGTTAGATCAGTAAGGTTGTCAGGTTAGCTTAGATTATTAGGTTAGGTTAAGTTAGGTCAGGTTAGGTTATGTCAGATTCTGGCCTTTTGTCATATTTTCTTCAAAAGACCGTTCTCTCAGAGAAATCGCATGTCCACTATGTCGTAGCAATATCTGGAGCACTCGGACATTGACTATTGTAATTACTAAAGTTTGGGGGTGAGAACGCAGATGTACCCGTTTTATGATTATTCATATTTGCTACCCTACAGAAGAAAAATTATGTACAATGCTCTTTTGCAACAATGTGTCAATGTCAACCTACACTAAATTATATTATCCTGTATCGTGTAAAAATTCGAAGAGAACGAGCAAGTCTGTGTAAGTCACCGCGGAGAATGGATGTTGAATGGAAGCCGGTTAACGTTGGTGTGAGTGATAAGCGGTCGTCTTGATTACTGATGTACCGGCATACCAGGAGGAAGTGATTTGTCATGAATTGGATGTCGCAACGATGGCATAGCGGAGTAGTGCGCTTGCAAAGGTGGTAGTACGGGACTGGTGTGACCAGATGAAGCCTGGCACGCAGCACTTCCTTGGGGAGATTGTCTCGATGAATTGTCGGCCATTGTGGCGCAGCCGTGCGCAGCTCACGTCTTGCTTTCGCCGGAAAGCCGGAAAAGTTGGGAAAAAGCAACGCCTGCGTGCTAATTGTGCGCGTGTACTGCGTTGTCTTGGAAGCGGATCTGTGGTTGGTTATCCGTTTTATTGTGCGTGTGTGCGTGTGGATGTAGTGCTTACTTACCTTCATGACATGATAGACATTCAGTATGTTTGCTAAAACGAGGCAACAACGAGGAAGCAGTTTTTTATGCATTATAAATTGCCCCTCGCCTCATCATGATGGTAAAGTAAAATGGGGTTGAAACATGTTTCAGTCAAAGTATTTATTACAAGGGAAGCATTTGAGAGTTTTTTGGTCTTTTTCAGGCTATGGTTAACCCTGCCTGTGATGCATCTCATGGTAAAATGCATTTAACATGCTTTGCATTGTGATGTATATTTGCAACCCGGTCTGCAGAAAATTCATCAGCCGTGCTGTGCTCAGATAGCATTGGTTGTATTGAACTGCTCACTGTGAGGTGAGGACAAATAAGAAAAAATGCAATGATTTTTGTGTGAAGCGATATTTTCAGTGTTTGTCTGAGGTTCATTTGCATTGTTATAATGCCCAGTGTTATAAATTTTAGAAATTATTCTCATACAGTACAAATTTTTCAATGTTGAGTACAAAATTTTCCAAGTGCTCTAAGCCATTGCACTTTTATTTAGGTTATTGTTGGGGGATTGCATTATAATAGGGGATATTCAGCAGAAGGGCCACATTTTATCTGCAGCAGTTTGTGTAGAGGCACCTCAAATGAAAGAAACATCAGCATTAAATATGGCACTGCAACAACACAGCCTCAGACTTCTAACATGAAACACATGCACATTATATGAGTGGGTGAGGTGTGAAGAAAACTTACTTTACCTTGGATGTAAGCAAGTTTCTCCCAAAGCAGTACTGTAAATGAAAAGTATGCCATGTGCCTCTCTGGAAGTTATCAACAAGTTGCTTAGTGAGGGGCACAGTTTCACTAAATATGTTTGAAGCTGACATGGAAAAAATAACACAGATGAATACCAATGCATGTGCCACAGGCTGCCACTTACTCATGCCCCACCATAATCACACTCACTTCCCACCATGGTTACCCCACCATGATCATGCTACCCATGCTCCATCTGGTGACTGGCTTTAAAAATGACAAACCCTGTTCCCCTTCCACCCACCTTCTGACACCCCATCAACACAGAGACCCCCCAGGTCCCAGTCCAGCAATAGAGACAGGCAGTGTTCTCATTGGTTTAGTCATATGATGTATGATGTATAAGTATGATGGCTGATAGACCTGACCAGGCTGGCCAAAAGGGGTCTCATTCAGTAACTCCACTGACCTCCTCTGGCAGATAATACAAGGTAAGGTATTAATGGATTTTGGTCTGCTTTAACAGACATGGCAAAATATAATTATTTAATTTTAAGTCATAGGTGTTTTTATTCAGATACAGCCTTTTGTTAATAT